GTGCTGTGGTCATCTTTCCTTAGGAGATTGCTGAGGGCTGTTTGCCCTAAAGGCAAGTTATTGTGTGGAGGGGGTGGATTTGCATCCTGCCTGTGGACACACAAAGTCTTTAACATCCATCAAAGTGCCTTGCTGTATTTCAGAATTAGCCAGCAGCAGTTCTTGCTAAGTAAGAGGAATGCAGAGTGAAGTACTCAAGCACAGGGAACTGGTATAGATAGCATGGTGCCTGTTCCTATTACACACAAGGCCAGAAGACAGATGGATGTTGGATGTATATACAGGAGAGATTGTGCAGGTACTTGAATTGGGATCAAGCTGCTAGAGAGGAAACTTTTTTTTTTTTTTTTAATACTTTGTTTATCCTAAGAAACACAATGTATAGTTTTGGTTATGTAGTAAATGCAGGTGTATATAGTGCTGAGATGGGCTCTTCTCATGTGATGTGATACTGACTGCACAGCTGGCACCTGAAGCCTGCCTGGATCATTCTCTGAATAGGAGATTAGGTTAGGATAGCAGCATTTGAGTGTGCTAGACTTGAGAAATTCATGGGGTTTGTGCAAGGTTTGCAATGATGTACTGAGTCCTCTGTGCCTGTAATGCTGCAGATGAAGGCTGAAGGTGCAGCCTGTCCTTCCTCCTGTTTTTGTCCTCTGAGGGTCTCAGAGCCCAGGCTCAGAGCGAGGAGGTATTCAGGGAGAAGAAAATGGGAACTTGGACAAAAACACGAGCATTGCTGTTGTTTTATTTCCCTCCCCCCCCTAGATTTGTTATTCCTTGTGTCCCAGGTAAAAGTGCAAGTCTGACAGCCACAGTATGGCAGGGAGGGGAGGTAGAATGTAAGAAGTACAATGTAAGAGTTTCCATAGGAATGGAAAATCAGTATGTGCGCTTGGAGAATAAAATTTTTCTTCCTCTTCAGAAACCTAATGTGGATTCTGTTGTTAAGGCAGGAAGTAAGCAGAGAAAAAGTAAACATGAGGATGTAAAAGGCATAAATAATGCTCCCAGGATGCTTGCAAGAGGGCAAGAGTAGAGCACGTAACATCTGTTCTGTAAACACATCAGACTGATGTGGCTTATCCTGGAGACAAGATTAATGCAACAAACAGGACAACACTGAAGCAGAAGTAAGGAGCAGCTGACCTGAGACTGTATTAAATAAGCTGTTATAGGAAGGATTTAAGAGAGCAAATGAAATGAGGAAAGGTCTCTGAGGTGTCCTGCTTCTGGCAGAATATACTGTGAGAAAATAGAGGATGTTGTATTAGTGTGACACATCTGTTATATGTACACTGTGATTTGAAAGTATGTTAAATTCTGGAAGCAAGTTACTTTGCCAAAAAATACTTTAGTGCTTTATGCTCTTGTATGGCAGGTTTGTAACAGAGTAACTTCAGCAGCTTTGTGTAGTGGTTTAAAGATGCTAAAACGTTGAGTTCAATGTAAAAAGATGGACTGTAAATTTAAACAATCAGTGCTATTCATTTCAGATTTTTGTGTTTTATGTATATTTATTTACTACTTTGGGTGCCTTTAGGCCTTGGTGCTCGGGGCAGCCTGCCTGCTTTGTGTATGGGTGAGACCACTGGTGGCTCACATCACAAGGGAGGACACTACAACAGGGTCCTTGTGAAGCAAATGCTAACTTGCATTGTAGCTTCTTAAACTATGAAATTGTAAATTCCTAATCAGTGACATGGAAGAATGATAGTTTTATTACAGTTTTATTCTCTTGCTTAGCCCTTATTCCAAGTGGGATATGCTGCCCTTGCAGGGAAGGTAAAGATGGATGTTCCTGAAGAACATCTGCAGCTTTCTGAAGCTTGAGTTCTTCCCTTCCACCTGCCAGCACTAAATCGTTCCTGCTCAAGCCAAGTATGTTTGCTGAGACAAACTATTTTGCCTGAGGAGAATGCTACACTTTCCTACATCCCCCAACCCCCACAGCTCCTATGTCATTCCTGCCTGATCCCGTGTGGCTTTGGAGGAAGTGCAAAACGTTCTCGGCACCTCTAGGCGGTACTGCTGAGACCAGTGGGTTCAGAGCCCTGACCGGAGGGGAGCCCCCTCCTGCATTCTGTTCCTTCTGGATGTGAGCTGCAGGCGCTGGGGCTGTTTCCACCGATCCTTCTAGAGCAGGGCTCGGCTGAAACGGCAACCACGTCACATTCACCTGCTTCGCAGGGCACAGCAGAAGGTGATGCCTCAGCAGCTGTCTGCCTCCAGCTCTGTAAGGGAACAGCAGAAATTTTTTCCCCTAGCATACTGTGTTTAGCAAAGGAATCCTTCAGTATTAGTAGTAGATGAGATATGTATGTGGGGAGATCTCGAGAGATATTTGCCTCTTTTATAATGCACCCTTTTTCTCAAGGGTTAAATCATTCTCTGCTGACACTTGTAAGATTTGAAAGGCTTAGCAGCTATGAAATAAAATCCTTTATTAGTTTCTGATACTTAAACAGATTTGCATGACTCTCACTTTTTACATGGGAATTGTAACAAGCTTCACTAGCGCTCAAAGCACATACCCAGTGCTTCAGTATGTATGTACTAAACTGAATGGCTCTAGGAGGGGCTCTGTGATCTTTAAAGCAAAAACATATTAAAAATGAGGATTATTTGCCTTGTTTTATGTACAAGATCAGAGTGGGTTTGAAAAGCATGACATGTGCAAGGATGTGAGGAAATTTACTCCTCTTCAGTTGAACGTTTCTCGGCCATATCTGAAACTAATGAATGTAAACTTGTGCCTATTTTTTTTTCTTGATGTTCTAAAGGTGTAAATAATATCTGTCTGTGTTTGGCTTCTTCTTTTTTTTTTTTTTTTTTTTTTTTTTTTTTTGCTTTGTGGCTATTTTTTTTTTTCTAATACCTCTTATCTTAGGATGTGGGCATTAAAAGTTGAATAAGTCAAATAAAACTTTCCTTCACGATCTTGGTTTTTGTTCTTGAACTACCTAGAGAAACCTGCTAGGAACTGATACCTTGGTTTCCAATACAGGTGGCAGTTGTGGCAACACCTTTCACAGGAGAGCAATAGTATAAAGCAAAGTTCCTTTGTCTTAGAGTCAAAATGCTACAGTCAGAGCAAGTAAATTCTCATAGTTTTGTTTGTATGAAATTCTACTCAATAGTCTATACCCTGAGATCCAACAAGCTATAAAATAAACATGACAACTCGCTGTACTTTGAGCAGTGGGTGAAAACTCCAGGGTTTCATTTTTCAGATTTGTCTTTTTCTCTTGGTGGTTTGATTGTGTTTACATGTGGTGTGCATAGGATAGCTGTCTGTGATTGTGATAACAGATAATCTCAGTAAGGAGCAGAATCTCTTGGACATTGTCCAGGTTTCTTATAGTATCCTTATCAGCCTCCCAACCTATGTGAAAGAAAAGCAGAGTAAAGACTGTGGGCTGATATTTGAGATGACCATCTGCTGAGCGATGCAGCAAACTCATCTTACTCCTCTAAGGCAATTGCACTGTGTTTAAATACTTTCCTTTTCAAATGACACAGAAAATAGATTGAATCACATAGGTTGCTTGCTTCCACGGTGACTGAAATTTCAACCATATGCTTAAAAGAAGCTTCTGTTAGCATTAATGCAAGCCTGTCATGAACTGTGATATATGCAAATAAAATGTTCATGAACAGGAGAACTTCTGTCTCTTGCCACACCCAGCATGTTAGCTGAAAGAGTTAAAAAGGGATTTACCTTGGTTTCCATGGTGTCAGACTGTATACTCATGACATCTTCAGAGCAGCTTTGTGCTTTCTTATGCTGATGGAACGGAGCAAAGGCTGCTCTCTGTATTGACACTTTCTTCTTATCTTCAGGAAGGAGTGGGTGAACGCAGCAATGAAGCCCACAATTTTCAGTACTTGTCATGGTACATAGATCAAATGTAATCCACTCTGCCAGCACAACTCTATATTCAAGAGCTGGGAAAGGAGGAGATTTATTTAGCTCGAATAGTGAAAGCAGTAAATCACTCACGCTCTCTTATATCACTCTTCTGAAATGAAATGAACTTCTGCAGCAGATATTTTCTTTCTTTCCAAAATAATGAGTCTTCGACGCTATTTTTCTCGCTATGACAAAATCAGTGCCAACCTGAAAAGCTTTTAAAATGAATTGGATACAATTGCTATTTGAAAACCACAGGAAAAAATGTGTTCAGGCCAGGATAGCCCAGTCCTGATGTACAGAAGACAACCCATCCCCTGCCTCTTGCCTGTGTGTCACTTCCTGCACTGCTCTTGTGCACTTTTAATATTTATTTTTAACTGTAATTAACTTTGGCTTGCTCTCGAGGTATATTTGCCTTTTGCAAGCTCTTTTTGTCTGCATTCCCTTCTCTGTGTGTCCTGCTTTGTCCTCGGGCTCTCCAGGTAAGCGTAGCTCTGTGACCACATAACGGGACCGTTCATTTTGATTGGGTCTTCAGTACTAAAGGAATTGTCAGCAGAGCTCACACCTGGTGCCCGCGTAGTGCAAAGTGAAACGTTATGCTTTAAGTAGTGAAATGATGCAGTGCAGCTGTAGCAATCTCACTTACAACACAGGGGACGGCCTGTTCCTCATCCACGCGCGCTGCCATCAGGAGCTGAGCGGGACGCAGCGCCTCAGGCCCCACACGGCCGCTTTAAGCGTCCCCCGCCCGCAAGCCCCTTCCTCAGCCCCCTGCCCAATCGCCACAGCCGATTGGCTAAGAGAGGGCTGCAATGGAAGCTGGTGATTGGCTAATCTGCATAGCTCTTCCCTCCAATGAGGGAAGATGCTGAGGCCCGCCTTTCTCTCGATTGGTATTCCGGCTACCTGCGCCCCCATTCCATTGGGCAGCGATGCTAGCAGCCTATTGGCTCCGCCACTCCCCGGGTTCGATTTTTAATTGGGTGGCTCTGGGTTGGCCGGCGCCTCACCTGCCGCTCATCGTCATTGGCTCGCTGCTCTCATCGCCCCCGCCCATTGGTCGCACCGCCCCTTAACTGCGCTCCAATTGGCTGTGGTGGCCCGGCCCGGTATCCGGGTAAGATGGCCGCAGTCGGAGAGTGCTCGCTCCCCGCTCCGTGGCGGCCGGTCTCCCTCACTCACGTCGAGTATCCCGCAGGTAAAGCTCCGCTTCGCCCCCGCCCGACCTCCCCGGTCCTCACTGCGTTGCTCCTCTGGGCGGCCCCCGCCCGCCGCTCCACGGTACCTCTGAGGGCCAGGCTGGCGGCTGCCAAATAGTGAGCCATTGAGAGAGCGCCTGGAGGCGGCGGGGCGCGCGTGCGCGCTGGGGGACAGTGGAGCTTGCTGCGGGATAGTGAGCCGCGAGGGGGGACTCGGCGCATGCGCGCTGCGCGGGGCGCTGTGCCTCAGGGGCTGCGGGGATGGGGCCGTGAGGGGGGCTGGGGGCGAGCTCCCGTCCCCACAGCGATGCGAGGGCCCTGCGGCCCGGCCCGCCTTCCCCACCGCCCTTCGGTGAGGTTGCGTGAAGCTCTGAGGTCCCAGTGTGCGGCGGTAAACGTCTGTGCACACCGCGGGTGTCGCGGCAGCGGGTGGGTCTGGGGGCTCTTCAGGTGCTTTGCGCTGTGTTGAGGCAGAGAGACTTTATTTTTTCATGCTCGTAGTCCAAAAATAAGGTAAAGTAGCGCGTGAAGTGTCAGGGCATTAGTCTCCACTAATCTTCGGTCTGGTCAAAGTCTGAAGGTGGTGTTAGTGCTGCTGGTTCATCTCACTGTTCCCCAGGCTTGCCTTATTGCAGGGCTCTGCTTCCTGATGCTGCCCTCAGAAGCGCAGTACCGAAAGCTGCTGAAGCTCTTTGGAGTCCACAGGGCTGGAGGTGCTGGCATAGCTGGGAGATGTGTGACAGAGCGCTGAGGAACACAGCTCCTGTGCACTCCCCATCATGGCTGTTTGCAGGGTTTTCCCCATGTTGTGCATGAAAGATCATTCGTTCCTTTTCTGTGTTTTCCTTCACCCCGTACGTTCTTCTGCTAACCTGCTTTTCAAGCGTGCCACTGTGAAAGCTAAGGGGAAAAGAGGGAATCTTTCCTCATAGCACAGACACGTCGCTGTCTTCTTTCTTTACCTGAACCTGACAGTGCGCTGTGTGCTGTGTGCTCCTCCTTGGGCAGTGGTGGGAAATGAGGGTGTTTGAAATCTGCAGGTTTGGCAGTGTAAGGGTCGCCCGACAGACCTTAAGGGGTCATAATCATAGATTAGTTTGTGATGGAAAGGGCACTGAGTGGGAAAGGGACCCTGGAGGAATGTGACAATGTGATTATTTTCTCTCATTGTTGACTGCTTTTTTTTTTTTTTTACAGTCCAGTGCAGAAGGTGATTGTGTGGGGCAGATAAATCATAGCCAGCTCAGGGCTGTGTGCTACAGGGAAGAGCGCTGTGCTAGGCTTGGGTCAAATGAGTGATTCTGGAAGCCCAAAAACAGAGACAGAAGACTGAAAGATTAAAACATGTCTAGGTACTGAAGTGTCTTCATCCATGCTGATCTAAAAAAATGCTTTGCAATAAGATGGTCAGTCTTGGATTCAGGAGAAGTGCTCTAACTTTATTTAGAAAGCTGTTATGCTCTGTCTGTGTAGGGCTTAAATCCAGATCCATTAAAGCTGCTAGATAATATATTTATAAAATAATGATGAGCAGTATGCTCAGTACGGTGGAATTGATGTAACCTTGTGCTGACAGAGAGGGGTCGGAATGAGAAATAGATCCTGCTTTTACCAACATAAATTATTAAACTCTCTTGGCACATCACGTACTGTCGTGTGACAAACCCTCTTGCTCTTGGCTGATCCTGGGGCTGCTGGCCTGGCATGCAGCGAGCTGAGCCATGGTGGCAACTGACTCTTCAAATCTCTTGTCTTTAAAGACTTTCAGCACAGAGCTGCTGTTGCCCCAGCTTTTGTCTACAGTGAGTGAGTGGCCTCCCACTGTGATCAGCTGAACATCGGTCTTTGCTGATGTTTGTCTGACAGAGGAAGCCTGTTCTTGGGTTTCTGCTAGAGGCTGTGAAAGGGACAGGTGCGTCCAGAAGGATGCTCATCTTTCCTGCCTCTCTCTAATGTTTCCTTGTCAATACAGATACTTCAGATGGTTGTTCGTGGTGCTGGGGTGGCTGCACAGTCTTTGAAGCTTTCTGCAGTGTCAGCTTTGAGGAACAACAGATAAATGCTCTGCTAGAACGATCTGCAAACAGATGGAATAATGGCATTTTTGAGAACCTAACAGAAAAATTATTGATAGAAAACATCGAAGTCAAAGCTAGAGAAAAGACAGACAATGGCAGTGCTACTTGACAATGCATTAAAGCATGCTTCTTGGGGGGATGGTCTTTAAAAACATCCTGCTGTCACTTTTCATAGCAGCGACTGTGCTTTTGTGAAACCAAGGGATCATTTGGCACAGTGTCGGGTCCCTGGCAGGTGGGCAGGAGTAATGCTTCTTGTGTGTATCTTCCAGTAACGAGCTGGTGATTGCATCAGGATTGTGATGTCCTTTAATGGGTCCGTAAAAGCTATACTCTAATTGCTCTTTGGACCCATTTCCACTTTGGATCTCTGCAGTACCAGTGGCACTGAGCTGGATGGTTTTTCTGCTTTTAAGCTCACTGCTCAGTAATTTCATTGAATGCTCTCTATTTCACGTGCACTGAGATGTAACAAATGTTTGCTATTTCTCTGTATCATACAAGAGCCAGTGCTGTTACATTATTTTTCCTTTTCACTTGAAAACTGGAGTTCCTTGATATGAGTGGCTGCTGTTCCATTTCTGTTATCTTGATCCACTTTCTATTTGCCTTTGCTGTGTTTGCTGTTATGTTACATCAAGAATCACGTAAGAATTTTTAGTAATTTCAGATCAGTAACTTCTGGCTCTTAAAATGTTCTCCTCGGTTTCTGAACTGCTCCGGTGCACTGGATGCTGCTCTGAAGGTGTTGGCTCATGCTAAGCCAGAGATGATTTTTAACTGAACTAAATCCCACTGCTGTGTGCGTATCATTAGGGTTGTTTTCTTTCTGTGTGCATTACTTTGCATGGGATGACTTTGTGTTGCAGACTTAAAACACATCTTCAGGGACTTCCTGCCTGTAGGTTGAGTTTCACTGGTGGAGAATCACAGATTCTGGTTTGTTTGGGATTAAAAAAAAAAATCCTTCAGTGCAGCTGGGATCCTTAAAGCTTTGGGACTTGTCTTTTTCACATTTGACAAGCTGTGAGGAGAGAACCCTGCAGTGGCAAACCCTTTCTCTGCAGAATGACTGAGAATCTTCCTGTGTTCTCTTAGGTGTTTGCTATTGTCAGGCAGAGGTGGAGTGGCAAGTGTGCAGAGCTGGCTGACAGTCAGCCTGCGATGCCCCTATGAGCATGTCTGCCCTGCAGGTCCTTGCCCTGCTTTCTGCTTGGGGTGGCAGCTCAGCAGCTGGGGCTCATTTCACACCTCAGTATTTCTTTAAAACCCGATGATTTGGTTTCTTCAATGCTGGGTTTTACGTTCAATCTTTCTGCACAAGTTCGATGTCTGTGTGTCTCATGGTGTACTTTAAAGCCTCCTGAAAATATTTGTATTGTTGCACAGCTTGTGACAGCAGGATGTGTGCAAGCAGAGGAAATGGAAAACAGTCATGAATTCTTACTGGTGTCAATGCACGTGAAACAAAATACAGTGTTTGTCTGTGCAACTTGCACGTAGACCAGCAGCAGTGCCACGAGGAGATGCCTCAATAGGAAGCTGTGGTGGTAAAGCCAGGTCTTGTGGTAGGATGTGGGTAGTGCTGTTGATTCACATTTTTCTTATGTACAGGTTGAGCTGGTGTGGCAAATCTTGCGTGGTTCCCCTGACAGAATGCTGGGTAAAATGTTGAATTAGAGCAGAAGTAAATGCTGAATGAAGGCGGAAGAAATGGTGTGTTTCTGAGCTGTGAGTGGTGTTCCTTCTGTTCATCCCTTGGATGCCTATAATTGAGTCAGGTTCTTTATTTTTCATCTTCCTCCTTAAATGATGCTGGACTTACTTAAAAAAATAAAATAAAATAAAATAAAACACCCACAACAAATAAGAACCCAGGCTGTGTATTAAATATATTTTTTTCTTGCAGTTTCCAGAGATTTTGGTGCTGCTAATGAGGTGTGCTCTCCCTGGTCGGAGGCATTGCTTTGTGTTCTTCAAGTTGAAGCAAAATTGAGGAACTCTTTTTATAAAAGGCAGCATGGAACCTGCTTGCTAGATCTGATGGATGTGAAGCTGCCGGCTCTCCTGCCATTCCCCGCTGCCTGGGAAGAGTTCCCTGAGTGTGCTGGAGCGTGAGAGTGGGCAGCAGTGATACAAGTTGTCATTCCCTGGGGCTCTGAGCAGCGCTCAGCACAGCCCTGCTCTCCCAGCTCCTTCGCCTGCACTTCCAGTCATTGCAGAGCTGGTTCAGTTAGCGTAGCTCTGCCTTAACCTGCTAATCTAGCCAGTGCTCTTATGATGGTTCTGATGAGTTTCTGGTGCGGTATGCAGGGCACAGGCTTCAGTTAATGCACAGCTATTTTGTTACCTCATCTAGAAAGAGCAGCTTCAGAACGTGATCCTGTTTGATTACTGTTGGCCACAGCAATAGGAGGTGCTGTGGGTACCGTCTCTGTTCTGTTTTAAAGGGGCAGTTAAGTGTTGACTGATTTGTGGTGTTGGGTTCAGGTGGGAAGTGTGTGCTGGTGGTTTGATTTATTGGGAATGCTCTCTGATAACATCATGGAGGATCCTCAATATGATGTTAATGGTGCTATTTAAATTAAAGGCAACATCCTGAAGTATTCCTCTGTCTGAGCAGGTAAGAGACATCCCCCTGCCCTTCCCCAGAAGACAAATAATTTGGTTTCTGTTTGCAAAATAATGTCTTGAATACCAAAATTCTTACGTACCATGGATTTACAGAGAGTGATCTGAAACGTGGCGATTCCTCAGTGAGGAACTAACCTGTATTGATGACACTGGAACTGAGGCTTCTGGAAAGTGTTGCTAAAGCTTTCAGTTTGGGATGTCTGGTAGCTTATCTCATGAATTTCTTCTTCGTTTAAGGTCAGTTCGTGGAGTGTAATTTATATGAAACCGTTAGGGGCGTGATGCTCTGTTGGTAGGCAGCTGATGCACCTACTTCCACTTTGTATTACCATGATAGGTCACAGTTCTGCTTTGGTGGCTTGTGGAACCCACCTGCTGCAGAGCAAACCTGCCACGTGTCATAAGAAAAGTTCCAAATTGAGTGTTTTCTGACACTTTTCGGGTTATGAACAAGATATAACCTCACTCCAACCAAACCCCAGTATTCTTGGGGGTTTATCCTGCAAATCTCCTGGATTTCACTGGCGTTACAAACTAAAACGTGTAGGAATTCTGCTTGGTGATGAAGTTGTTCCCAAATCTAATTCTTCAGGGAACAGAAGCAGGGCAGACTTGGGTTGTGATGCATAGCTCTGCGATGTTGCTTTCCCCTTCCTGTGTCCATGCTAGTTCAGCATAAAGCAGACATGTGTCTGAAGTGCCTTATGTCCTCTTGTGAGATCTGGATTCTTCCAGGGGATGACTGCACTGTTTGCTAGTGAGGTGCAGGCCCAGTATCCCTTCTGTATGACACAAGTGGGCTACTGACAAAAAAATCCTTGGCTTTCTTTTTTTTTTCCCTCCTCCTTTCATCTGCAGTGTTTAGCTATTTGTTTCCTCCCTGTGTTGCTAATGCTAGTGTTCACGCAGACACATGGTGAGACAGATTAGGAAGCTGATCCAGCTGAAAACGAACCCATTTTAGGAAGGGAGTGGGAAAGGATTTGTTTGGGGAGTGTTTTCTGGTAATTGCTGGCAGGGGCAGGCAGTGTGAATGCGGGGAGGGAAAGATGCTGCCTCTTCTGCAGCAGCCTGTGCTTCTGCTGGGTTAAAGTGGCTCTTGGCCCACACCCATGGTCACTGTTGTAAGTTGGCTGGCAGTAATCTCTGCTGGAGGATGCCAAGCTCCTCTCATCCCCGCTTTTGAACCTGCACGTGAGCACTGCTGCCTTCCTTGCCTCAGCTCCCGTTGGGCTCCACAGTTGCTGTCAGTCTGCAAAATGGAGACGTGCTGCAGTGCTGAGTTTACCCCTCTGCTCTCAGCCATTCGGGGCAGCAGCTGGCCCACATCCTGGTGACAAGTACTTGTGAAGTTCAGGCTGATTTGTTTCTCTTGTTTGTTTCCCTAGGTGATTTCTCTGGTCAGCTTTTAGCTTATTTGAGTCTTGGTCCAATATTCATTATTGTTGGCTTTGTAACACTCATCATATTCAAGAGAGAGCTTCACACGGTGAGTTTTTCTCTCCCTACCCAGCTTCTCCTTACGACAGAAATGTTGGCATTTGTGACATGGTGCTCCTGTTTTCACACTTTTGCTCTCTGTAAACAGGAAAAAAAGAAAAAAAAAAAAAAAAGCTTAGGTAAGGTGACCTGCTGTCAACAGCAGGAGATGCTACCATTTGTTAAAGCTAAAAGATTAGTCTTTGATGTTCTGTTACTCTGTGCTATCTTTTAGCCAGATCTGTGCACAAACATCAATGAGAGATATCTGAGATTCAGTGCTGTTTCATGGGGGGATATAGTAGTTTTTTACCTTGATCCAAAATCCATTAGGGTCATAGCATTGGCAGGGTTTGCAAGATGGATAATGTGCAGGAAATGGTGTCTGACTCAGTAGGATGTGCTTTCTCTGAACAGCAGGGAGGCACAAAATAAGATTCAAAATAAAACCTACAAATTCCTGCGGGACTGGATCTGTCTCAGGGCTGCTTCCCAGCTGTGCATTGAATAGCAGGGACGGAAGAGACTTCACTTCTGTCCAAGGGAGCAATAAAGGACTCTTCAGTAGTGCTTTGCCTGCTCTGACAGGTGGTTGGGAGTCAATGTCATGGATAAATGCTCTTCAGGAGGCATGAAGCACTTGTCAAATTTGCCCTCTGTAAACAGATAAAATGGGGCCACTGAAAGGATTTTGGCAGCAGGTTCCTGATACAAGGCCATGGTGTCATGGGAACCAGTGGCTCAGGGGACCTGGGAGTGGGACTTCTAGGTTCCTAAACTGAAGGAAAGACAGCTGTTAAATTTAGACAATCCAACTTTTTTTTTTTCCTCTTCTGCTGCCCCAAGGCTGAACATAACCTAGAGCAACTACTGTCTGAAAATCAACAGATTTTTGATGATTGTTATCATCTAACACTTGCTGGATGATTGTTAGTGATGCAGCAAGGGTTGAGGTTGGTTCCCTGTTCATGTGAGCTGGTGTGAGGCACCAGCTGCCCGTAGATCAGGACACAGAGTGGGAAACTCAAGTAGGACTGAGTGTTGAGGAGTCAGTGTCACCACCAGCTGGGAATTTGGTCACAGCAGTAGGACTTAAGCTCGAGAGGCTGTAGGAAATCATGGTGATCTTAGGAGGTCTTTTCCACCCTTCAAGTCCGGCCGTCAACCTATCATTACTGCTGATGGACTGTGTGATAAGAAGAACAGCAATTGCTGCCAGTCTTCAGAATGTGATTTCATTTTAGACTGAAGACAGCAGCTTCAGGATGGAAACATTCATAGAGGGGAAAAGCCAGAAAGCATAAAAAATTGCTCTTTGAGCTAATTGCCCAAATAGTGGTGTGTGTGCTCCCCCTGTTGGCTGTATGTGACAGACGATCCCTTCAAACAGGCTCTGTTTAAAAGTACTTCTTTCTGTGCTTGCTGATGGGAGCATGCAAACGTTATTGCTCTACACGTGTCATTGTTGTCCTCTGAATTATCTGCTGACAGCTTTGTATGCACAATGTGTTGTCAGATACACAAAGGAGACTGAAAAATAAATGCTTTTCTTCCTCAGCTAGAGTATTGGGAAGCTGTTGGTTGTAATACTGGTAGTCAAAAAAGAAAATTAGAAATGCATGACTTGGGGGTTTCTCGACAGAGAGAACCTGGTAAGTAGATGAATCTTTTTAAATAGGATGACACAGTTGTCTTGCCTTCACAGATCTCTTTCTTGGGAGGGCTGGCTTTCAACGAGGGAGTGAACTGGTTAATAAAAAATGTTATCCGGGAGCCACGGCCCTGTGAAGGTACGGTACGGCCTGCTGCTGGCATGGGGTTGGTTGGCCTTGAGTGGAATGATAGCTGTGGGGTGTTAGAAGGTGCTTTCCTGTTTGCCTCGTGTTGGCTTTGGATGTTTGGGTGCAAGAAGGCTGGCAGAGATGTGTCCTGTGAACCTGTGTGCGCAGAGTCCAGTGGAGTTGTTTGGCTTTACCTTTGGAGTGTTCCTGTTGCCGTGTACAGGGCAGACCTTGACCATACTCTTTCTTCTTCTCTTCCCAGAAGCCCATTCAACAGTGACCACAAAATATGGGATGCCGTCCAGCCACTCCCAGTTCATGTGGTTTTTCTCTGTCTATTCATTTCTGTTCCTTTATTTAAGGTAAAAGTTCAGTATCAGGTTTTGGCTGTTAATATGTTGAAACACCTCCAGTAGGTGGCTTCCTTGCTGTGTGCTGCTTCAGCACGCAGTGGAGTTAAATCTGAGGCCCTCCACAATTTGCTGTGTGGATGAAGTGTTTCTATTGGAACGTAGGACTGTGGTTACCACTGCTGAGAAGGGAAGGGTAGGGGTGGGCTTCCTGATGCCTGTCTGGGTACAGGTCTCCTAATTTGCTTTTTATAAGCCACGATGATCCATCAGTGTGAGGGAAGGGGAGGGTGGTGAGTAGAGAGGAGGAAAGAAGAGCTGCTTTCTCATGTATCTGCTCAGTTTTGTCATTGGGGTTGTCTGTGGTCTCAGGTAATACCTCTTCCCACTTGCATGACCTTTTAGTTCATCTCCCATACCAAGTACTGTCTTTTTGCGCTGTGCTGTTCTGAAATCTTGCTGGCATGGCTCTGTCTTGTGGCTCCAAGTGTGAAGGGCAAAATTCATTGTTCCTTCTAGCTTTATGGGCAGTGGAGGACTCTGAGGTCTTAGCTCCTTGTTGCATATGCTCAGCACGTGCCTTTCACATCAGTTGTGGTAATTGTGAGCATTCTGGCTCCATCACAGCAATCCCTGAAAACAGTTGATGAGAGAAGTATGGCTTTCTGGCTTCTGTGTAACTGCTGCCAGTGGGACAGACTGATGCTGGGATGATACTGAGCTGCCCATCACCCCTTGGAGCAGAGCTTTCCTAGGGTTTCAGAAGTAGTGAGAGTAGTGACAAGGACTCCTCAGCTTCCTGCCACTGTGCTAATGGCTCTCCATCTCTTTCAGAATGCACCAAACAAACAATGCGAGGTTTCTGGATTTACTATGGCGACATGTGCTGTCCATCTGCCTCGTCACAGTGGCTTTGCTAGTCTCATATAGTAGGTATGGAGCAATTGTTTGTCTTATGCTCTCATACACCCCTGTGGCTTTTAACAGCCCGCAGAGCTGTCCTTCTTTGTCCCTTGTTTCTGATGTAATTCTCTACGACTGCACTGTGCAAGTGAGAGAGCTTTGTGGAAGTTGCTGCGTTGCCATGAGCCCCTTCAAATAATGAGACAAAGGTGCTACGTGTGTGGTGCTTCACAGATGCATTTATGAAACCTGAGATCACCTGAGCCTGTGCCCAACTCCCTGCTGGCTCCATTGCCATGCTCAAGCCTCACTGCCTAGCCGTCTTTCCAGCACTAATCATGAAAGCATTGCACCATGGCTTGGTACACCAGCATCTGCAGCACGTGGGTTGCTACAGTGGGTCAAACTGTTTGTTTTGCTTGAGCATTAGCTACAGACACTTACAGTTGTTTGACTTGCAAGATTTAGTTATGTTAACATGACGAGTAATGAAAATGAAGTGTTGATAATGATTTACTTTTTTCCTTTAACAAATAATACGATGAGCATCAGTGGGTGGAAGCAGACAGATACAGCCTTATTTCCAGCCTGAATCTTCCACAGCAAAGTAGTTTGGACAGTTGGCTGCATGCTAGTGCTGCCTCCTTATTACTAGTTGCTTTTAAAACTGGCAGGACAATTTCATAAAAGATGTATGGTCTAATTCAAATAAAGATTAACTTGTGAGGAAATCTTTCTGCAAAGCAGGTCAACTAAGATGATCTTAATGGCTGCATGCGTGGGGGGAGAAGAATTTTGAGTGTGATTCGTGTAGGTTGTGAGCAGGGGTGACTTTAGGAACCATCAACACAGCTTTCTGGTTGGTTGCAACTGCAGTAGGTGCTCTGTAGTTGTGCAGCCTGTGTGTTGTCACACTTGAGAGCTGCAAAACTAAGACAAAAATGCTGTCTGTTTCAAGTCTGCAAGCCTTGGTGGCTTGAAGGAGATTTCTGCTGCTGGCTTTGAAGAAGTCTCTCGTGGGAACTACAGTGGCAGTTCTTCAGCTCATCGTGGTGATACGTGGTGAATTATTCAGTTAAGCTCAACATAGAAATTGTAAGCTGAATCTGCTGCAGCAGAGGAGGCACAGTTTGTGTTCCAGCTTTTCCAACTTTTTTTTTTTTTTGGTCAACTTTTTAATGAAAAATGAAGTAAAATATCCACGTCTGACATCTGGAGGATAACTTCCTCAGAACTTGAGGGAGTCCAGCCTTGAGTTGCACCTACTCTTGCTTTAATGCCTGCCTGGTGACTTTTCTCTTCCACTGCAGGGTTTATTTGCTTTACCACACCTGGAGCCAAGTCTTATATGGAGGTGTGGCAGGAAGCGTTATGGCCATAGCCTGGTTTGCCTTCACACAAGAGATACTAACTCCTCTCTTCCCAAGGATAGCTGCATGGTGAGTCTCTGTTCTGTGAGGTTTTATTCCTGCAAGTCTGCGTTTCTTAGATCACCGTTGTGCTCATTAAATGAGTTTCTTGAAATGAATTGATTACACCATAAAGTACAACTCCCTGGTACAAAAAAAGTGTAAAAATTGTATCTTGCATCTGAAGGAAAAATGCAAAGACACTTTAGTTTCTAAAGCTGTTGTAGCTGTATAAGCCGTGTCTCCACGGGCTGATCAAAGTCCTGTGAACTATGTTATAAGTATTAGAAGTGGGAATTCCTGGGTTCTGTTCCAGCTTTGATGGCTTTGTTGTACAGCTGTGTAACATGTTCTTCTGTGTTTTCTTCTGCATGTCTATACAAAAGATCACGTATGGATGGGGGAGAGAGGACATTTAAGAAACACATTTGTAAGGCCCCTCTAAAGTTGTGGGTTGTGGCAGAGTATTGGTTAAGAAGTAGCTTTTCATATCATAGAATGGTTTGGGAAGGAAGGGACCTTAAAGCCCCCCCAGTTCCAGCCCTGTTGTGGTTGGGTGTCCCCCACCAGCTCAGGCTGCCCAGGGCCCCATCTGGCCTGGCTTTGGGCACCTCCAGGGGCAGCGTCTCCATAACTTCTTTGAGCAACTTCTTAATCAGTTTGACAACCAAGTGAGATTACAAAGCCATTTAAACTTAACACAGTCCAAAAATATTATATGAGGAAAGAAAAAACTATTCTTTTCTCTGATTGAATTTAACAAGGAGCCTTCTTCCCAGACTCAAAGGATAATAGAATAGCAATGTTATATTTGAACCAGATTTTATGCTGTGTCGTTATGTATTAGGATTGTTTTGTTTTTGTATTCTGATCAAAATTGGGTAGAGAACAAATCTGATTTCTCCACTTTCTACCACCTTCTCTATTTTCAGGCCCATTTCAGAGTTCTTTTTAATCCGAGACACCAGCCTCATTCCTAACATCCTGTGGTTTGAATATACAGTCACAAGAGCAGAAGCAAGGTAAGTGATCTGAGGTGAGGGAGCAAGAGCTGTAGCTAGCTTGACTTGAGATGTGGTTCTTACGTATTAGAAAATAATGGCTGCTGTGGATGGAGTAGTGTAAGAAACCCCAAGTTGTGGGCAACTACTGCATGTGGAAGGTGGGTCTGCTGGGGAGGTTAGTGTTTAATTTATGGAGTTATGCCAGCTTTCCAGTCCATGTTCCTTGCAAGCAGGTGTTTTTAATCTTGTATCTGTGCGTGAGCTTGTGCACTCTTAGAACATGGCGGCTGTTGTGTAGAGAGTAGGAAGGACTGAAATCCCTGCAGAGTGTGATGGGGGCAGCTTTAGTTTTGTGTGAAGCTGTGCAAAGCCTTGCTTTAATCCTTCTGTCTTTTACCCACTGGTTTGCCTGTCTCACCTTGTCCTCTGTTGTGGTGTTGCAGAAACAGACAGCGCAAGCTGGGTACGAAGCTCCAGTGACTCAGGAGGTGTGGGGACCAGAGTGTGCGTTTTAACAGAGACAGACAAGAGCAGAGACCTGGGAGCAGCGAGGAGCCTTTAAACAGACGGACCAAAGGAACAGGCAGGGACCATACCCAAAACCTGAAAGCCTTTGCTCTGCTTTAGCAGCTAGCTGGATGCTCCCTGATGCATGTGGGACCGTGCAGGAGTAGAAACTCATTTTCAACACAGATGCACATTGCCGGTTGGAATGTACCATCATGTCTACGTCAGGGGAAAGGGGTGAAAATGCCTGGTGTCATGTCTGGGGGAGGGAAAACCAAAAATGAATCATTTCTGTGACTTTTTTTCTTTTTTTTTTTTCTTTTTTTTTTTTTTCTTTAGCATGAAATATACACACTATTTATTTATTTTTTTTTTAAATGGAGCAATTGTTTTTGGGGTGGGAGACGCCTTGTGTGTTTTGTTTTGCTTTTTTGTTTGGGGGTTTTTCGTTTTGGAAGAAGATGACAAAACTAATCTCCCGTTGGTCATGGTTAATTAGAGCTATTAGTTTTTAAACATTTCTCAGGAGGGAGGGGAACTGAGATGGCGTGACCGAGGTAGAAGGGAGAGGAGGGTTTCTTCCCTTTCTACAACCAGCCTGGGTGATCAAAATCAATTCCAACTGCACTTTGTACAGACAGAAAGTACTAAAGATTTGAATTTTTTTTTTTAAACACTAGTGATGATTCTGTGGGGAAGCCTGCACGGATTCTGTTAAGGGGAGTGTGTGTGTAAAACAAAGGAAAACTGAAATACACTGATATTATTATTATTATTATAATTTTTTTCCACTGCTGCTCCTGGTGTGTAATTAGCAAGGGTGTCTTTCTCAGAATCTCTTCTAGGTGGCAAGGTTACCATACGTATCTCATGTTTATTTCATCTCTTCCTTTATTCTTTTATTACCTCAGGGTTGTTGGGATCTGTACAGCGTCTGTTGTACTGGGTGTGCTACTGATAGCACTAGAAACCCATTGGTTACAAGCAATGCTACGCTCCAGTAAGAGTCAGCCCAAAGCCTTACAAAATTCAGTTGCTAGTTTCTGTCTTAAGCACTGGATTTTATTTTTTTTTAATTTTATTATTATTATTTTTGTTAGAAGGATTTTAAAGATGAACAAAATGACAACTGTAGACAAATAAGGTGAACAACTAATAGCTAGCTCAGCTGCTGTGTGAATTTTTAAAGAGTCCCGTTGGAATCCAATTGTGAACTCAAGTGGTGGATTATTCTAGCAGATACTCCTGCCAGTTCTTATGGTGGGTTGCTTGGGGTTCAGCAGGAGCAACCTTGAATACCAAACTCCTACAAACAAGTTTTGTTTTCCATCCTTCTTCCGTTGGATTCTTTGTTTGGCAAGTCAGCTCTCTGGGTGCTGTGTCTCTGTGGGAGTGTGCCTGCCATCTGTGTGTGCTGGTGATGCCTACGACTTCAGCCATCCGTGAGTTAACCTGGCAAGGGCTATACTCAACGTGCTTCAGGGCTGTGCATGGACACTTCCCGTATTTCTAGTATATAATGCAGCAGTTCAAGTGCAAGTACAGAGAAATATTTATTCAAAGCACAATTGACTTGAACTTTCACAGATAAAGGACAGCTTCTGGCTCAAAGGTCATCGGTGTGCCTTCGATGCAGTCATGTGAGCAGAGGTAAAATGACTGTCACATCTCAGTCTTGCTGCCTGTTTTAATATCTTCACTTTAAACAGACTCCTGCATTATAAAGCTGCTTGAAGTGAGATGTTTCTGTTCATCTTGATTTTTAACATTTTTTTTAGTTTTTTATTTTTTATTTTTTAAGTTTTCATCTGTGCCTGTTGCCATAGGAGTTTGCGTGTTTGTAAGGAGCAGGAGTTGGCTGCTGTACAAACTGTTGGACAACCAGAGTATTAACTGTAGAGTAGAAAGTAGCAATCCTGATTCAGTTCAGGAATGAAGCCATTTAAATTTCTCTGTTTAGGTAGCTTTGTGTAGTGAACTAATTGTTTTTCAGTTGCATTGAGTCAGGTTTAAGAACTGTTCTAACTTGTTGCATAACACGAGCGGTCCTGTTTCTCTTACTGTCTGAAGGACCTGAGCACTAGATCAGCTCTGAAGGTGCACCCAAATGAAGAGGCATCCTACAGCTTTCATGGGAATGTGGAATTGGACTTGCTGTATTAAAATTGGGATAGAACATCACATAAGCCTTGTAACATAGTGGTATCTTACGAATGAGTCTGACAGCTGGTACTAATCACTTAGGACTCACTGTTTTATTTTTTCCTTTGCATCACTTAGAAGTGAACTTACAAAGTCAGAAGGGGGGTCGCAGGTTCTTCCCTAAGGAAAAGGCTGAAAAGTGCTTAAGGAGTGGATGGCACTTCTTCAGTTTCTTGTAAGCTGAAAGCCAGCTGGCAAAACTGTGTGGAAGCAGCAGTTGAACTAGAGAAGGGATTACATGTCCTCATGGAGAGCAGAACTGGGTACAAAGCTGTTCCTCTTCATGTTGCCTTCAAACCCAGGCTTCCTGCAGTAATGCTTAGGGGTGTGACAGGGAGAAGAGCTCTCGTAAGACACTGTAATAGACTGTGTTCTGTGATTTGTTTGTAATCTGCATCTTCCACCTACTCTTGCTGTACCTTTCCAGAAGTCTTTGCAATATTTGATGGTAGAAATTTGTTAGCAATCCCATGGATTTTCTTAACTAAATGGTGCTGTGCAGGAAAAAGATTCAAGCTCTGCCTTACTCTAAACTTGTATGAAGTCTCCTGCCACTAGTTTTCTGAAACAAAAATATTTCCTTTGGAATACATGGCTTTGCAAGCAGATGCTTTCAAGTTCCTCCCCTGTACTCAAGGGCTGGATGGAGATTCTAAGACAATAAAAAGGAAGGTGACAGAACATCGTGGTTCACTGTTCTTGCTGTCCCCACTTGTGAACATTCTCCTGTAAGGGCAGGACTGTAACTTCGGCAGTACTGAAGCAGATTGAAGTATTTTTGTAGCACTGACTTGTTTATTGTGTTTCAGTTTATTCGAAGAACATTTCAAAACTGCACGACATGAATTACATTATCAAAACAGAACTTAATACAGCTAACCAGCAAAGCATGCAAACACTACCAGGCTGTATCATAAATTGCACTTAAACCCCAGGAGTTTGTTGAATGTTCTCAGTCTATGCGTTTCTTTATTTGCTCCAAATCAGTAGTTTTCCCAGAAGTTTTGTTTCTCGTACTGAATGCATCTTTAAGACTATCGACATCTCTCACTAAAGCAATCAGACAATCAAAAACAGAGAGGAGAACAGTATTCAGTAAGTTTACACTGGAAAAACTGAAGGTATGAATTGGAATACTATCACATTTTAGAACCTGCACAATAAAGTACGTTTTTCTTTTTAAAGAGAAACCTTGTAATGATTTCAGCGTCCTTTCAAGCACATCAGAAAGCAAGTTTTCATCTGAATTTCAGCTCCTTATGTCATTAAGGATGCATCAAGTGGTTTAAGAACCTTGTCTTTCAGTGTGATACTCTGCTTCTCACAGCTGCGCTCTGCTGAAGCTGGTGGGATATCTAGACTTAGAGCCAGGAAATATCAGTCCCATCTTCTGAGATAGAGTCACAGCAGGGCATTTCTTCTGCTCAATGTTTAATAGGCACTTTATTTAAGGCCCTTTCCTTTCATAAGACAGAAGGAAAAAGGGGCAGCTTACAAGTACTGAAATGACAGTGCTGTATTATCAGTGGTTCAAGGCATTGCAGATGGGAAAGTAACTCACCCCCAAGCACAGATGTTGATCCAGCATGAGGGGAAGATTACTTTGGCAAACAAAAAAATACATTTTTCAAAGTAAAAATTATAAAAGTAGCTGTTCTTTCAGCAAGGTGTCTTTTATGTAGTATTTACAGTCGCTCACTCTCTGATAATACTGCTTATCCTCTTGTAATTTTCAGTCTACCTCACAGCAGAGGAATAAGAGAGCAGGAATGTGTGTTCACAGGTTTTTGGTGCTCCCACTGTTTCCTTAGACTATCGCACTCCATTCAGGATTCTTCTAAAAGATCAACTAAATCCATGTAAATGATGTGAAGGTGGCAGTTCATACAATCACTGGCTGTGCAGGTGAGTTTCAGTTAAATTTTCCATTGTAAGGTTGATTTAGGTGTATGAAGCTTTAAAACAATATCCTTCTAGAAAAAAACTGCAACAGTTTTGATTTGTGTCTTTTTCAAAGCAGATGAGAACAGTATTTTTCTCTAAAACTGATTTAGTGCAAAATTCCTCACGTCTGTTTACCAAGGCACTTTGATCAGATCTGTGATCATAAAAGTAGCAATTAGGATCAAATGTTTTGCTCTTAACAGTACAGGCCATCAGATTTACAATGCATCTTGTTTACTGTGATGTCCCAACCATCTTATCTTGAAGGGTGTGCAGTTTAAATATTAAATTCCTGTTGCTGAAATAGCAGTAGAAGCAGTAGAATTCTTCATTACCACTCAGTTTGACTAAATAAAAATTAAGGGAGCTTAGATTCTTGCAGATTGATTGGAAGTAGTGCTTGGAAAATGTTCCTGTGCAAAAATTGTACGTAGATGTTTTTTGTATAATCTTCTACTGTCTCAGTTGAACATGAAAGCACTGTTACAAGATTATCGTCCACATAACAGAGATGGCACAGATCTGAATAACACTGCAGTAAGAAGAAAATGTAAGAGTATCAGAAAAAAAGTGTTGTTACTGCAGGAACAATGGCTGCTACAGCAGACAAGCAGCTCAAGGTGCCTGAGCATTCTTAGCTTTCTTCCTGCTTTTCAAGTGTTTGTGTTTCTTAAAAGCAGAACACTGTGTAAGAAGGGATGTTCTGTTTTTCCTTTGGCGCCAACAGGTTTGAATTCTGTGAGCCAAAACCAGAAGTGCATTCTGCAATTCCAGGTCAGAAATATTCCTCTTTATCCACAACTTAGGCCAAACACATTCTGCATAAATATATGGTTTCTGAAAGCAAGTTATACAGCCATGTTAGATTTAACATGTGTGCCCTGAAGGAGAATAGGCATGTGGCCCTTTGACTAGTAAACAGAAGGTCAGCATCTGTTTCTTTTCCTCAGTTGCAAGGTAAAACTACAGTGGAGCAACTATTCTGCTAAATGCACAGGCAGCTCCTTCTCATCTCAATAAAGGGCAAGGTAAGGTACCTAAAGCTGAAGTTCGTAAAACCTGTGCAAGACAAGTTCTGTGGAAGCTCTGAAGGAGGAGCTTTACACAGTCTGAAGATGAAGGGCTGGGCCCACAAACAGCAAGCTTGAACAAAAAGCCCAGAACAAAGCAAACAAAGCTGCCTTAGCTTGTAGTGAGTAGTATACTGTTGTTGGGTCAGTGCAATGGAAAGATCTCAGCATCTTAAAGATAGAAGAAGGGAACGTTTCCAGGGCTGCAAAGTATGTAATGATAAGGTGCCTGGGACGGGTAGTACAGTGCACTCTTAACAAGACAGGATCTGCTCTGACTTCTTTCTCCCCTTTGTTCAATGATGGTGTTTGGCTGCAGTAAAAGAACTCTTCAGATGAGTTGCAAAGATGCTGCTCTCTTCAGAAGCCTAAACCAGAAAAAGCCTTAGTCTTGCAGTAGTCCCCTCATATCATAAACATTCCCTGCTTTTCCTGGAGAACTACCTTCTTCACCAAATGGATGTAGATACTGGTAAGGACTGTGCTTTCTCTACATTCTGTTACAGTAAGTTCCATAAAAAGATTTTAGTCCTCTCTGAGGACAGGAAGGTGCACTTAGCAGTGATGGGAGAGGACCACTCAGTTGTGCTTTGGCTTTAGACAACGTCTCCTCTTGCCCCACAGCCTAATATCTGTAGATATTAGATTCTGTCTTGCTGAAAACAAATGTTGCCCTCCTAGATTCCAGTCAGGACAGGCTGTCCCCTCAATCATTTTCTGAGGAACTGGGAACTTCAGTGCAAGAAAGACAGCCTCTCTCGTGGGGGATTTTACATCGTATTTGCCTCTTACAGTTTGGATTTGGGAGTAGATTGGAGCAAGCTCCTCATGTCTAGCAGTGCTGTTTCAAGATAATGTGCCATGCGAGCTGCATTTGTTTCAGCACAGCTGTTGAATGCTGAAATGGCAAAGTTGATATGTTCATCCATAGGGTTGTAACAGATTCCATAGCCATCTGGAACCACGGGACCAAAACACATCACACAGTCTGTCTTTGCTGGGACCTGTGGAGACAATGTGATTAAACTTCTAACTACCCAGGCAAAAAATGCAGCTATCAAAGGCTAACTATGTCAACAGTAGAAGAAACTCCTGAAAATGCTCTAAGGAGAACCTTGTGCTGAGCTCCCCCTGCCTGCACACACATCTTGGATTCTGCTGTGTAGTAGCAGTGTGATTTCTTGTGGCTCTACAAAGGAGAAAACTCTGATATCAGCTTCTAATAAATCACAAGCAGAACTTGTTCAGTAAGACCCGGAGCACAGCAGATGGCACCTAACTCCACTTTCTACCATGTGCAGGTAGGCACCAAACGCTTTTGGTTATCTCAGCCTTGGTTATGCTTGTGTTTTATGCAGTAGAGAAGGCCTGGCAGCTGCAGATTAGATCTGCAGTTTTACTGGGGCTGGTAGCAGTTTTAAAATATTGTGAAGAGATGAGGGAGAAATGTGGGGAAGAAACACAATGGTAATAAATATAGACCACTTCCATCTTTGCTTAAATGAGTCCTACCTGGCTGGTTGAGAGATTGAAGTGTGTTGCAACAGCATATGCTGTGTCCATGAACAGTTCAGGCATGCTCACTAAATCCTCAATAGCTTGAAGCTTCAGGCCCAAGAGGTGGCGATCTATTGCATTCCCCCTTATTGCCTGTAAGGATGGAAGAGCAGGTGAAAACCTGTCTTGCAGCAAAGTGAGTAACACTATCACCACTGGGTCAAAAAAACACCAACAAAAAGTCCACAAAAAAAACCCCAAACCAACAACAAAAACCTTTCTAAGTATCTATACATCTACAAAGTTAGAATACTGGACATTGCCCTTAGCGAGTCAGTCTCATTTGTAAAGACTGTGAAAATAAACATACTGGTGGAACCCACTTTACAGTTCCTGCCTATGTGCTTTCTCTGGTTTAAGGTGTTTTCCTGCAGCTGTGGCATTAATCAGAAACCATGGCAGTGAAAACAGAAGTTTTTTTGCTCTTAGATTTTTCCTATCACAAGGGGCTCTTAAACAACTAGTTAAAGAGGAGAAAGCATTCGGGCAGTAGCATTAATGGCCACATCACTGTGCCACAGAGATAAAGCTCTTTAGGTCTTGGATTTGTTTGTTTGTTTGTTTGTTTTTATTCATTTATTGTGTAAAACCTCAATGATGGTTGCACAGAGGTCACTTACCATATCTGTGTATTCCCTGTGGGCCTGGGTAGCTCTCCTCAGCAAGTCGGTTTTCACCTGGTCCTGAAAGGAACACACACATCTTTAGTTTTTCTACAGAACAGCTAACCTCCTTTCAATCATTCCTGTAGGACACAGGTATTTCTGCCTTGTGTGTCTGTACTAGTGTTAATTTTAAAATGATGTTGTTTGGCTGTGTTATGTTATTTCAACTGGAGTTCTCCATCCATCAGCAGTAAAACTTAAGGTGCCTAAGCAAACTATTAGAAGGGAGTTGATTCCTTTTGGGAGTATTAGAAACATCCACCTGTTGTTTCCCTAGCTTTCAGTCCACTCAAAAGAAAGCTAAATTAAATCCAAGGTGAGTAACTGTATACTCTAAGATACATTTTAGCTCAACTTGATACCAGGTGCAGTTCTGCAAAGCTGAAAAAAGCTGACAAAGCCAAATAAGCATCTTTCCCTTATTTCCTGCTGTGGCCTCCTCTCATGCTACTTCTCTGAAATCCTCACCGATTTGTCAGGGCTGTCCATGGATTGCACAAACTTAAGAGACTCAATAGAAGCAGAGCGGATGGTGTCTGTGCGGCCCAAACGGAACATCCTCAGTGAGGCGCTCTCATACGTGGGACAGGCATGGCCGTACATCCTGGGAGATGGGGAAGAGTCAAGCTCGTGTATTTGATCTGAAGGTGGGGAGGATGCAAAGCTACCTCCTGAGTTGGTGATCTTACCTGTAATATGCTAGCTGCAAGGCCAGCTGGATGAAAGCATCAGGACTTATCTTCTCTGACTTGGGGAAGGCTTTTCCAAATTGATGAAAGACCATCACTTTGATATCCAGGTCTTGGACCATGCTGCAAGGAAAGAGACAGGAAGCGTTCCTTCACCTGCTGCTTGTTTTTGAAACATAAATGCATGAACCTGGCTTTCCTGAGGCTGAGAAGGAACAGGCTGCTTGGATCTACGTAGGGACTGATGGCTCCATCACAGTCAGGCTTGATTAGACATGCAGGTGAGTTCTTCTGGTCATTGCTAAAAATCTACACTGAGTTAGATGGGCTTATGTCTGTATACTCCAGTGTCCCTAGCTGAATCTGCTGAGGCTTTGTTCTTAGCAAAAGTGGAATGGATAAACAATTGGCCCTTTTCCATGCCTTTCAGTTTCCTCTTAGCAGGTGGCATTAGTGTGCTTTTCAGCTAGGCTCAATGTTGACCCAGTAAGTCATTGGAAAAACTCCCTAGCAGCAGTGGGGGAAGGAAGGCTGATGTGTTTGAAATGGGGACATGAGTTAAACCTTCAGTCACTCACCAGAACCTCTCCAGTGCTTTGTACTTACATGTTAAGGTTCTGTTTTGCCTTCTCTATGTCATTCTTGATTTCTGGAGTTATGTTAAACCGCAGCTTCTTGGGCATTGGCAAAGGAATCATTGGTGATCTTACCAGCTCGGGTTTCTTCCTGCTTAGAGAAATGATATGTTTAATCAGTCCTTTGACACAAGACTCAGCTAAACATAGTGGAACAGGGGCAGAAGTGCACAGGAGATTTGCCACGCGCTGAAAAACTCTTCACAGTGCCATTACAATGATTTTTGAAGAGTATGAGTGAAATCTCTTCAGTGCCTCCTGCCCAAAAGGAACAGGTACTAGGCAAAAGTCCTGTTGACTCTGAAGAGTAACATTCCCTAAAAATGGAAGCAGCGTGAGCTTGCCTGCTCAATTCTCATTATAAATGTAAGAAAAGCCATCACCAATTAGCATACGATACCGTTCCTCAAGAATAAATTCTTGGTGGAGCAGTGAAGAGGCATGGTCTTGGGGAAACAGGTGCCATAACAGCTTTTCCTTATTTCAAAAGCTGAGGAATGGTAGAGCAGGCAGGACTCACGTGTATTGCACAATGTGATCCAGAATAGCAACGATGGGTGGACCTTCTGCGGGAGCGTGCTCATATACCAGACCACAGGAGCCATCTTCAGCAATGATGAACTATGAGAGATCAGGAAGGAAAATGACTAGTACATGAAGCACGAGCTATCCAGAGAGAGGTGTTAGTGCCTCACTGCTCTGGAACAGACTGGAGAGTGAACCTATTCCTGCATGCTTCAAAGGTAACACACAGAAGTCTTTCAGCAGGCCTAGAAAGATCTAATACTACTGCTAAGAGTTTTGAAAAACTAACTAGATAGAAGTGTGCCTGACAGCTATATTGGTGTGCTCTGGCAGTACAGAGTAGTTCAGTGGGTTTGATTTTTTCAGTTGCACATGTAATACAGGAATAATATCACCATATGCTGACTTAGCCTTACTTTTGCATTACCTGAAACATCTCAGCTTTATCCCATCAAGGAAGAGTTCCAAATAGGAACAAAATAATGGAAAACGTGGAGACCTCAGCAGAGATAGCAATCTTTTAAAGAACCACAGCTTTGATCTGTGAGCCAGGATAGGTGAACTAATAAGGGGGAAGCTCAAATAGCAGCTGCTCATGAATGTTCTTGATTGAATGGAGAATTGACCAGAAGGATGCTGTGGGATGGCAGCTGATGCTGGGGGGGGAGTGGGAAGAGCAACAAAAAAAACCCTGGGCAGCTTCTAGCAGAAACTGGGAAAGTGACAAGCCTAGGGAAAATAAAAGAAACAGACCTCCCTATGTTTGGGCTGCCTCCAAGCAGACAAGGCATTGTTCACCGCAGGCAGAAAATTGATTTACAAGGAACACAAAGAACAGCTACACTGAGTAAGCGTGGGCAGAGGCAGTAGAAGAAATGCAAAGTCCCTGAAGCAAGTTGAGTTGACAGCAAGGGAAACTGAAGGATCTCACGCTGTCAGCTTCCACAGCTTATCTCCTCTGTTTCTCCACTCAGTGCTAGAGAAGCTTTCCTGCAAAAGGTGTCTTGGATTGCTTGGCCCCTTTCAGTCTCAGGAAGAAGCTCAGACTCATCTATTCAGAATCGTTTGAGATCAGCACTTACTTGAAGGGTTTTGTCGAACCATCGGTTCCCACTGTTCCAGCGACTGCCTCCACCGTGCAGCATCTGAGCGGCCACACGACTCTGGTAGATGTCGTCAGACACCCGTGGCATCGGTGCATCAAGGCAGACAGTGCAAATGCTCTTCTCAATTGTACGTACAGATTCCTTGTTGGTCTTATCTGGGAGAGAAAAGGAACAAAAAATAAGAAGAGGGAGTTGAAAAGCTTTCGAGTGGAGAGAGACTGGCATTTGAAAGAGAAGGTTTGAAGGAGCAGTGTTGGATCCCTATGGTACATCAGTGTAATATGTATTATTTAGGGATGTAAAGTGATAGCAGCTGGGTTAAAGATGAATATATACAGTTCCTTCCTTTTCTCAGGCTGGATGGGTCCTGGGCAGCCTGATGTAGTGGGTGGCAACCAGCCCACAGCAGGGGTTGGAACTGGATTATCTGTAAGATTCCTTCCAACTTAAGCCATTCTATGATTTGCAATTCTTACAACCCCAACAAACTCCAGGATTTTGGCTCTAATTCACCAAACTTCAGCTTTCACTCATGTACCTTCTACAACAGAAAAAGCAACAGTTTACAATGAAATCCGCTTGCTGCTTTGGGGTGGGAAGTTCATGTACGTGTTTCCAAAAGCTTTCCAAAGGAAAGAATTGAGCAGAGCACAGCAGTGAGGTTGGTTTTCAAACATTTGTAGTGTTCGTTAGCACTTGGACGTTAGGGACTGTACACACCTTTCAGAAGGTTGTTGTAAGCTTTTGCCCAGCTGTTTCGGTGGTTGGTGGTGAGGATTCCAATAGGTTCTTTGTTTGTTTGGAGGGAGGTGTTCCAGATCTTCTCCAGCTGAATAAAGAGTTGGTCGGTGGTAAGGGGGCTGCCATCACTGTTGTACACATCCAGCTCAAAGAACTGAAGATGAGAACAGACAAGGACATAGGAAATGAAAGAAGATCTTAATTATCCAGCTGCCAAAAGAATGAGCAGCCACTCTGAAGAGGTAAGACCTGATCAAAGAACTCAGTTTGAAAGCAGACCTTTGAAAGGCATTCAGAATTGACAGACCAACCAAGTCCTACTTTCCTTGCAGGACATAAATACAGTCCAGGTTTCAAGAAGGTTGAAAGCTGTGGTAATGAGGGCCAAAACACAAGGATTTTCTATTTCCTACATTTGCCTATAGTGGTAGAATTTGTTACCAATTTCCAACTTGAGTCCCAGCCTCCTAAGTCTGGGCTTTGAGAGACAGGGGTTGCAGGGACAAGAAAAAGAGGTTTCTGCCTCATCCCTTGCTTGCACAGGTCTATCCCAGCTGTTGTTCAGCTAAAGCCAAAGGGAATAAAGGAAGCAGGCGTGAATCTCTGCTGAGGCAAACCTTGTGGGCAGAGTTTGTGTTCCATTTTCTTCAGCAGCACAGCTTACTGAAAGGGACATGTGCATCTAAACAAACCTCCTTGAAAGTCCAGGAGCTGCTCTTACCTGGAAGTTGTGAACCACTGTGATGTGTCTGGATTGCTTCTTGCCCTTGGCGTAGTTGACAATGGAGTCCCGCTTGGGCCCAGGAATGCGGCAGGACGAAAGGATCTGGTAGTACTGGTTCATGCAGAGGGGCTTCCCACCCAGGTACTCCACTGGGAGGGTCTCACTGAAGATATATCCAGGTATGGAAGAGAAAATATAGCAGTGAGAGGGCCTGCTTTCCTTACACAAGACAGACACAGGACAGCCACTGCGCAGCCGCTATCACCTCCAGCAAAACCTAACCGTGTGTGCTGATGGTATAAAAAAGGCTCATCTTTTCCCATTCCTGCTGTGTTAGCTGTCTGCTAAGCTGAATTAAGAGCCTGATAATACTGGGAGATGTATTGTTTCCAGTAAAACAGCAGAAGGATGTTTTCAGCTTTAATCTAGTGGGCCAGCTATGATTCATCAGCTAAGAGTGAGCCTCAATGGACCACTTTAGCAATATATTCCCACTACCCTTTCCACGGTTGGCCCCGAGCCTTAGCTGAGTTTGGATGCAAAGGTATGATGTTGGTTATGTGTTGGCAGATGCTATTTTGAGAACATAAATAAGGTGTATTCAGTTGGTGCTTAGAAGAGAGGGAGTGGGGAGGAACAAGTTTCTCTAAGGCTAGCTGGAAGATGAGCAACACCAGAAACCCAAAAGGAGAGAGACAAATTCCTGCAGCCTGAGCTGTAACTTGTTCTGTGGGCAAACAGAAGTATGTAACTCCACAAGACTGTCTGGCTCAATCCCTCTAAACATGTATGCATGCCAACCAGAGCATTAAGGTAAACAAAGAACATGAAGAAAGTAAATTTGTTCTTTAGCAGTGGTAACCCTGACAGCTAGCAGCAATGCTGATTACAGTATCTCTTCAATATGTGCTGCTATCTGTAAGCTTTTTATTTGGAAGGGAGATTTATTGACTAGGGTCAGCCTCTCTGTGACAGTAAGGAACACCTGAGAAGTCAGAAAAGTTGCTAACTCACTTGTCAATCATGGTCTTGAAATCCAGGATGCCCTCGATCATCTTTGCAGCAAACCTGGAAAAATATCGAATGTAACAAATTGAGATTCCAACACAGAGCACCTGGGGCAGAGGGGCTAGCTAAGGAAGAGGAGCAGCAAAGCCTTCTCTCTGCTCTGTAGAAGTTCATCCATTCTGCCAAGCCCCTGTTGTGTCCATCTCTGGTTAGCTGATACAGCCACTCTGGGGGTGTGATTTCAGACTGCTGGATAGTCCAGCCCTTTAGCACTTAATTATTACATAACAAGGGAATTCTGGACAACTCTCAAGATAGGGTGTAGTCTGAATATATAAATAACCCTCTAAAAGCAGCATTTTCTACTGCTGTGTGATGATTTTTGTCCCATCCAAGTCTCAGCATTAAAACAACATGAAGGGGACTTCTGCCCTTCCCTGGCCAGAGGCCAGCTCTGAGTTTCAAGCTAAACTGCAGCTGTACATCTCTGTATTGAGGACTCATTAATGCTGATCTAGCTCCTACCTGCTTCATGTTCTGCTGCTCATGCAGCCCTAAAAGCACTCCTTTGGCAGTGAAGGATCTGAAACAAATGCAGGCATGCTGCATACTGACACTGAGGTGTTGTGCTCACTAGGATCAACAGAAACAGTTTGTAGTGACCAGCCACATCCAACTGCTTTGCTTGGGAGTGACAAGTTGGCCTTTTCTGACCTGGGAGCTCTGAACCACGCGTGGGAGGAAAGGGGCAGGAGGTCACTGTGACAAGAGGTTGCAGTCAGCTGAACTTCAAAGGCTTTAAAGTAGTAGCAGCATTTGGCATCTGCATGCAGTGTCATCCAGATTTGCTCAACCTCCCCATCCCTAGTAAAAATCAAAGTGACTCCAAGAACCTAAGGGCTGTTAAACAAACACAGCACGTGTCTTCCAAGGTAGTTTTCAGTGAAAATTTCCCAGCCTTACTGAAAAATCTGAGGAAGTAAAACAGCCAAGAAACAGAAGTCAGGGAGTCATTTCTGAGAGGAAACAGCCTGGGAGCAGAGTTAGAGCTTCAGGGGAAGAGCTTTGTTAGCTGACTTGTTTCCAGTCTCTTTTGACAGACTGAGGACTAAAGAACACTTTCTAAACTTGCTTTCTGATTTCTGAAGCTTTAGTTTCAAGCTACACCGTCAAACTTCTTTATGCAGTCACAAAATAGACACTTTGAACTGTATTTTCAAGGGTAGCCCAGATTATCGTGTGGCTGCTCAGTTCCCTGGGTTGGAACAGTGGTAGTTCTCCAAGTCTTATCTGCTATCCACACAAAAGTGAATACAAGCAAAACTTTTCAGAGGTGTTTGTGTAATTCTGTGTTGTCCTTGTAAGGCTCACCCTCTGTACTGCTGGTCAGGTGTATCCAAGGAGCAGATACAGCTGACAGCAGCAGTGCTGCCCTGGTTGGTACTTCTCATCTGCAGGGAGCAGCAGTAACTGGGGAAGAGGTAGTCCTGTGTAAAGGTCAATGCTAACGTTTTGCAGATGGAGTTTGAAACACACGTCTACAATGGTGGTTAAAAATTAAAGGGAGGGAAGAGAAGATGTGAACCAGATGCTGGTTCAGGAATGAGCAAGAGAATCTGCTGCAGATGGGCAGCGGTGGGCTGGTTTTAGCTGTGGGACTCTGATGCTTACAACAAAGGGCAGACAACAAAGGGCAGGGCAGAACTGCTAAAAGTTCTGGTCATGGAGAGAGACTGGTGACTGTTGGTCTTCTAACCCATAAATGAAATTACAAAACAGGAGACAGTCCCTGCAGCAAGTTCCCTTGTCCCTCAGAACTAGCAAACTTTCACACCTAGGCTAGTCTTCATGCCTCCTTTAATTGCACACACAGTCTTACTGCCTTCTAGCTTTTAGTGTGTCAGATATATCCTCACAATGCCTCCAGTCAGGGCTGTCAAGCAAAGACAAACTTAAGTTTTGAGTTCAGTGCCTGAACCACCAGACTCTTCACCTTATAACCAGGATTCCTTACAGCCTACCAGCCTTTCCTTATCTGTATAGCCCTCTTGCACAGCATGGACAGGCTATAGCATGCCAACTACTCCCAGACAGCCTGAACACCCACCCCCAGTCCAAAAGAGGTAGCTCATCCCATCTGAAGCCCAAGGGAAGGCAGAAAAGGACTTTACCTGAGCTGCCCTTGTCGATCCTGAAAATCCTGCTTAGGTAAAACCACACCAGGGCTGGAGTGAACCACAACTGGCAGGCGATACTCCAGGTAAGCTGTCTTCAACCACCAGTCCGAGAGCTGGCATGGAGAAAGGCAACATGCAGGCACAGCATCTGCTGCTTTTTGACCCAAGCCAAGCTGAACGCTCTCAACACCTTGACCGCAGTTCTGCCCCACACTTTGCAAACAGACTGTTTGGGTTTTATGTTTTGTTTATGGTAGGGGGGCACTGTAGTGAAGCACTAGGGGCTTTTGATGCAGGGCTCAAAAAGGAAGTTTCCTTCAACTCCTTAGTGCCAGCTTTGCGATGCCAACAAGCTAAGGGCTTCAGCAGCCACAGCCAGGGGCAGTGACCCAAGCCCTGGTGAGGGTCGTGCACATCTTAGGAAGGCCAGCAGCAGGCTGCTCATGAAGACAGTGCCATAAGAACACAGATCCCAGCGGATGCTGGAGAGGCACGCATCAGGCCTCTCCCCCCACACAAAGCCTGGGACCAGAGTCCCAACCTACCCAGTTCTCTGTTTTCCTCGCTCTCCTCTCCAGGCCTTTCTGCAGTCTCTCCCCAACACCTCCTGGCTTGCGGAACTCAGCCACCAGCTCCTGCGTGTGGTTCAGCTCCTCCTCACTGATGATGGGCTGCAGGGTCAGCAGGTAGCGATCCAGCGTCTGCTGAAGCGGCGGCACGGGGAGAGGGGGCAATGCTTCTTGATGAAGTAGAAATCTGCCTGGGATCTTGCCTAAAGCTGTTGGCTTCAGCAGGCCATAGGGCCTGGCCTGTAAAGCACAAAGCAAATGTCGAGACAGAACTTCCCCCTGATGTGCATGGGGTCACAAACAACTTGGGTCTGGGAGTCCCCGTCCCGGATTCTGAAGGTATCTCATCAGGGGAACGGAGCACAAGAAGCAATGCAAGGTGCACATCTACGACTGCATGCTCTAGCAATTTCTAATCTCTATATGGTTGTAAGATGTTCAGAAAAGCTGCAAGAGAAATCTGATCAATCAGGATCCTGATTCTTATCTCCGTGCAGGAAACACTGCAAGGATAATAACACATCCCTGCTGTCTGGGTGCCTTCTAGCTGAGTATCTCCATGTTTCTCAAGCCAAACTTCCATCCCATGGGAAGTAAGTCATGAAAGAAACTTAATCTTAGGTAGTCAGAAGCCACGTAATTGCTTCTCAGGATACACAATAGAAGAAGGTCAAAAAATTAAGCAGAGCTCTGTAACAAAACAAATTACACTTTAGGCTTTTGGAAGGTGGGGGGGGGCAGATTTAGTTAAGGTAAGCTAAGCCTGAGGCAGGATTAAAACCCCTCTGCTTTGGCCAGGGATGGTCTATCACAAGTGATGGTCAGGGAAAGACTGGCTGTGTTGGCCTTTGGGCAGTGCTTCTTTGTGCTGGTGAACCTCCCTGTCGGTGGAAGCCCCAGCAGTATTAGGACAGCCTCTATTCAGTTGTACCAGTATGGAGCTGTTCAAATTATAGGAATCTCTGGAGAGGAATCACTGGGAGCTGTTCAGGAAATTGTGGGTGATGGCAACAGGCTTTGGGGATCAGACAGGTGAATGAAAGCCTTAGACAGCATCACACCAGGTGATATCCTTTTCTACAGGAGTCTGGGATGCAAAGTGCCTTTTGCTTAACCTTATTTGCAAGGCAATAAGAAAATAAGTGCCCCCATACCTCCCAGCTCCCAGGAGTTAAGCAGAGAGAAGAAGAAAAATCTGCAAAGTGACAAAGCTTTCTGCATGGTGCTGAGCCCTCAGAGAAAGTGCTGTATGCTCTTTGCAGGACACAATAAAAACCATGTGATCAAGGTTTGGGGAAGGAGGGTTAAAAACAAGAGAAGGGGGAATTACTCAAGCATTAAAAGAGAGGGGCTGGGAAGAGATGAAGGGAATTAATCATGGCAGCATGAGGATACTGTACCTTCTCTGCTTGCTTCTGCTTGCTATCCATGGCTGGGAGGACAGAAATGATCGTAAAGCTCTCCCTCGGCCTGTCTTGGTTTCCTCTTCCCCCTGACAACGGGCTGCCCGTGCAGGGCGTCACCTGATTAGCAAACTGCCACATGACTGCTCCGATCAGAGGGCTCAAGGCCAGGCACAGGTCAGGGAGAGCTGGGGGTAATCACACCATCAAATGCCATGAAGGCACCTTTCCAGGAAGCCCTCCCTCGGTCACTGATTGTCAGCCCTGCACTGCCCCGGTCTGTGCCTGCTGACTGCTCTTGGATCAATAGCTCTGGGCCTCCAGCCATGGCAGAAATGAAAGCATTTGGAGCTAAAGATATCTTCCTGCTCTTCCTCCATGCACGTATGATCATTATTGCAAGACTTTGGGAAGTAAAGGGTTGTCAACCCTTATAAATAAAAAGGTATCTCCAAAGCAGAGCAACAACACGGTGCAGTCCCAAGGACTATTACGCTCCTCTGGGCAACTGAGGGGGAGACAGAAGCAGGCTTTAAACACAGCTAAGATCACAAGCAAACAGAGAAAACCCCACACTAAATTAGTTGAAAACACAAGTTAAAACACGGGGTAGATTTATGTTTTCTCTTTTATGTCTGTCCTCTGCTTGTTTGGATCGAGGTCAAACTCAAATGTTTGATACAAGGAGGAGCAGTGATCACAGCTGAACAGAGGAGGCAGCTGGCAGCAGAGATAGTGAGTAGCCTGCCTTTTCCCCACAAGCACCGGGGAAACAAACAGCAGAGTGCAATGTGTGTGGATGGATCCAGCCTGCAGGCTGGCAATGCTCCCAGGCCACGTTCCAGTACAGCAAGTGACCTTTTCCAGAGTGTGTAAAGCTGATGCGAAGTCCACCTGCAGGCTTGGGGGCGGGATGGATTTCAGAGCGGTGTCTGATTCCCAGCACAGCCACAACGTGTAGTGTCAGATTGTGTTTGTCTTTTTAAATTAGAAACTGGAGCCCCCTCCAGCCCTGAGGCAACCAGTGCTGAGAAAGCACCTCATGGAGTGAATCCACAGAGCTGACACTATCCTACACTGCCTCCTGCCCTGACATCCACAGCGGTGTCAGTGAGCTCTGACAAAACCAAGGGCTGGGTGCTGCACTTTGGCAACAACAGCCCTACGCAGTGCTATAGACTTGGGGCAGAGTGGCTGCAATGGTATGCAGAGGAAAAGAATCTGGAGCTGAACGTGAGCCAGCAGTGTGCTCAGGTAGCCAAGAAGGCCAATGGCACCCTGGTTTGTATCAGCACTAGTGCAGCCAGCAGGAACACGGAGGTGACTGTGGCCCCATACTGGCACTGGTGGGGCTGCACCTCAGTGCTGTGTTCAGTTCTGGGTCCCTAGAAAGACATCGAGGCTCCAGAGCGTGTCCAGAACGTCTCTTCTCAAAGGAGCAGTGCTGCATTGACGCAGCTGCCCACCCTGCACAGCTGCTGGGGTCACCATGCATGGAAGTGTTCCAGACCCGCGGAGATGCGGCACTGAGGGACGTGTCGGTGGGCTGGGGTTGGGCCTGGGGATCTGAGAGCCGTTCTCCAACCTTCACGGACATCTTGCCCAGCAGCGATGCCAAGGCCCAGGCGGGCCTCAGGGCCTGCAGGCTGCCATCCCCTGCCTGCACCCCTCAGCGACAAGGGGACACCACCCGCACCCCCGCTCCCCTCAGGCTGGAGGCGAGGCCCGGCCGCCATCTCACGCACCCCGCGCCCCATCCCGTCCCTCTTGCCTCGCACTCACCGCCGCCCTCGCCACGCAGCCCAGCATGGCTCCGCTCCCGGCCGCCGCCGCCCGCCGCAAGGACACCGGCGACACCGGGCGCCGCCGCCCCGCTCGGCCAATAAGGGGCGGGGCCGCTACGCCGCCATCTTGGTGCGGGACGAAGCCGGCTCCGCCATTTTGGGAAAGGGCACAACACCGCTGTCAGAAGAGCGAGCGCAGGCGGAGCGGCGAGGCGGCTCTCCCGTTGCCGGCTACCCTCTCCGTGCTTTGGCGAGGCGCCTTGTTCGAGCACGGCCGCCTCCACACCCTCCGAGTAGGCAACGGCACAACTGGCGGTCGGGAGGGAGGTCTGTCGGTTAGACAGCCAGCCAGACGGCAGGCCGGCCGGGCTGCGCGTGCCCGGCTCAAAGATGGCCGCCGGCAGCCTCGGCGTCCGGGGTGAGAGGTGAGAGTTGAGGGGTGAGAGCGGCGGCGGCGGCCTCCGGGAAGATGGCAGAGAGCGAGCGGCGGGCAGGTGAGAGCAGGGCCGGGGGCTGCGGTGCCCCGAGGGCTGGCGGGGGATCGGGGTTCATCTCGCGGCAGCGGGACCCCCACAGCCGTCGCTCCTTTCTGCGTGTCCGCAGCGGAGCGGTGTCTGCGGGGAGCGGGGCGGACCGAGCCGAGCCGAGCGTGGGCCGGCAGCGCGGGGCGGGCCGGGCGGTGCGAGCCGGGGCTCCTCGGCCCGGAGGAATCCGCCGTGCTCGTGTCGGACGCTGCTCTGAAAAGGGGCTCCGAAGCGGTGGTTCTCAGTTGTCGGCTGGGTTTTTGGAGGAGCGGAGCCACGGCATCCCCTTCAGCCCTCCTGCGTGGTTCCTCAATCTCATTCTCTTAAGCAGAACTCGCGGGCAGGTGGGACAGGCGAGGAGCTGACATCGGTCCTCAGACAGAGAGCTCGCAGCATGGAGAAGTTCCGTCCTGAATGATTTCCTGAACTTTTTTCATAGCAGATCCTCCCTGTTTCCCAGGACTTTGGGTTCCCTTTTCCCTGCTCTGCACACACAGGGGCTGCCTTTGCTCTCGGGTGGTATTTTTCTGGAAATGCAGCCTTTAGTGACATTTCAAGGAGTTCCAATGGGTGCCGTGGAGCACTGTGCTGTGCAGTCGCTGAGGTGCTTCTCCAGGTGCTGAGCAGGCAGAGGCCTGCAGGTGTTCTGGGGTTCATGTGGTGAGCAGGTTGGCCCTGATAGAATTCATGAATTTGCATGAGCCCTTGGTTTCTTTAACAGTTGTCTGCTCTGCTGCCTCGTGCTGCTGTGTGGAGGCAGGAGTTGGACTCGGTGGTCCTCGTGGGTCCTTTCCAACTGGGATAGTCACTGATTCTATGGTAGAAGTCATGCTTACAGAGAAGACTGCAAACTGCCTCCAAATGATCTTTAAGGTGCTGCGAGCCAGCATCCTCAGTGCTTCTGGAATGGGGAGCGCTGCTCTGGGCTGCCATCTACTGAATTGCTCTTGTGTTGTCTGCAGGAATTGTACTTCTTAAGGGAATGCAGCTCTGGGAGACCACCCTGAGAACAGGTGGTTTGTCAGGAAAGCTTAGTGCTTTAGCATGACCCGAGGCTTCACCCTAGAAATAGTGAAACTAGCTGGATGCTATCACTGCTAGCTCCTGCAGGCTTCTCTCTCTGACTGGGGAACTCATCTTCAGTAGAGACAGTGAACGTAATGCAACCTTCCGAAGCCATCAAGTGTCCCCAAGGGAATGTTATTGAGAGGATACTGCTTGGTGAGCAGGACTTGGTGAGATAAAGGCATGGGCAGAGATACTTTCTTGCTTTCAGTCTCCTGGGACATTAATGTTGCTTTCTATGAGAGGAAGGTTAGAGGACTGCTGCTCCCCCACTGCCTCTGTTTCACCTCTTTCTTGCATCTCCCAGGCAATTCAGAGGAGATGGCTCCTCCTCTCCAGCAGAGCTTCATGATCCCCAGGAAGGAGATAAACATGGTTTCTGACATGGGCAAGTGGAAGCGCTCTCAGGTATGTCTGTGGGTTCAGGGAAAACTGGTAAGTGCTTATTATGTTACAGTGGCAGCTGAGTCTGGACTGGTAACTGCCTCTAGGTGTGCAGCAGGTTTGGGCAAGCTATGGGAAATTAATTGATGTGTGTTAAAGCAGGAGTCGCTGCCTGTTTGTAGGAAAATGACTTGGCAGTGAGGTGTCAAATGCTCAGACAAAGGAGCCCGGAGAGCCCAAAAGTTGAAGGAGATAAGAGAGGTGTAAGAATTATTACTGCTCCCTGCCGGCATGCCAAGTGGTAACTGTCTCACCCCACATAACCTGTATGTTGTGAGGTACTAGCTTTACCCAGTGCTGTTTGAATTCAGCTTGAGTGTGATCTGGCTGTCTGGCCCTCTTACGACATCAGAGTGAGTTGATTCCTGGTGCCTTCCCACCGTGCTGTACTGGAAAGGGCTCTAGAGCCAAAGCCTTCAATTTACTGGGTAATTTTTGTTTATAGTGTCTGTGGGACTGGTGGAACAGGCAGATTCTCTGTTCTCTGCCTTTAAGAGATGGCAGTGATGGCCCAGACTTGTTTCTCCTGTTCGTTCTGCTGTTTAGGAACAAACTCTTGCTTAATGTCTTATGAGCACCTTACTGTAACCAGCTCTCTAGCAAACTTGGGGATTGCAGTTTCCTTTATTAAATCTTCTGGGATTGAGGCCTTGCTCCTCTCTGGATTTCTGTGTGACAGGGTCCCAAGGAGCAAGAGTTGGCAGTGTGCTACTCTAGCCATTCCACAGTGTTAGAGCTACTGAGCTGTTCTGCATATGATATTTCAAAAGCAGCACAACGGTGAGGAATTTGGGCTGTCTCCCACTTCTCCATCATGCATGTATGCAGGAGAACAGAAGGAGAAAAGAGGAGATAATGACAGGTCTGGGAGAAGCAGTGCGGAACGGGATGTCTGGACACCACAGAGATTCTGCAGAGCCAGGGAGTGTGAATTTGACCTGATAAGAGGCAGGGAGCTGAGAGAAGGATTTCAGGGCGGTGTGAGCTTTCCTAGAATTCTTCTCTCCATAATTTTTTCAGCAATGCAGAGTTGTTGGTGCAATCACCATCTGCCTTCGAGGTCTGCCAGAAATAGCAATAACCTCACAGCAAGCCCTGTGCCCTGGCTGTCTCCAAGAAAGCAATGCTGTGTTCTGGGAAGGGTTCCCTTGGTGTGCAGGAGCACGGTCATGCTGCAGTGCTTATTCAAACAGACTGTGGGTACTCACTGACACCTTGCTCTTTTGGACGTGTTTGCAGGCATACGCAGATTACATGGGCTTCATCCTCACCCTGAACGAAGGTGTCAAGGGCAGGAAACTGACCTGTGAATACAACGTTTCAGAGGTAGGAGGGGAGTTTAGATCTGCTTGTTTCTCCTTTTTTGCTGCTTTTGATTTATTTTTTTTTTTGTTGTTTTGGTCTCTACAGTGAATATCTCCTAAGCAAGGGATGAGCTGACAACTTATCTGGGAGAATAAATATAGTTGGGCTGTGTTTGGGGATGTAAATGTCAGCCTGGTGCAGAGGCACTGTGTGCTTGCTGTTAGGAAATGGAGCAAGCTACAGATGGACAGAAACTGGTGATGGAAAGGAAGCTTCAGCAGGGATGTGCTTTGGCCCTGATTTTACAGTCTGGCTTCAACCAGGGTTGTTTTGTAGATGTGATACTCCCTCCTGGCTGCAGCCAAAAGGCAAAGAAGTCTGTACTGCTCCTGCTTCTCCCACTGCCTCTCTGTGTGACCTCATCTATGTGGTGCTGGGCCGGTTCTAATGTCCTTGTCAGAGACATGGCATGGTGTTTTGGAGCCAGTGGGGCTGCCAGAGGGGAGGGAGGGAGAAAGGGAGGGAGAGCATCTCCCCTGCTGCTGTTGCCTTCCCCCAGCCACACGTAGACTGTTCTGAGGTCGCTATGGGTGCTGCAGTGATCTGCAGATTATGTGCTTCCATGTTGCATGCTGAATTCTCCTCCCTTGTTCTGTGTTGGAATGAGGAGATTCTTTGGTATCTTTTTACTGTTTGAGCTTATCACAGCTGTGCAAGACAGCTGGGAACGGTCTGGCTAGAGAAGATCTGGGTGGAATGGAAAGCAGACTGGGCCTGTGTGTTTATAGATTCATTCTTGTGTGGGAAGGCAGCCTACGACGATCTTTAACCTAGCCATTTGTGTCTGGAACGGGCATGTAAAGTCCAGCCTTCACTTCAAGGAACGATGTGTGAATGAGAAACTTTGCTTGTACTTCATGGGGGGGATCAGGGATAACGAATGCCTCTCTAACAGGCTTTGTGTCCACCCTTTGTTCCTTTAATTCGGTAGAATGTGCCGTCAAATGCCACTCTTGCTTTCCACTGTTTGTATTTCACCTTTGAGTTTTGCCTTTGTCATAATCTTGCTCATTCACAGAGCTGGTTCTAGGGAAACAAAGCATTAAAAATGTACAAAAGGAAGGAACAAAAACTCCCTTTTCTTCCACCCCCTCGGAGAGGCTGTCAGGCTGTGTCTGTGCACGGGTCCCTCTTGGAGTGAATTGATCCACCCGCAGCCCCAGTACGGGCAATAAACAAGAGATGTGATCCTGGCTGCTGGGGATGTGGCAGGGAACATGTCCCATTCCCCTCGCGTGGGGGAGAGCAATAACTCGTGACTGGAGGCACAGGTGGAGCATCCCCTGGGTCGCCTTGTTGATGAGGTTGCCTGTTCATGCAGGTTTGTTTGTAGATCAAACTGCTTATCTTTGCTTTTAAAGGCTCAGCCCCTTGTGGCCTCTGCTTGCATCTCTGCTCTGCTTTCTTCTCTTTTGCCCGTACCTGCTGCTGATGTGCTTTTGTGCTGTCCCATCTTCCTCCCTGATCAAATGCTGGAGATGCCTTCCTTTGGCAATGACCTCCTGGAATCCTTTCCGCTGAATGCGTATCCTCTGCGACTGACTGTATTGCTTTGCAAGCATGGTCTGTTCTGCTTTGAAAGAGACAGCTTAATAGGTTCTGTAGTGGTGTGTGTCGGTAGCAAACAGCCTGCTGGAGTGAGAGCCTGGTCCTTTGGGGGCTGAGCCCCTTCTGAGATTGGCTGAGCTTGCTCCTCTTCTGCTGAGAGATCTGGAGTTTTGCTGGAGACGTTGGGTGGCTGTGTAGCACTGTGGCATTGTATCTGGCAGGGGCTGTGTGACATCAGCAGGCTGTGACCTGCCTTCTCCTGCAGGGAGTAATTCTCACATGGGATCTGTGCAGCGGGTGCTGGGCTGCAGCCTGCGGTGGGCTTTCAGAGCTGGCTTTGCTCAGAGCAGCAGCGCAGCAAGGGGAGAGGTTAATGCTGGCTGTGCGAGGGGCAGACCTTTCCCTCAAGCAGCCCACTGCCCAGCAGTACTGGGGGAAGCTGGCTGGCCTCATGGCTTGCTCTGCTCTGTAAAGGGAAGCAGCAAATGGCCTAATTTCAGCAGCTCCCCACTCTGGTAGGGTGCGAGTTGCCCCAGGATCAGGTTTGCTTCTTGCGGGTGGCCTTGGCTGCTCTGATGCCTCTGCAGCACCTCCTCCTGCCCCTGCTGGGAGTGATGCTGGCAGGTCTCTGTTCTGCACGAGGCTCTGCAGCTCTCCTTTGGGACCGGCGGCAGGCTCAGGGTCAAGGCGATGCGAAATCAGCACAACAGGAAGAGCAAAGAGAGCAAGGGGGGGCGCGGTGGCTGTCCTTGCTTTGATCACTGGAAAGGTAAAGCAAAAATAGAGCTTAAAAACCCAGCCAGGCAAAACAGGGTTGCAGCGGTGCTGATGGTTGTGTTCCCGTAAGCCCCGCTGCTCCCCTCCCTCCCCCTGCTGGGGTCAGCCCCGGCTGCACAAGTTTCCTCTGCAGGACAATGGGAGCTGCTGCTTTTAATAACCCCTTTTCAAAGGGCCGTGAGCCCAAACCGAGCCGCATCTCTTTAATTATTTATTGGCACGGCTGAGCCGGCAGCTGGGTCCTGCTCACCCGCCTTCAGTGGGGTTGTGCTTTTTAATCCTTTTAAAGCAAGTGAGTGGGGAAGGGGAGGTTGGACTCTGCGCTCCCCGAGGCCTGCGGGCAGATCTGGGGAGGGGGAAGGAACCCGTCCTCAGCAACCATTTATCCAGGCAGCTCCGAGTGCTTGCTGAGAGGGGTTTGAAATACGGGAGCTGCTTGTAATGAGCTGCTGGTGCCGGCGGATAAATCACCAGCACGATTTAATTATTTAATGCAACCCGGTGCTGAGGATGCTGTTGCTTAATTGGAGGGGAATGCAATAGCCAGGAAGGGATGGAGCTGAGTCCAAACCCGACCCATTGCAGTGGGGAGGTGCTAAGCTTCTGCAGCATTTTGGGCAGCGTAGGGCTGAAGCAAAGAGGGCTGTGCTGCCTTGGTCTGTGCAGATCCTTGGCACAAGCATGCAGCCTCCCCAGAGGACCTCTGTCCCTCAGCACACTTGTGCTTTGGTCCCCTGTGTTCCTGGTGTGCTCAGGTGAGGTGTTGCCCTTCCTCTCAGCCCCTGGCCTTGCTCGTCAGCCAAGTGCTGAAGTCCTGTGGGACGAGTGGATCCTTGTCCTTCCTGATCCGCGCTCTCTGATCCCACCACGTCCTGAGCTCCAAGGAGTGCTGCCAGAGGGATACTGTGCTGCTGTGAGGCTGTTTCTCCTGGGTTCAGAAGGAGCAGGGATTGCTGTCCAGCTTGGCCGTGGCTGTGTCTCCTCCCCACCCCCTTCAAGTAGCACTTCAAGGGCTGGAAACTTGCTGGTCTCGGCTCTTTCTTCATCCTCCCGGCAGGCAGCAGGAAGAATTGAACCACAGCCCAGGAGACCAGCCGGCTTCACACGGTCGATGCCTCCAGCAAAGTCAAACCAGCCGCTGTTTCTGCTGTCCTCTTTGTCCCCTTGAAGGAGGAATCTCCTCTCGAGACAGAGGAGCCTACATTGCCCAGGGCCTGGCCAGCTGCTGTGGCATTTGATGGCTCACTGACTGCTTGTATTTGGGCAAGGGGAATCCCAGACCCTCTGGCAGGCTCCATGGGTTGTCAGCAGAGCCTCCTAATGAAACTGCTTGAAGCTTCTAAAATAGTGGCCTACAGTGCTTGAGACACCATACTGTGTTGCCTGTGGCTCTGTGGGTCTCGCTGCTTTTCCTTTGTGGCTGCTGGTGTGCCTTGTCCAGTCACTCTCTCCTAAATCATACACACGTTCCTCACTTCTTCCTTCTAGCACTGGATGCAAGAAATCAGCTCTCTTTCCTTGCTGTTGTCTTTGCCTTCCCATCAGCATTGTTCTTGTACTGAGATGTTTTTCTTAGAACCCAGAGCTTCTCATCCTTGCTCTGATGAGGCTGTTGGGGCAAGCCAGGCTGTTTCATCCTCCTGATGGACTGCATTTTGCCTATGCACTTGTGCAAGGTGTAACGTGCACAGGCTATCATGGGGTTGGAGCTGCCTTAGCAGTCTGGCTGGTGCAAGTTTGAAGCAATGTGGTTACTCTAAGAATGCTGAATTGAGATTTGGCCCTGTTGTGCTGGGTGCTGTACAAATGCAAACATCCTCTCTGCAAATCCTGGCTCCTGAGATGTTCCAGGACAGGATTAGAGGCGTTGAGAAGGAAAGTTTACCTTCAAGACCTGTATGGTACGTGCTGTGGCTGTATGGTATGTGCTGTGTTGGGCACACAGGACCCTGAAGATGCAGAGACTGAGTTTTGTTGGAGATCCCTGAATCGTGTGACACTTCCCTGCTACTCAGCCCTGTGTGTCCTACAGCTAGGAGCTTGCTTTAGCTCTTCTCCCTGAGGTTTTAGAGCATAGTACTGTAGCAGCTGATGAAAGGCTGTGTGGGCGACTGGAGAGACTGCCTCAGGCTGGGCTTTGTGCTGGGCTGATCTGAGGAGGGAGGGAGGATTGTCTGGCCATTGTGCATTTGGGGAAAGTTGGCACATCCTGTTCTTGCCCTCCACCCTTGAGGAGGGCAGTGTGGGCCTCAACAATTCCAAGCCATGGCAGAGGCCTGAGGAATTGCTCTGTTTCATGACAGACCATGACCCCTCATTTTTCTTCTCTCTGTAGCCAATTGAAAAGCTGGTGGCTCTTCTGAACACCCTTGACAGATGGATCGATGAAACCCCACCAGTGGATCAACCTTCTCGCTTTGGGAACAAAGCCTTCAGGACTTGGTATGCCAAACTAGACCAGGTGAGTATGTCTTTCGTGTACAATGTTAAATGCAGCTCCTACAGAAGGGCAGCATGTTTAGCAGGGATAACAGAGTGATTCCATCATTGTGAGGCAAGTGAGCAATCTACAAAGGAGTTGTGCAGACAAGCTGAGAAGGATCCTTCTCTTGATATATATCACTTACTCCTGATCTGTTGCTGTCTTCACCTCTTATGAGACCATATGGTCCATGTAAATGCTCTTTGATGAGTTTCCAAGTCCTGAATCAGCCTTTGGGGTCCTTCAAGCCCAAGGAAGACCTTTGCTTTGTAACTATTAGCGAACAGATGACAGAGAAGATCAGAGGAGGGTTGTGAAACTGCTTGATGTTCTTCAACTCAGACTACATGCCCTGCACCAAGCTCTGGAGGTGGCACAGAGTCCAAGCAGGAATGTCCTTTTGCAGGTGGTCTGCTGCTCTGTTAATGCTTTGGTCCTGTGGGTGAACCAGTGGGTAACTGAGCTGATGTATTTTTTTTTCTTCCCCCCCCCTCTGCAGGATACATGTGGCCTGGATGGGTGTTAGGATGAGCTCTCCCAGAGTTATTCCATTTCTCTGCTTCTAGAATAGGCAAATACTCTCCTCTGTCATTGCTGGCTCTTACATATGTAAGAGTGCACCATTGTAGATCCCCCCTCTGCATCAGTGTGTGAGCATCATCTTGCCCGTGAGGACTGTGACAGATGTACACTCACTTGGGGGAGTCTTTTGTGTCTTCCAGGAAGCAGAAAATTTGGTGGCAACAGTGATCCCCAAACATTTGGCCAGTGCTGCACCAGAAGTGGCCGTGTACCTGAAAGAATCCGTGGGGAACTCTACCCGCATTGATTATGGCACAGGTATTTATTGCTTGAGCATGCTCAGTGGCTGAGACTGCTCTCCTTTGGGTAGTGACCCTCTGGAGCCGGCTGCTGGGTGTATTTAAATATGTTTTAGCAAGTTTTCTCTGTGTCAGTTTGCTACAAACACTTTCTTCCTCACCCAGCATTCGTTGTGGGTTGTGACACTCTTCACATGTCTCATCTGAGGAAACATGAATCAAGCTGTGCAGGCCATTCTGGGATGAACTGTAGGAGTAGCTTTACTGCACATAGCAATATTGCACAGCTGATCCACAACAGGCAACTTAGAGGAATAAAATGTAATTACTTATATTGGAAGTAAGGGGAGCAAGGTTGTAGACAGCAGGAAGTGACTCGGGGTCTGGTGCTCCTTGGAGGTGACACTGCTGAGTAGAGAAGGACTTTAAAGTCTGAATGTTGAAGCATTTTGTACCTGGGAAGATAGTGAATTGCAGGCTGGAGTAACCACTCTGGCTTCAGTTAGACCTAAATGCAGAATCTTTGGTTTGAAACCATGTGGTTACTGCATGCTTTGCTCCTCTGTCTGGAGGACAGGTGTGCTGAGACGGGTGTGCTAACCAAAGGTCAGAAGAGTAGGATGCTGTGGGTACAAAGAAAGATGGCTTCAGATTTGGGCAGGGAGGGGAGGAGGAAGAGGACTTGGGTTAAAGGATGAAGAGCTGGAAGCTGAGCAGTGCTTGCTAGGAAAGCTGCAGCTCACTGGCACCAGGGGGAGATGTTGTCTTTGGAAAGGGACCCACACGCATGGGTTTTGTCAGCTCAGGGAAGGAATTTCAGCCTTTGCTCCCCTCCAGTGTGTCCCAATCAAGTGTCCCAAGTGTTCTAACTGAGGGTGACTGGACTATGGATGTACTTTGTTCCTACACTGGAAGCTGCACTTCTTTGCCACGTGGAGCTGTTGATCCTGGTTCTGTGGTCCCTTCCACAAAAAGACGTTGCTCTGATTTTGCTGGTTGTTTCTTTTCCCTGCTGTTAGCTGGAGGGCCAAGCTGCAGAGGGTCAGCCAGAGATCCCAGTACCTTCTGGGACGGTCTGTTCCTGCCAGCATCATGGGATCTGCATCCTTCCGACACAGATATTTTTAAGTGGGAGGAAGTCTGTTTACTTGCAGATGTGAAGTTCTCTCATATCCTCTGAGCAGGCGACTCTGCAGAGCTCCACATCCCACTGCTGTGCTGAGCTCCCAGGAAGGCCCTGCCTTGCTCCCAGCACCCCCACTTGGAGCTGCATTTCCTCAAGAACTTTTCTCTCAGAGTTAATAACCACCTTGTGAATATCTGGAAGGGGTACTTTGGGTGGGTGCTGTGTGGGGATGAAATATTGTCAGCTCCTGTAACAGGATAAGGCAGCACATCAGGGACAGTGGGCAGGGGCTTCCTCTGTAGGAATATGACTGCTTTGATTTTTGAAGAGCTGCTGTACTCGCCATAAGGTTGTCCTCAGGACCAGAAACACTCGTGTCACATCTCATTTCTTTTCACTGTAGGACATGAAGCTGCGTTTGCAGCCTTTCTCTGCTGCCTCTGCAAAATAGGTGTTCTCAGAGTGGATGACCAGATGGCCATTGTCTTTAAAGTATTTAACAGGTGAGATACCAGAAGGAGAAGGGCTGGAAACATTGGGCCACTTGAGGGCAGATCCCAGACAGCCCCTTCCAGCTGTCTGAGATGTGTGAGACGCTACCACGTGTTCCATACATCGTACTCCTGTAGGTTGGGCTGATTGTGGCCTCTTCCTTCCACTCATCCATGCCCATCTGGGAGTGAGAAACTATAAGGAGGTCCTTTAGCTGGGATATGAGCTGCATAAAACAAGGGCTTCTATGCCTAGCTAAAGATCATGAGTGCTGAAGGGTTTGCTGGCCTACACAGAAGGGCAGAGTGAAAAAAGTGAAGACAAATTTAGGAAGCAGATGTGCTTTTTAATAGAGCATAGCACATCATCTATTAGAGGCTGTGTGCCTTTCTGGAATGTTACTGATACTGTAAGAGTGTTTGGATGAAGTTCTGTGATGGTCAGAAATATCTGGTCAGATGTTACATCTCTTCAGGCATTAAAACAGTAATCTGTGAAGCTGGCAGGCCTCCACTGCCCCTCAAGATGTCTTTCCAGCCCAGGCGGTGGAGTTTTATCACTATAAAACCACCAGACTTGGCATGTGGAGTCCAGAGATCTATTGCAATTTGCATCTCTGGCATGAAAACAATCTCCTTCAATAGTACTTCCAGCTTTAATTTTCCACCTGGTTACAAAGGTTTGGAAAACTTGTTTGAAGAGAGGTGATCCTGAATGTTCATTGATTGCAGTCAAAGTGGGCCTTGCTCTGGGAGCTCATCCTTTTCCTTCTGTTAACTTGGGCCACTTGCTCTTTCCTGGGACCAACTTTTGGTGCTTATTTAGCTGTTAAACCTGATCCATGCTTTTCTGTTGGGTTCAAAAGTGAGCATGGGGCCCTCCAAGAGTGGATGGTCTGTTTGGATCTCCCGTGTGAAGGCAGAGATCTGGATTTTGTGTCTGCAGTCCAGAACACAGCCTTGCCTGAAGTCTTCCCTCTCTTTTGTCTCAGGTACCTAGAAGTGATGCGAAAACTTCAGAAGACCTACAGGATGGAACCTGCTGGCAGCCAGGGCGTCTGGGGCTTGGATGACTTCCAGTTTCTACCTTTCATATGGGGCAGTTCCCAGCTGATAGGTACTAATGAAAATCTGCTCATGTCCCAGCCTGCCCTCTGCCCTGTCTGTCTGGGTTGCAGAGATAATGGGGCTTGAGACTGACTTTTAAATTCAAATGTGTCAGATTTGTGTGTAATACAGCAGCAGAGTTTGCTTGGGGCTTGGATTTTTTTCTCAGGTTTCCAAATAAAGCTAGTTGCTTAGACCAGGAGGTGGAAAGCTTCCATGTACAGTACACCTGCAATGACTACAAGCTTTTTGAGAAGGGAGTTCTGGTTTTGGCACTAGAGTACACGTTTTCTGCCCTGGGGAGTTTACCAGTTTCACTGCTAAGGCAGTGGAGGTGAGGTGGTAGGCAGTGGCTCTGTGCTGATTTCTGAAAAGTTCTGCTGGGAGAGACCTCATGTGAAAGAGGGATGGGACAAAGCCTGACTGAGTTTGGTCTCAGAAGGGGATGTCATGCAGGTTATTTTCTGTTGTCTTTTACTCTTTTCAGACCATCCAAATCTAGAGCCTCGACACTTTGTGGATGAGAAGGTGGTAAATGAAAACCATAAGGACTTCATGTTCCTGGAGTGCATCCTCTTCATTACAGAGGTGAGGATTTTTCCACAGGAAAGTTCTTCTCATACTAGGCAGTTAGCTCTGGCTCTGGTTTTCTCTTCCTCCTCCGTTTGCTGTAACGGAGCTGTGCAGAAAAACCACTGTTGTGTCTGAGGTGCTCTCCTTCAATGAGTTCAAACTGGAATATTGAGGGGAAAGTGTGATCAGGGGAGATGGGCTGTGGATTGCTATTGAAGGGAGCTGTAACAAGAGCAAACAAATAGCCTTGGATCAGGCAGTGGGAGCTTGGATGGAGAAGACTGGTGCTAGCAAGTGTGCTAGAAAGATGAAGTGGGAGATGCAGAGCAGCTGGGCTTGCCAAGATAACCTCCCTTCCCTCCAGTCCTTGGGCACTGCCTGGGCCTCCCTTTGCTTAGGGCAGACTCCCATACCTCTGTGCAGTTTCGTCTTCTCCAGATCAGAGCAGATTCTCCATTAAACGCGTGAATAATCTGGAGGGGAGAGAGTGCTTGGTTAGCCCAGCTGTTCTCAGGACCATTATCAGAAGCACATTTCTGCTCAAATTCTGTAGGGCCCTTGGGCTGCTGATACTCAGTGTGTTGCCAACCACCAGCAGTGTTCTTAAATGAAGGGATTTATGGTTTCCCTCAGCTGGCCCTGCTTTTACTGTCCACCTTGCTGCATGGTCTGGGCAGGGACAGTGAGAACCACGTGCTCTGTTGTGGCAAGGGATTTCCTGTCCATGGCAAGGAGGAGTTGATGGGATTAATTTTGAAGGACGGAGTGCAGTTCTGCCCCTTTGTTCTGTTTGCTTTTCCCCCTCCTTGCTTCTCTCATTTACTGATTAGATGAGAAGGGAGGTTACAGAGCGTGAACTCAGCCTTTCATGTAGGAAATTTTCATAGGAGCCTTTGGCCCAAACCCCAGGAGGTGCAGAATCAAGTCGTGCTGAATCCAGTAGGGTTTGTCAGTGTTCAGCTCGCAGGATTTCACCTTCAGTGCAGAGCTAAATTGTGCTGTGGATGGTGAAGAGACTGAGCTGAGGACAGGAAATCCGCTCCTGCTTCACCCTCATGGGAAGTGGGAGCAAAGATGCATTTTGTTTTCTTCCTCTGTACTATCCAGACAGAGCACTAGCCTGTTAAAAATGTCAGAGCACACAGTTCTTCACGTGTGCAGAGGGTTCTGCAGTGCACAGGCGACGTGAACAGTTTAAAATACACAGCACCAGACTGCTTCAGGTCACTCCGCTTTTGCCTGCAGAAAGGTACCTTTTCAGTAGGCATTTTTAACAAGTGATTTCACTTCTCTTTTGCACACTTGCTCAGGATCGTGGAGTTTTTTCTATTGAGTTCCTCAGTGCCACCTGGTGGCAGGGAAGCTTCCTCTCTGGTGTGAGCCACAGAGATTGCCACAAGCTGAATCATCAGACGTGTAGTGTTTTTGTTTGCAATCCCTATTCATGCAAGCACTGTTTTGTTTTTTTATTATTATTATTATTTTGTTTTGTTTTTAAATAAGGTTTTTCTTTTTAAAATGGGATTTTTCTCCTTCAGATGCCCAGAAAGTTTGTTCCTGCCACTAGGGGGGGCTGGGGCAGCCCTGAGTGCTGCTTTTTCTCCAAAATCAACAACAAAACAAAACTAAGGGGGGGAAAAAGGTACAAGGGATTCATGATTTTAATAAATGAATGACATGATTTCCTTCTGAGCTATTCGTCTGAAAACAGCTCTCCTGTAAAGGTGTAGAGCAAATAGCAAACACTGCAGCAGTCCCCTTGTGAGCCTGGTAGGTTTTACTAACCTGAAAACAGGTTTTGTTTCAGCAAGCTGTGACCAGGCTACGTTGTTTTCTTTCAACCAAGAGAATATTCTCTTGAGCAGATATTTTTTTCTCAGCCTCTGGGTGACGTTTCAGGGATATGAATGTATGCCGTGGTGGTGTTTGCCACGTGTATATTTAAACCTCAGACTCTTAAAGTAACAGGGAGATGATGTCCAGTTTGAACCTGCTGAAGCCTCCGCCCTGCGGTGCCACCCTGCTGCACATGGAATGGTAGCAAGCTTTATGCAAGCTGACCTGTTGTTGGCTAACCTGAGGGGTGTTTTCAATGCTTGGTCCTTGAACAGGAGGCTTATGGAGGTGGCTAGAGCTTGAGCTATCCCCTGCTGTCAGCTTGTTCTGCTGAGGCAGGCTGCAGGGAGATGCCCCAGGGTGTGAGGTTGGTTTGGAACCATCCCAGCATGTGATGGAGCCAGCAGTGCTGCTGCCACGGTGGGATCCTGCCTGCTTCTGTGCTCTGAATGCAAGGAAGGGTTCTGAGGATTGCAAAAACCGTGTGGATGCTGTCCTTGCACAGCATGGGACAAAACCCAGAGCAGAGGCTGCCAGCTCTTGACCCTGCTGAAACCAAAGCCTGCTGAAACAGTCACCTCCCCAGGCACCTTCCTGCAGGAGACGTGTGGAGGCGTGAGGCCGGGGCCGTGTTGCTTTAAGAGCCCAGGGCAGGCAGCAAGAATTTCATCTTCAATCTGGCTTCTAAATTTGGAGGTTTGGGAAGGGAGGGCTCGGGTTTCGGCTGGAAGGGAAGGAGCTGACAGGAAAGCACAGCTTCAGCCGTCCCCCTCCCCCAGTTACTGACAGAGGAACCATTTACAAAAGGCTGATTCTCTTGGGAACTGAGAGGCAGGAACGCAGCGTCTGTGAGTAATTTCCTGCTCAATATGGCTGCTCTGACTCACTCCGTTCCCCTGGGGTCACTGCGGGACTGCAGCGCGCTCGCTGCCGCTCTCGTTCCCCCCAGCTCGCTCTGTTTCTCTCCCTCTTCTCCCTTTGTGGGTGGAATGAGCTCATTTTCTCCCTCATCCCCTTTCTCCCCTCCGCCCCACTTTGAAACAATAGCCATGCCTCCCCTTGCTGGGCACGCAGGGTCCAGTGGGCTGCGGTCACAACTGTGCCAGGGGCTTATGGAGCCAGCAGGGCTGGAGCGCGGGGCCGGCTGGCTGAGCTGGCTGCCCCCTGATAGTCTGCTGCAGCTCAGGAATGAGGAGGAAAGCAAAGCACGCGTGCGAGGGCTGCTGCAAGCTGTGCCATACGAAGGATGGCAGTGCTGGAGGAAGGTTTGGCGTCGAAAAGCATATCAGCAGCTCAGCCTTACCAGGGGAAGCTCTGTGCCCACCGAGCTGCCCAGCACATGGGGCTCAGCCACGCGCATGCTCCCTGCTCCCCTGCCACGTGCAGCCTGCACTGTGGTGCCCGCCAGTGCCAAATCCTCCTGCCTGATGGCACGCCGGCTCTGTCGAATGATGTTGTGCTTTGTCTATCTGCACGTTTCATCTTGTATCTGCAAGGGAAACATGCACGGCGGAGGGGAGCGGGGATGGCTCGGTGGCTCATCACTCATTCTTCTGCCCATGAGAGCGATAGAGGGGAATGGGGACAGGTCTGTGCAAAACAGCTGCAGCCTGAGGTCAGCCTGTTTGAAGCTTGTTGTCCTCCAGGTAATGTTTTGGGTTTTTTTCCTCCTCTCTTTTTTTTTTTTTTTTTTTTTTACTGCCAGCTGATGCCATGCAGACCTTGCAGAAGAGCAGCAGCAGTTTCCCAAAACGAATCGAGCAGCCTCACTTCCTTTTAGAGCACTGTGTTTGGAGGCTGTTTTCCCACCCTCATGCCAGGCCTCTGTGTGCATGGAGGGAAGGAGTTGGTTGTTGGAGCTGAGAGCAAGCGTCCAAGAGATTCCTCTCTCCCCATGCTCCTTTCTAGCGTGAGCTTCGGCCTTGTGGTTTCTGATGTCATGGGAACTTTGCTCACTCAGAGAGGCTGCGTTATATTTCTTCCTCTCCCTGAGGGTCTGTTTTTGTTCGTGGAGAAGAAGAGAGAGAGCCACCAAGGGAATCTGCATGCAGCCATCCCTGATTGCAGCTTTTCCCTTGTCCTTCCTCCTCCACACCCCTCTTCCTGGGAGGAGGAAAGCCAGAGTGCTTAAACAAAAAAACACCCTGAGGTGTGTGGCTGCAAGCAGGCAAGCTGCAGCTCTGGAGCTTGTTTGGAGTGGGGCTTCAGTGGGTCCCCTCCTCTCCCAGGTGTGGGCGCAGGGCTGCTGCTGACCTGCACTGCCCTCTGCATGCAGGGAAGGCAGCAGTGGTTGTCTGTGCTGCTTGTTGATTATCTGAATGGGGAATGAGTCATTTTCTTGGAAAGCCCAGCAGTGCTGAACAGGGAGGTTTCTGGGTAGAATTGGAACAGCGTTAAGCCAAGCTCTACTTGGAGGGAGAATAGGACTTATGTGGGGTTTTGTAACACAGCCGTTAACAGGGAGGTGTGCATAGGAAGGTTTGATTAGAGAAGTGTGGCAGGAAAAGGCTTAATTTTGTCAGAGAGGTGAGGAGATGGAGCTTCATGCACTGTGGCTGCAGCTGGGGGGGAAGGAGGGACAGCGTGGTGGGGTGGCTGGCGTGTGGCTCATAGGGCTGGTGGGAATGTTAGCTTGGTGAATGTGAGTCACCAGTGGTGCACAGCTCCTGCATGGCCCTGCTCCTCAGCCTTGCTCTCGGGTCTCTTTCAGATGAAGACGGGCCCCTTTGCTGAGCATTCCAACCAGCTCTGGAACATCAGTGCCGTACCCTCCTGGTCTAAGGTCAACCAGGGCCTCATCCGCATGTACAAGGCAGAGGTGAGCACTGCGGGTGGGTAAGGGGAGGCTGGTTCATGCTTGCCCAATGGCCACACAGGTCCTTGTCTCTGCTTTGCTGCAGATCAGCCTTTTGCTGCCTGCACCTCGTGCCTGTTGGTGCAGGGGCCTGTCACAGCCAGCTGTGCTCCTTGCTGTGTGGCTCAGAAGAAGGTGCTGCTGGCCAGAAGGCTCCTGCCTGCACAATGTTTGCCACAAACCAGTCCCAAAACAGCCCTTCTTTCAGACGTGGCTTTTGCCAGTTCTTGTCGTTCCATAGTGCAAGTCTCAGGTCTCCAAGTTAGGACCAATGCTTTGACGTACTCATCCTTCTGATTCCTACACTTCTGTTTTCCCAGCTGCAGGAGACCCGGTTTAAACCTCCATCCCATGTTTCAGGAGCACCAAAGCAGGTTGAATGCCTTCTGCTCTGTTGGCTCTGTCTTGTCTCTGTTGGCTTTGAGTCCTGCCCACGTAGTGCACCAGACCAGTGAGGCACAGCCTCCAGTGGGGCTTGGTGGTTCTCCATGGGCTCTGCAGGCTTTCCTGGCAAACCCTGATTGAGAGAATTGGGCAATTTTGGCTGTTCCTTATCTCCTTCCTGCTCAAGCTAACCCTGAGCTTGGGGAAGCAGGACAGAAACTGCCACACTGGGGCCTTGTGCAGGAACTGACTGAGAAGCAGCATCTCTTGCTTGGAAGGCCAGCACTGTGCTGGCCCTGCCTGAGCAATGGATTACACAGCTGCCCACTATGGGAGGTGCATCAGTCCCCTTGGGTAGGGCTTGAAGGAGTTATTCCTGCACCCTGTGGTCTCTGCTCAAGCCAACCATGCTCCTGTTTGTTGCTGGGACGTGGGGCAAAGACTGGGCGGGCAGCTCTAGAGCACAAAGGAGTTAACTGTGCCGAACTTGGTGCGCTCCCTCCCCCAGCCCTTCCTCTGTGCTTCACATCCTGTGTTTAGGTTCCAGGCCACATACCTCTCTAATCTGCGAGGTGTCACTCCCAGGCCCGCTGGCTCCTTCCGCCCCCAGCTCAGCTTTCCTCCCAGCTTCCAGGAGGAGAGCAGGGCTGGGGGTCGACCCCCATGGGGTCCCTCTGTGCTGCCCCTCTGGATCTGCCCTGGCTCAGAGCTCCAGCACAGAGCCACTGCGTTCCTGGGAACCCAGAACTGGAGGCTCTGGTGTGAGAGAAAGCGGTCTCAGGGGGAGCCCCCAGTCCTGAGAGCACTGCTGAAGGGCTGTTGCCTCCTCCGCAGCACTGCCTTTGATCTTCTCTCTCCTCTGGGTATCCCCCAGGCACCCCATGTTGTCCTGTGCTGGTTGGGTGCCCAACGTGCCCTGTTTCTGCTTGGTTGGTTCCTTCTGGAGCTTGGCAGGGATGTGCCCACAATGCAAGGGCATGTTCACTGGTGTTTTGGGGTCACTGTGTGCTGGCAGTTTTACCTGGCCGTCTGTGAACAGTACAACTCTGGGAACCCGTCAGGGTGTGGGAGAGGCCATGGTTGTTAATGTTTTTATGTTAAATAGCAGATTACATTCTCTGTGGAAATGCTGAACCTGATGCTGGTGGGTTTCTAGAAACACCCAGAGATGTGGCTGTGTTGGGAGAGAATGTGGGAGCTGCTGGAAAGAGTAACAGCACAAATTTAGGGTAAGGTATGGAAGACATTGAGTGAACTGAACTGCTGTGTGACTTCAAATTTAGCTTCTTGCTTCACGAACGTTAGTAAATCTTAAAGGACTGATCTTAAGTATGGTCCTCATGCAGCAGTATTTTGTCCTGGCACAGCATGGTGCCTACATTTGCTTGGATGGAGAAACTTAGTGGGGAGTTCCCACTGATTCCTGGTATCTGCTTAGGGGAGCCTCCCACCCCACTGCTGTCTCAGCCAGTTCCTGCCCAGCTGGGAAGGAGGGGTGAGTGTGGACATCACCTTAGAATCACAGCATTAGTGTCTGCTGGATGTTTCCAGCTGCGTTGCCTTCACCTTTGCTGTCTTTCTCTAGTTGGGCACTGTCAGTGCTAGCAGAAGATAAGTAAGCCAACAGCCCCACGTACTGTCACAAAAGCTGTTTGCCTCGAGCTCAGTGAAGATCTGTGACAGTACTTGGGTTTGGAGGGAGGGAAGAGGGAAGGTTTGGGTTTATAACGTGTTTTTTTTCTTGTCAAGCTGGCTAATGTGAGAGCAAGATTTTCTTCTCACCCCCTTCTTCCTACTGCATCTTCACCCTCTGCTCACACACTGTAATTAGATCAGATGAAATCCAGGATGGAGTCTCCAACCAACAGTGTGGCAGTGACTGGGAAGTGCTCAGTGCTGACTGCTTTTGTGCAGAGGCAGCAAGGCAAAAAGCTCAGTCGCTTGGAGCAGACCAGCAGAAATCAGGTGCTCACTCATAAACCACTCTTGCTTGGCAGAAGTGCAGCAGTTCCCAGGTCCGGTTTGTTTAAAATGCAGTGTGAATGCTTTGGCTCTTCTGTGTCCCCTCTATGGGATGGCTTTAAACAACCAACACAATGCTTAAGCACATCCATGTGCTCTTGCCTGGATCCATGCTCTCTGGGATGCTGGTTACAGGGTCTGTGGACAGAGAGCAGGTTCAAGGCAACATATCTTCTGCTCCATGTACTTATGAAATCTCAAATGTGTCTGTAATATAAATATAATGGGTGCAGAAGTGTTAGCTTGAAAGTGCAAGGTCTTTTCTTATTCTCTCCTTCAAAGACAAGTGAAGAAGTCGACAGAATAGAGTCTGGTTAAAGTAGCAGCCTTGATGTTTTTCCCCTGAGCCTGCTTTTGAGTCTCCTGACCTTTCCTTCTCCACTGCAGTCAGATGGGAAATACTTTCCATTGTAACTAATCTAGTCCCAGTTCCATCTTTAAAGGTTGGATATGATGCAGGAATTTACTCCCCAGTTGAGTCTCAAGCCAGGACTTTGGCACAATTGGGATGACAGGAAGAAGGGAATAAGCTTGTTGCCTCTGTCAAGCTACTATTGGCTGCATCAGTTTCACCTGCAGGTGACACAGAAGTGTCCTGTCTCCTGGAGCCTTTAATAACCCAGAGAAATTGTCCTAGCCCTGATAGAGAGAGAAGTTTCTCTGCTCATCTCTCCTTGTGCTATTGGTGTGTTAAATGGGGAGGATTCTTGCTCTTCCCATTGGTGGTAAAGTCTCTCCATCAGGCGTCCAAACCAGTCAGGTCTTCCGTGGGACTCCTTGGAACCAGTTGGGATGACATTTTCAGCCATCAGCATCTCCAGTATTCATTTCTCTGCATTATTGCTTCACGTCACTGCTATCCTGTGCTGTTTCCTCTGAGGACTTGCTGGAGTGGTTGTGCTGGGAAATGCTGGCTGCTCTGAGCCTTTGGGAAGTGTTTGGGAAGCTTAGAAGGTGATGTTCATTACTTGTAGCAGGACTTGCTTCTTCCTTCTGCTGGACACGATGTCCCATGTAGAAGAGTAGCTCCCATTGCAGCACAGTGAGGAGGTCTGCAGCCCTTCTGGTCAGCACAGCCCTGGGTAATGTGGCTGATATTAGTGTAGATGTAGCTATTGAATCGATGCATACGTGCTGCTGAGGTTTGTGTGGATCTGAATCCATTCTGTGCTCTGCATGAGTTTTTGGGCAGTCTGAACCCGTAATGACTCAAAGAATAAAGCTCTGAGCAGCTCTGACAGGCAAGTTTTGGGAAACTTGGACGTGGTCATTGAGAGCAGTTGCTGGTGTTCCTGCCGTGGCGGGGAGGTGAGCAGCAGGGATGTTCCTGTTCCAGCACAGAGCCCATCTTAGTTGGAGAAAGCAGCTGTGAGCTGAGCTGCCTCGCTGGGGGTGTGTGAGATTGATCTGTGATCCTTGCTCCTATCGTTACTCTCTGATGGGAGTGGGAATTCTAGGAGTGAGGGATTTTTGGGGATAGGATTGCATCTTAAACCGTGGCAGCAAAATTGCTAGTGCTCATTTATTGAGGGCCTGAGAATCTGCAATGCAGCGTGGGCAGTGCCTTGTGGCTGCAGGATGGTGCTCAGAGCTGGAGCGTGGGCACTGTCCTGGAGAGGGAGAGCCTCTTCCCTTTGGGTTTCTGCAGTTCTCAAAGGATTTGTAGGGTGAAGCTCTTCAAAGGGAGCAGCTAGAGCAATGAGAAGGTGGTGAGAGAGAAAGCTGCTGACATAAACACGCCTCTTCTGCTCATGCTCCCGGCCTGAATTTTAGCAAGCAAAAGAGCCTGGCTAAAAGGAAGGAGATGGGGATACGAGGTGTTACTGGACTGAAGAGCCTGCTGGGAATGTGGGGTGAGGGATGTGGGACTGATCCCCATGCGAGCACACAGCTCAGCCAGTGGCCCTGAGCTCACTGCCTCCCACACCCAGGGCCGGGCGCAGCTCTGTCTGCCTGCGGGCAGTGGGGACATCTGCTGAACTCACCCCTTTTTGTTTCCCCTCCTGCAGTGCCTGGAGAAGTTCCCTGTGATCCAGCATTTTAAGTTCGGCAGCCTGCTCCCCATCCAGCCTGTGACATCCTAAGGAGGCAGCGGGAGGAGCCGAAGCAGCGGAGGCGTAGCGTGGCACTCTTCCTCCTCCCCTCACCCCCTCCTCATCACCTCACCCGTTCCACAGCCCATCCATTCCTGCACATCCTCATTGGCAACCACAGACCCAGAGCACTCGGCCTTGCACGGGAGACGGGACCTGAGCAGCTCCTCCTGCGAGCCCTGCCATGAGGATGTTTCACAAGTGACCGAGGGGCTGTGCTCCGCTCTGCTGCCGCGTGTGGATCTGGGCGAGTGAAGGGGGTTCACTAGGGGCTGTCTGGCAGCAAAACCCTCTGCTTTCCTTCCTAGGAGGAAGAAGGGGGTGTGGAGGGGAGGAAGGCACGTGTGTATGCGCTGGTAACAGCAATTTCCCTTTTGGAATTTCGTTGAAGTTTCCTGTTGCTGTTTGGTTTGGAAACCGTTGCAGTGGGTGAGGTGTGAGCCTGCACGTGTCTGTAAGCAGGGCACCTCTGCTTGGTTCTTAAATGGGAAAGGGGAACTGCGGGGAGCCCAGGGTGCCACCTCTCCTTTAGCCCTAATAAGGAAAGCCACCTCCCTCCTTCCACCCATCTCTTCTGCAGGGGCGCCCGGCTCTTCCTTTCACAGCACCACCTCTCATGTGAAACAAGGAGGCTGTGAGGTCTGAGCTGGTTTTAGAGCTGAGAGCCCTGGCTCTGTGGGAACAGCTGTGCAAGGACTGCTGAGTGGTACCTGCTCAGGCTCCCTCCCCTCTGTAGTTAATGGGCACAAAGAATCACACGTTCACATACATTCATTGCTTTGTAGGGATCATCTGGGTCCAACCTGCCCTCTGTGCTCTCCTCTCCTCCTCCTCCTCTGTGCTTTGCTGCCCGGGGTCTGGGCTGGCCTCAATGGCACGAGGTGGCCATGGTTGCTACTGCTTGGTCATAAATTACAGCGACAGCCTTATAGCAATGGCTTTCCCCATAAAGCAGCATGTTCCTCTGCCCTTTTAGGGAGGCATCTCTGGAGCGAAGGCAGCATGGGGATAAGCATGCAGCTTAACATGCACTTATGTACCTGTGCTGGAAACAAAAAGCATAATTAGCCCAGGACAGCAGGTTTTATCTGGAGAAAGCTCTCTTCCCTCTATCATTCCCTGCTGGTGCTTCCCAGGCAGCAGGACCACGCTTCCAGTGCCAGCAGCAGCTTGGAGGTAGGAGAATGAATGGAGCCATGGTCCTGATCAGCACCAGCATCGCTCAGAGGGCAGAAATATCTGGAGCTGTTGTGTCCATATGTCTTGGCTGAGGTGGCCTACAAACCTGGGGAGGGGAGATCTTAGGGTTCCCAGGCTGGGTTTGGCAGGGGATGAGCTCTGGCTGGGGCTGGAGGCAGCTGTGTCCCTTCTCTGATTGCTTGCCTTTTGCTGATGCATTGCTAAATAAGAGGAAGCGAGGAGCAGGTGGCTGCAGAGCTAAAGCAGAGCTTTCTGCCATTGTCCTGAGCTGGGTGGGACAGGGCACGGATCTGAGCTGCCTCAACCAACTATAGATGTGCGTTTTAAATAATGAAAGACTCAAGTCTTGTTCTAATCTCAAATTGTTAACGAGATGTGTGTCATCTTGGCTTTACAAGTGGGAATAGGGCTGGAGCCCTGCGCTTGCTGGGAGCCTGCTTCTGGTGGAGGAGACCTCAGGCTCTTCCTTCTGCATCCCCTTTCCTTGCTGTGTGGCTTCTGGCAAGTGTCACCACGCTGTAACTGGCTGCATGGCATCTGGCTGGTGAGGGCTGAGCTAAAGCCTGTGGCTTCCCAAACCTGCCCAAGGGCTGGGGACACATCTCTCCCAGTAATCCTACGGAAACGGGGCTTCCATGCAAAAGGATGGGTGGAAATGTCGACATCCACTCCCTATGTAGTGGGAGGGACACCCAGAATATGAAATACAGCACCAAAAAAGGGTGGGGAGATGCTTCCTTCCCCTGCAGCCGCTCTGCAGGGATGGTGTCCCTGGGTTGGGATCCACCAAGGAGGTGGGGAGAGGCTCACGGGTAGCTCTTGCTTGCCTGAATCTGTGCTTCTGTTCTGCTGGGGCTTTGTGGACTTGGAGCAGCTCATTCTTGTCTTGCACCGTGCGAGATGGATCTCTGTAGGTGGCTCCTGGCTGCTCGCCTCCGTCCAGCTCCCAGCAGTAAGCATGGGCTCTCGGGCTCAGCTCTTCTCCCACAGCTCTGCCATCAGCAGCGCCTGGGGCCGGAGCGTTTCCCCCCTCAATCCCCCCCCAACATTGTGGTTTTAATTAAAGTCTCTGTTTTGCACCAGTGCCTGTGTTGGTCTCTCCTGCGTGGGGTTTGTTCCCTCTTTGTGGTGCTGGGAAGATGCTTTGCAGAGCCACTCGCCTGTTTGTTGGCTGCATGCTTGCACCAAAACCGACTCGTTGAAGTGCATGAAGCAAGCACATCCAGGCTGCTCCCTTGCGAGCCTCTTTCTTTCCGTGGTGCGCTGCCTTTGATTTATTTATTTAACCACTGTGCTCCATCTGCCCCTCCCTCCCGGCACCTGGGTGATGTGCCACCAAATACCTCTTGAAGATCAGAGACTCTCATGACCAAAGGCCGTTAGAGCCGCGTTTCTGAGGCTGAGAACTGGAACCCTTTTCCTTCAGATGTTTTTCCTGTCCTGCCGGAGGTGCTGACTCAGCACTTCCAGCATCAGTTCAGCTCAGCAGCTTTGTTGGACGTCTGTAGAAAATTATACCTGGAACTTCTCAGGAGCGGTGGGAGCCGCCATAGCTGTGCTTAGGTTTCTTATCTTCTCTGTCAGCACGGGGCCGGCTGCGTGTGAGTGCCCAGCTGGGAGTGGGGAATGTCATCTTGGGTCAAACATCTTTGTGTTCATTTGGATGCCTCCCTTGGTGAGCACAGCAGATGTAGCGTGGGTTTCTCCCCATTGAGCAAGCTGGGATTTTCAGTGCACTTCTCAGAGCTGGGCCGGCGGTGAGCTGTTCTGCTGCTGCTTTGTGTTCAACAGGTCACCGCCGGCCTTCCTGCCTCTGTCTTTGCAGCCCTCTTTTATAAATGCTCGTGACAGCCGGTAAGAAATGAAGTACGAGTTGAGAGGAGCAGCCTCGCGTGGTGGTGGTAGGAATAAAAGCCAGAACTGTGTTGTGGCATCGCTGCTGTATTCACTTTCATCCAAACCCGAGCCGACGTGCTGGTGGGAGCCTTCTGCAATGGAACAGGTCGTGGGTGTCTCGCTGTTGCTTCAAAGAAGGGCTTTCCTGGCCCAGGTGTGGAATCTGGCAGGGCTTCTGGAGGCCGTTCCATGCTCCAATAGCCAGGAGAAGAGATGTTTGTCCTCATTAACATGGCTTCACCTTCAGCAGTGAGCAGTGAGCACCTTTCTCACTGACTCCTGAGTACCCTGGGGACCGAGCTCGTAAAAATGGTGCCAAACTGTGAACTGGAGTGAGCCCAGCTGGAGGAGGGCTGCCCCAGCTCTATGGGCTCCAGCAAGGGCTGAGCCCTGAGGGGCATCGTTGGATTGGGCAGCCAGGAGAGGCTTTGTGGGGTGGAAGGGTTCTGGTTGCTCTGAAAAGTCCAAGCTTGGGGACGCGGCACTGAGTGCTCCCTGCGGGCGTGCAGTTGTTGCTGAAACTGGAACAGGACATTCCCCATGTTCCCAGTTGCAGTGGTACCAATAAAGGCCATCCAAATCCCTCAGCAGGCGCTCAGCACATTGGAACTGGGGCTGGGATCCCAATGTGGGTGGGTTAGTTACATTTGTGCCCTGGGATCTGCTGAGCTTAGGGAGGGAGGAAGAAGAGAAAACAGAGAGGAGGTTCCATGCGGTCCTTCTGTTTCTAAAACTCATGGGAGAGAGAAATCCAAGCAGTGCACAGTCAGGATACCCAGATTAGCCATTCCAATGTGGATTTCTCCCAGGTTGGTGCCAGGTATGGCACTGCTCTTCTGTGGCCTCCATGTAGGCACAACACTTAGAGCTTCATCCAGAACAAAAGAAATACACAGTGTGCTATAGCTAGAAGAGAAACCATTCCAATATTCCTGAGCATCGCTATGTCCTACCAGGGCTACAGACTCTATGAACTGTGGTGGCTATGAAGAAATTCCAACTAGATTTTACGATACTGGAGCGTGTCACTCATTGGGTGTGGGGAGGAGCTGATTGCTGGAAGTGGCCGTTCCTCAAAGCATCGGCCTTTCTCTGCGTTCAGACACCTTTAAAAATGTGACTTCAGGTATTACATCTCCCCTTGGATAAAACTCCCTTGCAGGCAGGAATAAAACTTACAAAAAGGCTGTTACAGAGACCATCAGCTGTCTATTAGATCGCCTGGAATATGCTCCTCTAGCAGCACAGTTTAGTCTTCTCCAAATTACTGTAGAGGATTTGACTGTATCTTGCTGATCCATCCACATTTTAATTTCCTCTGCACGGATACATATTGCAGGATGCTGGAAATCCCCAAGCCCACTGGAGCTGCACGACTGGATGTTTCATCCTGTAACACCAATAAAACGTTAATGCATACTAATAGCGGCAGCAAAGGGGTTTATGGAGCGAGCTTGGGAGCATTTGATAATTGCTGGGGTATCCGTGACGTAGGGAATTTGGGGTTAGGGTCACCAAGTGCTGCCCTTTGTCAGCGCAGGGAGAGAAAAACCCTCTGATAGACCTTGAGGGAGTGAGGGGTGGAGGGGGGCAAAGGCTGGAGCATGGTATGGAGTGTGCATGGGGCACAGGGTGGGCAAGGAGAGAGAGATGGGGCAGGATGAAACTGCCCAGGGAAGGGATGGGGTCACTGACCATGGAGGTGCTTAAGGAAAGGGCAGAGGTGGTGCTGAGGGACGCGGCACAGCGGTCAGCAGTGGAGGATGGTTGGACTGGATGGTCTTCAAGGTCTTTTCCAGCCTTAATGATTCTGTGATTCCATTGGGGAGCTCAGGAACAGGGGGTGTGGGGAGGGAGCAGCGGCTGCCTCCATGCAGAGCTTTTCCATCCACATCAAAGTCCACTTCCATGCTGTAAAACCTGGTGAAACAGGCTAAAAAAGCAGCAGTACACAGGTACAAATGCTGCTGTGTGGGGAGGAGAAAGGAGAAGCCACTGCCTCGTTGTGAGAGTACTGTAGAAATAAACAAAGAAATGAAACTGGGGGAAGATTCATGAACCAAACTGGGGGTGTGTAGAGCATGCTGTCCTCATAGGTGGGCTGTTTGCTTCCCTCCACCTGGGGACAATTAAGAGCAGGACTGATGGGGGCTAATTTCAGAGATGGCCCCTGGCAGGTGTGGGGCTGCTCCCTCAGCCCAATCATGGAGGCAGAGGGGAGATAAGAGCAGGGTTTGGGGCTTGGTTGTTTTCCCCTTTTCTCCTTTTGTGTCCTTCCAGGAGGGAGTTGGGTTGACCTGAGCAGTGCAGCCACTCACTGGGGAGCTGAGGTGAGCAGGGTGCGCTGGGCTCTGAACTCTGCTTTGGGGGGGAACACCGGGTTTTGTTGTTTCTGTGTTTGAGAGGCAGCGACTTCTTGTCTCAGAGAGCCCTCGTGGGTTTTGCTGTGTATCTGTGCAGTGCCGTTGCAGCCCCTGAGATGTCAGTGCTTGGAGGTTCTGCTTCTGCTTTGCAGTGTTGGTGTTGGTGTGCTGGCAGTGGCTGCTCTGTTGCTGCTTTGCCTTTTGCTCCCTGTGCTGTTTTCTGCTGGATGGTGCCTTTGGTTACAACACAGCCCCTGTTAACTTCCCGAGGTGGGTCTCACTTGAGCAGCATGGCAACCATCAGCTCTGTGAGCAGGACATAGGAAGGCCAAATGTGAGTAATTACCACTCCAATGCTAATTACCTGCATTGGGCCCAAACCCAACACACCAAACGCCGCTCACAGAAGCGCTGCCTGGATCTCACAGCTGAGTGTCCCTATAGCTCTGCTGCTGTTCTCTGTGCACAGCAGAGCTCAGACATCTGCTCACACATCCCCAAACGTGCTTCTATTTGTTCCTAACTGAGCTGGGGCAATGTGAGGGGGGCACATGGCTCGGGGCTGTGGGTCCTGCGGGGGTGCACAGAGCTGATGTGTGTGCAGTGATGTCCCTGCATGCAGCTGCTGCCCTGGGCCTGGCAGTGGTTGAGCTGTGTGTTACAGCATTCAGCCCTAAAAATTCTAATCAGCCCCAAAACACCACTGCAGGGTTCTGCTGAGCTGTGGGACGCTGTGGCTCTGAGTGAAGTGGGGAATGGATGGGATGTGAGGCCCGTTCCCTGGAGGCAGCATCTCTCTGGATGGGAGGTGGCCCATTCCCCTTAAACTGAGGGACTCAGCACAAAAGCAGCCCCTGGTCCTGAGAATGGGATCCTCCTGCAGCTCTGCTCCAGCCCAGCTCCCTCCCAGAGCCTTAAACCACTTCTGTGCGTCACAGGGTATGAGGAGATGGGATGCCAAGGGGTTTGGGCTGTCACACTCAGCCAGGGCTGTGTGACACCATAGGGCAGAATCAGTGTGCCTTGAAGCAGAGCTGGGGGGCGGTCAGGGTGGGCTGCCCCAGACGTTGGGTACCACACTGCACTCAGCATCGCTCCGGGCTGTGGGTTATGGAGGGGTGGAACTGTTTGGAGCCTGGAGGCGCAGGGGATGCGGCTGTTGGGGTGCAGCCTTCCTGTCACCTCCCTGCCAGCCCGAGCGCTTCTGCCATCATGATTAATTTATCAGGTGCTTATGAATATGCAGATGAGGTACCGGTTTCCAGGCTCTGCTTTCAGGAGAGGCTGTGATGGGCTTTCTGCTGCCTCTTCAGCAGAGAAATGTCATGTACCGGGGCTGGGAATAAATAAGTAACGGACAGCGCTGGGGTCGCGGCAGCTCCGCGGAGCTCAGGGCTCTGCTCCTTCCTCGGTGTCAGGGATTTTTACCCACGTCCCTATGGAGTGTCCCTCACCCGCTGGTTATCTGTCCTACGGGGATGGGTTTGTCCATTTCGGGCTTTGAAACTGTGATGGGAGCCCCAGAAAGTTTGCAGTGGGAATGGGGCTCTGTGGGTGACGGGGCTCTGTGTCCCCCTGAGAACCCCAATGGCTGCATACGGGGAGTGGGGCGAAGTGAGGATCGTGTGCTCAGTGAGCACAGCCTCGGCCCCTCCGTCTGTGCGGGGGCTGGGGGAGGGGATGCGGTGCTCCGGGCTTTGCTGACCCATCGCCATCCGCGGGCAGAACTCCCCGACTCGCCGTTTGCGGCCGCGCTTCCCCCGTCGGGGCGATGCTGGGACTGACGGTGCGACTCGCTGATCCCGGGGGTCTTTTCCGACCGTTCTGATCGCACGGTGCCGTTCGGGAGCCCCCGGCCCCGCTCCGTCCGTTGCCGGCTCAAACGGACGGAGGTCCCTTCCCTGCCCCGCACTGAGGTCGGGGCTGCTGCCCCCACCCGCACTCCCGGCACTGCGGGGCGCGCTGCGGGCACCAGGGGGCGCGGTGGGCGCGGAGCGACGGAGGGGGGGTCCGCTCCAGGCTCAGCTCCAGAGCCCCCACCCCCTCCCCACCTCCGTAACCCCAATTTTGGCCTCCCCTTCTCTCCCCATCTCCTGGAGAGAGAAAGAGTGCGGGTTTGGAGGGTCTGCGGGTGTCCGTGTGTCGGTGCGGGGTAGGGGGTGGGAACTGCGAGCGTTTTGCACGGGATTTTTAGAGATCTTGACGGTAATTCGCGCATCCCGCGGTCAGCGCGGGGGTGGGACGGGAGAACCCGCGGCTTTCATTCATTTGGTTTGAAGGAGTGGGGATGGGGGGGGGGGGAAGAGAGATGCGCGCAAAAAGGGGGAGGGGGGAACCCACCACCACCGCCACCCACACGCACCACCCAGCGGCACCGCGCGGGGATAACAAACTCCAACTCCAAAAAAACTTCCCTGCGCATCGGGGAACGCGCAGAGGTGCGGGACGGGGGCGGCGGGGGCCCAAACCTGCGCGGGGCTCTGCGGGTCCGGGGGGCCCTCGGGGAGGGGATAAAGGGGGATTTGGGGGTCGGGGGTGGGCGGAGAGGAATGCGGGGTGGTGAGGAAAATGAGGGCGCAGCAACTTTATAATCGACTTTTTATTAAGATTATAAATTTTAAACAAATCTGAACAGTTTTACCCGGTGATATACAATGCCATATGCACAGAAATACAGGTTACAAACAAAGGAAATAATAATAATAATAAAAAAGACGACAACAACAAAAAAAAAGAGGAGGAAAGCAAACGAACAAAAACCCCGAACCGAACCCCAACACAACGTCCTCAGTTACACACAGTGCCGATCCCGTGAAGTTGGAGTGGGCAGAAACACACACGTGGGGGGGGGGGAACCAGAAAACCCACCTTTTTACAACAAAAGGTCTTTCCGAAAAAAAAAAATAATAGAAGAAACACTATTAGGAATCAAACGAACCTACAGGAGCCGAATCTCCTCCTAAAGCACGCTGGGTTTGCGGTGCTGGAAGGCCGGCACCAGAAGAGTTGAACTTAAGAAGCAAAGGGGGAAGGGGGGGGAGGGCAGCCCCGCTTTTTGCTCCCCCCGCTCGTGTGACCCCATAACCCCGCAGCAGAGCCGGGGAGGGGTTGAAGTCACATCGCACGCGTTTCCAGGGTTTGGGGGGGGGAAACGATAAAGTTGAAATGTTTTCATTTCTACCTTTTTTTTTTTTTTTTTTTTTTTTTAATATATCGCACAAAGCGGAGCTGCCGGGGGGTCCCGAATTGCCCCCCGCCGCCGCCCGGCTCTCACGTGGCCCCGCGGCCGCCCCGGGCGGACACAAAGAGGATTCAGCCTGGAGGTGCTCCGGGGGTGGCATTTTTCTGTTTGCTTTTTAATTATTATCTCCCCCCCCCTCCCCTCTTTCCCCTCCCCCGTTCCTCCTCCTCCCCCCTCCGTTTGTTTGCTTAATTATTATTAATTTCTTTCTTTTTTCCCCCCTCTCTCTGCAAAAATAAACTCCCAAGATCTGAGATTTTTGTTCTTTATTGTACAATTTATAAAACATCGCGCTGCCCTCCCGCTCCCCCCAACCTCCCCTCGCCCCCCCCCCACCCGCCCCTCTCCCCAACCCCCATCCCCTCCTTTGTTTCTGGGTGTCCCCCCCCCTCCTTTTTCCCCCACCCCATCCGAGAGCTCCGAGCACCGCGGCCCCCCCCCCGCACCCCCGTCTCTCCCTCCGCTCCCCTCTCAGCTCTAAAACGCGACGATGGCCCGAGTCCAGGCCCCCAGGCTGGCCAGCGCCTGCTTGCCGCACAGCTGCCCGTTGAGGGGCTGCTCCGAGTCCGCCTGCTGCCGGCTCACCAACCCCGTGAAACCGGAGCCGAAGATGGAGATCAAGTTGGAGATGTTGGAAGAGTCCTGCGGGTGTTCGGCGCTGCCGTACTCCTCGAAGCGGGCGCGTTTGGTGCACGGGGCGAATTGGGGGCCGCCCGCCACCCCGCCTCCCCCCGGCTCCCCTTCCTCCACCCCCTCCTCTTCCTCCTGGCCCGGGTAATACTTGCGCTTAGCGCCCGGCGGGGGCGGCGGGGAGGGGGGCCCCGGAGCCGCGGGTTGGCAGCAGCACGGGCACTGCGAGCAGCACTCCTGGTGCAGGTAACCGTTCTCCACCGTGGTCACGACGTGCGTGTCCAAATCCAGCACCGTGGTGCGGCTGCTACAGTGCTGCTGCGTTCCTCCTCCGCTCCCAAAGTCACAACCGGAGGAAGCGGCGGCGTAAGGGGGGGCCGCCCCGGCACCGTGTCCCGCTCCGTGCCCGGCGGGGGCCGCTCGGTAGAACCCCGCGGAGTCTCTGCACGGCGCTCTGTGCTGCAGTTCGGGGGCGGCGGAGCACAGCGGTACCTCCGGCCCCGGTTCCGCGCCGCCCCGCAGCGCCGCGCAGCTCCGAACGTCGCGCTCGTGGGGATCGCCGGGCAGGGGGGGCATCTCTGGAGGGGCGGAGGGCGGCGGAGGAGGGCAGGGAGGGGGAACGGCGAGCAGCGGGGCTCCGTCGGGGTAGTGCTGCTGGCGGCGGTAGAGCTCGGCGTAGCGTTCGCTCAGGTAGAGCTGGCGGGCGTTGCGGAGCACATAGGAGACGAGCAGGTTCTTGTGAAGCTTGATGCCGCCTCGCTGAGTGCGGGAGCTGTGGATCTTCCGCAGGGAAATACTGATCAAACTCTGCGCATCGAGGGTGCACTCCATCCTCCTCCTGCGGCCCCTCAGCATCTGCTCTCGCCACGCAGCCCGGGCCGCATCCACACGGTGCAAACCGGGAGGGCGTGCGGAGGGCTTTTGGGTCGATTTGGTGGTGGTGGTGGTTTGGTTTTTGTTGTTGTTGTTGTTTGTTTGTGTGTGTGTGTGCAAATCCAAAATAATAGGTTAAAAATATATATATGTATATAAAAAATAGGCTCCAAAAGGCAAAAAAAAAAAAAAAAAAAAAAAAAAAAAAGAAGGGGTTTGGGGAGGAAAGGGAGGGGGAGGGGGGGGGAAATGGGGAAAGGGGGGGAGAGCCGGAGAACGGAGGAGGAGAAAGAGAGGGTTGGCTTCAAGGGGCGGCCAGCGCAGGGAGCGGAGCGGGCATCGCCGTGCGCGCCGGTGCTCCGCGCTGCTGTGCTGCGCTGCTGCCGCGCTCCGAGCAGCACGGCGCGTGCAAGCAGTGCAAGCACTGCGAGCTCTGCGAGCACCGCCACCAGCGCCGCGCGCGCCCCCGCCCTCCCCGCGCGCCGCCCCCGCGCGCGCCCTCGACCCCGCCCCTCGGCCCCGCCCCCTTTTTCCCGCCCTCCCCCCGCCCCCCCACGGCCGGTACCTGTCGCGTAGAGGCACTGAACGCCCGCCCGCCCAGCCCCCGCATTTTATAGCGCGGCGCCGGCCCCGCCCCGCCCTCCCCGAGCGGATGGCCAATGGGAAAGCGGAGGGCGAGATGACGGGCGGGTGCGAAGACCAATAGGAGTGAGGCGGGCGCTGAGCGCCGTTCAAACGCCGACGGGCGCTCCGCCTCGCGGGTTCAGGTGAGCGGGGTGGTGCGTGGCGCTGCGGGTCCTGGTTCCGCATCGAAGCCCGGTACGGCGGCACCACCGCCACACCTCCGTACTCTCCGGTCCCGGTAGCTGCGTGCAGCCCCCCAGCTCCGGCCTCAGCCTCACTCTGCACATTCAGTCCCTTTGCACGCTCTGAGCGTTGGGTGCCGCTTGGGACGGGCTCCAATCCCGCTGCTTTTTACCCCAAATGAGAAGCAGGGCCGTGTGTGAGGTGTGATTAATCAAGGGCTGCTCATTAAGGGCTCCTGCCTTCCCTCCTTCCAGCTGGCTGAGGGGTCGTGTGCTAAGAGGTGTGTGCAGGGGGGTGGGTTGGGGCTGATCTTTGTGTCTCGCTGTCCTCATTGAGCAGCAACATGGGGGTTTTGGTTCCCCCTAAGCCCATAGCTTGTTATAAGCCCTGGGGTTGGGGGAGGGCTGCAGTTTGGGGTGGGACAAAGGCTGAGATCCCCTTTGCTAGAAGTGCTGGAGAGCAGCACAGGGGAGCAAACCCAGCACTGCTGGGGGTTTCTCCCCATAGAGACCCCAGTTGGGAAGCAGCTGGTCCTAATCCTCACTTGCAGGGCAGCTCCCTTCACTCACTGCTCTCAGCTGTGCGGGATGGGCTGAATGACAGTGAGCATTGCTGACCTGCTGTTGGGTCCTCTTGGTCTGTTTTCCTGATGTGTAAAATGAAAAATAATCATGGTCCTACCCAGAGGTGGCTGTAGCTGAAGGCAGTGGTATGGGCATTTGAGACGTGGGATTGCACTGCTTTCTCTCTGCTCGGCTCCTTCCCTCACAGCCCTTCCTTGCTGTAGCTCAGCCTTCCGTGCTGCAGCCTGTGAGCCAGGAGCTGCTCTGCACAGCTGGGGTGCAGCAGGGCTGTTGCTTGCAGCAAATCGTGGTTATCTTAGGGTGCTTTTGTGGGTGAACCTAGGTTTGCTCCTGCTTGCAGGCACCGAAGGCTCTGCCTTTGCTGGGGTTGGTGCTCTCAGGCTGAGCCCAGCTGTGGCTTAGCAGCATTCCCCTGGGCAGCAGGGAAGCGTGGCAGAGGGTGCTGCTGCCTCCAGCCTGTGCAGGCAGTGCCTGCTGTCGTGTCCAGCCTACGCTTGCTGCTTTCTGGCCCTTTCCATCTGTAAAGTTCCAGCTATGGTGGTGGTCCAGGCTGAGAGCCGGACTGCCTGTCAGCTGGCTGCTATGAGTGCCTTGAGCAGCTTGCTGGCTTTGCTAGCTGCAAAGCATTGTCCTGGTGAGCATTGCATCATCCTGCTCCCCATCCTGCCCTGCCTTGGGTTTGCAGTAGGATGCTGCACGGTGTTGGCCCTTCTTGTTTTAATTGTTGGTTAGCCCTGCAGGTTGTGGATGAAGACCAGGGCTCTGCGTGCAGAGCAGTGCTGTGTTTATCAAGGTGCAGAGGGCTGTGCAGAAGTTAGAGTGTCCTCAGGGCTGTGGAGGTGTCAGGCCATCCCAGTGCAGGAGGTGCTGCTGCCTCCACCTGCCTGCAAAGTGCACTCTGCTGTAGCCTCCTGAGAAGCTTAATGTCAACAGAAAACCCAAGAGCACAGTAGAAGCCTCAAAGAGATGAAGTTGGAATTAAAACCTTAATCTTATTTACATTCACAGTAATTAATATACAAGCTATAAAACACGGGCCCAATCCTCTGGCTGGCTGCTGGGCACTGGGTGCCTGCAGGCTGCCTCCTGCCCGGCTGGCTCTGCTGGCATTGCGTTCTGTTTGCAGGCATGGTGGCTTTAATCCTGGGCTATGTGCTGTGGAAGCTGCCCCAGTTTGGCCCGTGGACTCTAAAATCTGCTGGAGACGTGAGAATGGCTGATACCTGTCTCAGCACATGGCTGTAAGCTCTGCTTTTCTGAAAGGATAACAAGTCTTGCATGTTTTCTGTCTCTGCAGCAGCAAGCTGGGGCAGGATGGGTTTGTTCAGAGCTTGCCTTTCCCAGGAGAATCACAGAGTCCTGTCCAGCATTGCCAGCCCCTGGTCTCAGGTGGGGTTTGTGTGTCCTTTCCATGGGAAAGGGCCCCAAGGACTCTCCTGCCGCAGGGGACGTTTGGTCTGACACCACCTCAGTTACATGTCACTGCAGCTTTAGCTGCTGAGCACCAGCACTCCTCCAAAGGGCAGGAGGATGGGCCCGGGTTTTGCAGGCTGGAGGGCTGTGTGTGTGTGTGCGTTTCCCTGCACACATGCTGCCAGTCTTGAGGGAACGGCAGGCTGGCCCAGGATGGGGATGGCACAGCTGGACCACGGCTGCTCCAGCCCTGCTCACATCCAAGTGCCAGCGCTGCTCTCGCAGCCGTCGATCCTACAGCAGGTTCCAGCAGCAACCTGGCGGACCGCTGCTCTCAGCTGCAGAGTAAACAAGCTGGCAAGAGAAACCATTTTGCTTCAGCTAGTAGGAGAAACCCTTTTTAGGTAGCACTTCCAACTGGCAAGGCTCTCCTTCATTAACCCCCTCCTTCCCTTCCCAATGAAACGTGAAAGTTGCAGCAATCAGAGATCAGGCGCTGGCTGGTGCATCTTTGCCACCTAGAGCGATGAACACAGACACGAATTTGCTGCTTGATCTTGTAATTTCAGTGCAATTAGACTAGCTGGTGTAGAACAATTTCCCCTTGAGCCTCGGAGTCCCGAGCCTGGCCATTGCTGAGCTTCTCTCAGACAAGGAAGCGTTTGGGTATTGGCTGAAACGCGGGTTTTTTTGGGTACACCTGGAACCTGACTCCCCGGAGATGCGTCTGTGAGATGGAGCTGCGGGTGCCTGGCATGTCTGAAAAGGAGCCTGCTTTTCAGGCTTGCTTATTACAAGTCAGGCACCCAAAGCTAGTGGGAAGACAAGCCAGAACAAGGCTGCAGGTCGGGCTCTGGGAGCAGGGCTGGCTGCTGTCGCCCCATCCCCTGAGCTGGGTTTTTTAACTGCTAAGTGTTTAATGCTTCCCAAGCACTACTGCAGCACAGGGCGTGGAAGCAGTGCTCTGATCTCTGGTCTGAACCCACCTGCCTTCATAGACTTGCTTTCTTCATTTCTTCTACCCTGGTACCACAAATCACGCACTGGACTTTGCCTGTGCTGCTGGTTTTTAGCCCATGTGTGTCTCTGCTTCTGGCTTGCTGTTCCCACAGCTTGGTCTGTGTTAGCTGATCTCTTCCTTGCTGGTGAAAATGAACTGTTGGCAGTGTGAGCAGAGCTGTGGCTGTTTGTGGGAACGTTTCAGCATCCCTTTTGGTTTTGGTGTGGTTTGCTTGTGCACCCAGAGCTGTCGGGGCGATGCTCTGCAGCGATGGCCCCGCGTTGCTTCTGTGCAGGTACACACTGCAGAATGTGGATTCCCTGTATAACCACTGCAGGATGGTGAAGCCATGAGATAAACCGCTGAAAGTGTATGAGCTGCCATTTTGGGAAGGGGAGGATGAAGCATGCATCCAGTCCCTCCAGTGAGCGCTTTGGGCTGGGAGCTTCCCTGGACACAGGGCTGAAATCAGAGGTGCTTCTGCTCGTGAAACCTGACTGTGCCCAGCACCAGCTGCCATCCTGGGGCTGTGAGGGACCGGCACTGACCACCCCACCTGAGAGCCTCGTGACCATGGCCTGAGGGATGTGATGGCTCTATGATGGCTCCTGTGCTAGGAACAGGAACAAATATCGCTTGGAGACAGTGGGGAGGTGAGTGCCAGACTAATGGACAGCCCTGAGCTTGCTTTCTGCCTGGGAAAGGTGGCTCTGCCCCCTGGTTTGGCTGTGGGTCGAGCAGCTGGCCTCCCTCCCCATGTTGGTGTTTGGCAACTACCCCATGTAGGTAGTTTGTCCCAGGAAAAATGCAAGAGAAGATCCCTCCAATTTTCTTTTGCTTCAAGTGGGACCAGGTCCCTGCTGTGGGTTTTGCTGGAGGCTGTGGCCATCTCCACCAGTTCCTTGGAGAAAGCTGGTCTGTGCTGGGGGCTCCGTGGGCAGCTGGTGGTGATGGACCACGTACTCTTGGCTTCCCAGAACCGCTTTGGGAATTTGCTGCTGCCACCCCAAAGCATCTCTTCCAGGAGGAATGAGATGTCCCTGGGCTCTCTGATGGGCTGTGGTATCTGATCGTGACCTTATTTAATTGCCAGGCCAAGTATTTTGATGCTGCTTAGCTGAGGGTTGGTCCCTGGGCTCAGTCTGAACCCATGTTACAGCTCTAGCAGCAGCTGTGCTGCACTGTGCTCTACCCTAAGCCTCCAGCATGAATGAGGGTCAGCTCCTGCAATTCTCCACCCACCTGTCCTGGTGGCTTGTAGGTGCCAACCTGCCTGTCCCACCGTGCAGGCAGTGTGCGAGCACCCAGCACAGCCCATCCTTTCCTGCTCCCTTGCTTGCAAAGCCAGCACGGAGAGCAGCCGGGGCAGCCGGATTGAGCAAAAATCACATGGAAGTTGGAGCCGCAGCTCACGTGCTGTCTGGGTGCCGGCATGGTGCACGGGATCTGCGTGGGCTCCTGGACCCGGCTATGGTGCGGTTCCCCTCTTGAAAAGTGACCTGAAGGGCGCACAGCCGGCGCTGCCAGCCGACACGGGCTCCGAACGGTTAATCGCTGCGATGTAATGGCAGCTTTCCCCCCGCGGAGCCCTTTCTGCCGGATGGGAGCGTGGCCTCGCCCTGCCCGGGGACAGATGGCTGGCCGGAGGACTACAGTCCTTGGCAGGGAGCAAAGCGCTGGGGGATGCCGGGACTGGTAGTCTGGGGACAGTGAGGTCCCCGCTGTCACTCGTGGCTGGGGCGGGGGGACCCGGAGGGGTTGTGCGGGCTCGGGGAGGAGCCAGCGTCTTCACCCACTTTGTTGTTAAATACCTTAAAGGAGCAGTGGCTGTGCCCGAGCGAGCTCCCTAGCGGAGCCGCGCAACCCGGACTGTGGGCTTTTTAAAGATAAAAATCGCTCGCGTGGCCTTTGGGATTAACGAGCTCGGTAACTCCTTCGGTGCCTGGGCGCCGGCAGCTGGCAATGGCCTCGCTGCGCCGCCGCTCCTGCATCCCTGCCGGAGCATCCGTCTGCCGCGCCGGGATGCTGCTGAGTGTTGGTGCTCCCGGGGTCAAGAAGCCGGCACTGGGGCTTGCGGGGGGGCGGGGGGTTGAACATCCCTGCGTGTGAGCCCCACAGCTGAAGAGCTTCAGAGCAAAGCACGGAGTTGTGGCAGTGTGAGCAGCCGTGCAGCTTTCTTGTGCCGTGGTGGCGTGGCTGTGACCTGCAGATTTCTCTCCTGGTGTGGCTCAGCCTGGCACGCGGTGCTTGCAGCCAGTTGCCCCAGCCTGGCTCTGCGGCTCGCCTGGCTCCTGTTCAGCAGCTCGGGTGAAATCTGGAGGGGAGGGGACAGCAGAGCACCCACTCCCCGCTGCAGCTCCCACCTGCAATGGGGCAGGCACTGGGTGCAGGGATGGGGACTGCAGCGAGAGCTGCAGCCAGGTGAGTGCTGGGACCACGACGAGGGGCTGGCAGTAAAATGCTGACCCCACAGAGCCGTCCTGGCACCTGACTGCCTCCGAAGGCTCTGTCCCTGCTGCTCTTTTCTTGCCTCTGCACCCTACTGGATGACATCCCTCTGCTGGCATGCATGCTGGAGGGGGGCTGCCGGGGCCTCGCTAACTGGAAAAGCAGGAATAACCACCAAAATGCAACCGGTGGGGAGGGCTCAGTGCTGGCAGCTGAGCCGGTTGGTGCTGGGTGATGCTGTAGGGAAGACGGCCCAGGCCTGCCCATGTTCCCGTGGCTGCATGCTGCAGCTCACCCGTGAGCCTGAAGGCAAGCAGAGGCTTTGGGTGGCAGCGCTGAGCCCGGTGCTGTTACCCCCACTTTGCTTCTCTGGGTGCTGGTTGGCTGCTCGTCCACAGAGGTGCTGAATTACGTCCTTTTTTCCTTCTGCCTGCAAGTGTTGGAGGCAGCATTGGGCACATCCAATCCCGTCTGGAACCAGGCTCTGCTGGCTCTTGCTGGGGGTTCAAGCTGCATGAGGCTGCATGTGCTGCGTGGCACAGCTCAGCCTGTGCTGCTAACCTTGGTCCCATTGCTCGCTGCCTGCACTCTCCTTGGCACTACGATGTGCTGATGCTTGCTGCCTTGCAAAAGGCTCCTGCATGTGTGTGCTGAGCTTGGTGGGAACCTGCCTGTAAAGCTCTGAGCCCCAATGCTGCGTTTAGGGAGAGCATGGGCTGCACAGGGACCTGGTGGTGATATCTGGTGAGGAGGGCTGAGGAAAGCTCCCCCGCAGGACCTGTCTAGCACTGCTGCCTGTTTCTTTCTGCTTTTCACCCCTTGCCTGCCATTTGTGTGCCTCGTATCGGCTGCCAAATGTGTAATGATGGTTGCATTGCAGCAGATGCCTGGAAGGAGCCCCGTGCTGAGGTGTGCACCCCTCTGCATCCCCCGAGCTGATTGCTTCTGACAGCCCCGCTCCCTATCAGAGCCCAGATCCTTCCTGCTCTGATGCTGGAGCAGAAGTCCAACGGCTGAAACGCAGCAGTGGTGGGTGGGGAGTCCTGGAGGTCAAGCTGTGTGCAATCAGCTCCCAGTGTGGTGCTGCTTTGGGAATGTCCCACTCGCATGGGCATTCCCATGGCTGGAGGGAACTTGTGCTCTGCAAGAGGCAGAAATGCAATGTGGATAACGTCACCAGGCCAGCATTGCTAGAGGAACTAAGAGCCAAGCAACCGCATCCATAGGAACCTCGAATCTTCTCTTATCTCCCTGAACACTGAAGTTAATTGCATTTCCAACTGACACATCAAGCTGTCCTACCTCAGTTGTGTGCAGCGAAGCCAGCGTGTGGTGGTTGCTCCTGGACATAGCCTCACCTCTGGTGTCCCACTCTACTATGGAGACAACATTTTTCCAGGGCTGTTTGTGCTATGGTCAGGTCTGAGGAGCCCTGGGCTTGAGCTGAGCAGGTTGCCAGGTCTTTATGGGTGTATCTCGAAGGTGAGACTTGTCAGGATGAAGCAACACACGGAGTTTTTTAATGGGTGTTCAGCAGCCACTGTGGAGATGCTTAAGGGCATAAATTTTTGAAGAGCATAATGGATGCTCTCAAAAATAAATCCTAAGTCTCTGTAGCTTGGGTTTCCCAAGGTATTGGTGGCTAGCTTGAAATGAGAGAGCAAGCAAAATGAAATAAAAGGCTTTTAGTGTGGAGCTCCTGCTTGCTTTGTGTGTCTGAGGAGCAGCACAGCCCTTTGGGATTCCGAGCTCAGGACAGCAGAGTCTCAGCCCTGGGTGGGTGCTTTGAGGGCTCACATTGCAGAAAAGAGTTGAGATTTTCATCCCAGTGCCAATTGGTTGTGCAGAAAGAACATGAGATTTCATTGCTGGCAGCCAGAGAGCCCAGCCCTGGACTGCATGGTGCCTGGTGAGGTGCAGTAAGCAGGTCCTGGTGTGCAAGGTGAGCTCGCAGCTTCACCTGCCAGCAGCAGGACTGTGGTGGAACAGCCTTTCCCCAACTGTTGCAGGGAGCTGGGAAGCACCAGGCTTCCTGCTTTCCCTCTGAGCAGTTACCTCTTCTTCTCCCTTGCAGGATGAGCCTCTCCCAGTGAAGCAATCCAACAGTGCTGGCGGCAGACATCCCAAGACTTGTTCAATGCTGCTTTCTTCTCCTGCTGCAGCAGGGAGGTGGATGGAGGCTACAGGAGCAGCTGCTCCCTGCTTGCCTCCTCCTGCCTGGGGAGGCTGGCTTGGAAAGGTGGGAGCAGTTTTGTGCACAACCCCGGGAGGTGATGGGTGGCTGCATCCAAGGCCAGCTTCTCTGCAGCTCTGCTCTGAGCACAGACTGTGCCTGCTGAGGGCTCAACTCCTTTTTATAGAGCTTTTCCATGAGGTGTGCGCTGAGAGTGTCCTCCCTTGGCTGCCATAGTGGTGTCTGGGGATACCAACACAATGCTGGTGTTTTCAGTATGCTGATGGAGCTGGGATTCTGAGTGACTCGTGCCGGCTCTTTCTGCTCCCTGCCTGGCTTACAGGACAGTGTTGACCTGCTCTGAAAGGACCAGTCCTGAAACACAACGTGTTGCTGGTGCCTTGCTGGCAGGAAGAGGCAGAAAAAGTGGAGAACTTGGGAAAGCTCAGGAGAAAATGCTGCGTGAAGCGTGGGTTGATGCAGGATGCTTCTCTAGTTGAGCCTAACTACACCCTGGTCCTGGTAGTGATCAGCACGTGACCATGGGGGCTGACAGAAAATCTGTGACCTTGCTTGGGTACTTCTCTTAGGGAAAGCATCTTTGAGTGGCAGAGCACCAGGAAGTACTGGAGAAGGAACTGCACCTCTCTAGTGTGGGCAGTGAAGGTTTTTTGGGGGTGAATGCCCTTTGTTGGTGGAATATGTACGGGATGTGGCAACTTTCTGCCTGCCCTAAGGGTTGCTGTCTGTGAGGCTCATGCCTGAGGCAGCTCTGGATGCTGTGTCCCCATTGCTCACATTCCCTAGGAGGTAACCCAAAGGACATGAAGCTGTATCCTGAGAGTGTGAGGATTTTGTGGTAATTGCTGCTCCTTCCCAGCATGGTGTGTGGTTCTGTTGGCTCCCGACCGCTGCCTCTTGGGGGAGGAGAGGAGGGCAGGGATGGAGCAGTGGTCTCTGCTGCTTGGCACAGCTGCACCGGGGTGTCTGCACCTCTGAGGCACGGCAGCTCTTTCCCAGATGGAGAACAGGGCCCTGGAGGTATCAGCCGTCTGCTGCTTTGCTGCCCGTAAAACCCTGCAGGCTGTATTGCACAGCTCTTGGTGCGATTCAGCGGAGAAGAGCAGATTCTCTGTTGAACTGCACCAAGAGCTGCGCTCCCCCCTTTACCCCTGAAGATGGGTGCAGATGACTCTCCTCCTGACACGTGTGTGATCCGTGTGCGCTTGGCTCTCGTTTCTTCCTGGGCAGCTGGTGGGTTATTTTTGGTTCTGGAGCAGCCCAGATCTAGTTTCTACCAGGGCCAGTCCCTGCCCGGTGCAGTGCTCACATCCCTGGTGCCAGCAGAGGTGGACCATGCATCGACCAGAGCCTGCAGGGCCACTCCAGCACCCACCTGACCAGCATCACTGTGTAGTGGCTGCAGAGAAAGGGCTGTTGGTCAGGTCTGTGGGGGCTTACCTGGCTGTGGCCACCTCGATCACCCCGTCTATGGGCCTCCCTGGGGAGAGGGACGGGCAGGAGCAGCTGGTGCTGTGGCAGGGCTTGGAAATCCAAGCCAGCACTGAGTCACGTGCATCCCCTTGGCTCACAGGCTGGGGGAATGGCAGCCCCCTTCCCTTTTGGCCTCCTGCCCTCATCCTGCAGTGGAAAACCACGCAGAGGGATGATGGGGCTGAAGGGTTTGCTGGGGGCCTCCTGCCCTGCCCTTCCTCTGCAAAGGTTCACAGGGGAAAGTGAAGTGTGGGTACTGCTATTCTGCCACTTTGGTGCAAGGACAGTCCTTCTCTGGAGCTCACCATGCAGCTCCCAGCATGTTGGTCCTGCTCCTTCTGATGAAGGTTTATCCCACCTTATTCCATTGTAAGCGGATGTTGCTCAAAGCATCCTTTTCACATCAGTACACTGGGATGCTATGGGACCCCTGCCTACCTGGAGGGAGGGCAGAGGGGAAAATGCCATCAAACAGGGCTTGTCTCTGGGTTAGACAGGTTGGGTGTTCGCTGTAGCCTGGCTGCTACTGTTGGGAAAGTGTGGCTGCTTGTTTCTTCATGCCCTGCTGCTCTGTGGGCTGCTGGGGAAGAACCTCAAGAGCAGGCATCTACACTGGACATATCCTCCAAACTGCTGTATTTGGAGCCATTATTTGACACTTCTAGCAGTCTGGTGCCTGCTGTGTCTCAGTGTCTGGTCCTATGCTACATGTGAATGTTTGGGGGCCCGTATGCACCCTGGAGGTGGAGAAGGAGCCCCTCCACGGGCAGTGCCAGGTGTCCAGCAGGGAGAGCAGGGCTGACACCCTGAAGGACCGTGGTGTGAGTGTGTGTGTAAGGTGGCAGAGCAGGCTGCCAAAAATGCCATCGATCACCTTGGGTTTCTGAGCCACTGTGTGACATTCCTGGGTGCTCCCTGCCCAGTGCTCCCCAGCCTCCCTGCACAGCTACCAAGCCAGGACAGCTTTTTCACTGTCATCTGTGCCCTTTCCTCTGGGGAGTGAGCATCAGCACAGCCTCCCACGCTCAGCCCCTACCAGCAAAATGCTGCCTGTGTATCCCTGATGTTTCCCTCTGCTCCTGGCAGGGAGTGAATCTGTTTCCCATCTCTAAATGTGGACTCCTGGGGTGAGCTTGTGAGTGTGGGCTCTCCTGCTCCGAGCCCCTGTGCTCCTCACCACGTGGGGTTTCTGTGCTCCCTGGGACTGTCCTTGCTCCACATTCTGCTCATCTCCCTGTGAAGCAATAGGGTCTCAAATAGCACCGAAAACAGAACCAAATCAGCTGTGAATAGGCTTGAACTTACTATTCAGGAATACAATAGAAAATCAAATAGGTACTACATCTCCTTTGGCTGCCTGTGAGCCTGGTTTTCTTTGTTGCAGGTGGCTGACAGAAAGAAAACAGGTTTGTTATGAAAGCACCGGGTCCAACCTGCCCTGCTCTGTTACCTGGGAAGCTGTGAAGGAGGTGGCTGTGGTTCACGGGGAGGCTGCAGCTGGAGGCATTGGCTCAGAGATGTGCAGAGAGCATCAGGGCTCTGCGTGGCACAGCAGGTTTGGTGCGGTGTTGGTCCAGGTTGTTCCTCCCCACCAAAGGCCTTGAAGATGAGCTGCCTCCATGTGTTTGCAGCCCAGCCTGGGTTTTGGTTGTGCAATGCAAAGAACATCTTGTGCCTCTGTGCTGGTCTGCGCCCTGCTTCTTCCTTGGCACCTGAAGCAAGAGTGAAATTCAAATGCACAAAGCAGAATCCGTGTGAGGCATCCTAGGGGCATGCTTTGCCACCAAGACATCTCATGGGGCAGGTGGCAGGGCTGCTTTGTGTCCCAGTGCTGCTATCAGGCACGCTGCTTTGCCCTCGGTGAGTACCCAGCTCAGGGTGCCCCGGCTGTGGGTGCTGCACCTCGGGCACAAATGCGATGTGAAGATGACAGGCTTCCCTTCTGAAGCCTGACTTCCCCCACTCATTAGGACTGAAGGCAAAAAAAAGAGCACCAACGGATGGTGAGGAAATTTCAAAGAGGCAGAAGTTGGAAAGGGAGTGCTCAGTGCGTGTCTCCAGCCGGCTCTGACTCACCAACACGTGCAGGTACAGCCCTACTGCTGGCTGCAGCCAGCTTTTGGGTTGAGCCTTGCTCACCAGAAAAGCTGAGAGGGTTTGCAGAGACAAAAGGGAAGCACAGGAAAGGGAAAGCAGAAAGCAGCTATTGCAGTTTGCTCCTGTTTCCTTTGCATGGTCCACCTCTCTTGCCCCTTGCAAGCTGCAGCCCCCAGGAAAGGGCCCAACTTGGTTGAATCAAGAGCCAGGATTTGGCTCCACTGATGGCAGGGTTCAGAATTAAGCTGCCTCCAAAGCCTCGCTCCGCCTGCCAGACAGTACCCCAGGGGAGGGCGTGGAGCTGGGGCTCTGCTGCAGAGGTAGGATGGGAATGTATTCTGGTCCTGCCTGTCTGGTTTAGTGCTCCTGGCTGGGGCTTGCGTGATCCAGAAGGGAGCTTGGTCTGAGATGCAGGGCTGTGATTTGTTGTTATTTAAAATTTCTAAAGCTGCAGAGCTGTAACTTGGTCCCAGGTTCACCTGACAGACCCAATCTGCCATGGCTGGAGCAGCAGCATGAGGTTGGATGTGATGCTGTAGGCAGTAGGTTTGAAGTTAAAGCAATGGAGAGGTCATCCCCAAATCACGATTCTGTTCCCATTGAGTATAGCACGTTCTCATCTCTCTGGAGAGCAATGGGCATTTTGCGTGGCTGAGCACAGCCCGGATGGGTCCTACCAGCAGTGGGGGGATCTGCTTGGTCTGTTTGTCCTTTGCCACTGCAATAAGGTGCACAAAGCAAAATTCCAACCACTGGTACCTTCCTTTATCCCATCCCATTGGGGCAGGCACCCCTGCATTGCTGCCCTCACCAGGAGTGACCCTACCAGGAGAAGAGTCCTTGTCCTCAGGAGAGCAAATGATTGGACCACCAGCCACTGCGGTCAGCTGGGGTTTGTCTTCACCTTGCCTTCTTTCCAGCCATGTTGTGGCCATCGCAAGTCCATGCCGTTTTGTTGCAGGCAAAGGGAGTTCTGGCCCGGTGTTTTCGCCCCTGTGAATGTCACAGCTCACTTCTGCTGGGGGAGTTCGCAGCCTTTGGCAGAGCAGGTCGGCTGCCCGGCGCTGCCCTTGGTACTGCAGCCGTGCCAGACGCTGAGGGCTGGAGGGCGCCGGGCTCCCATCCTCCTGGGAGCAGTGCCACCTGCCAGGCGTAGGTAGGTGCCCACCCGAGGGGAACGATGAGCTTTGCCCTTCCTCTTGATCCCAGAGCTGTGAGCCATGGAGGGATGTGGCTGTTCTACCAACAGGGTGCGATCAATGTGCTGGGTTCTGCTCTCATCCCCACCCGTGCTTTGTACACCTGCACGAAACGGGGGGCTGCTCTGCAGGATCTGCGTGGGCAACTGCTGTCCCTCTGTTCCTGTGCTTTGGATGCGTTGCTTTTGGTGGGGAGTGGAGCCCGGTCTGTGCTGCTGGCACCTGGCACAAAGAGGGAGTTTGGCAGATGGGCTGAAATGGAAAGGGTCTTTTCCAAAGCAGCCGTTGATAGAAATGAGCCTTGCACAGCTCTGGGCGTGTTTGAGGGTGAAGACTTGGGGATGATGCGTGAGATGGATGCTGAATTTAGGAGAGCATCGTTTTGTTGGTTATCTCCTTGCCCTGTGCACAATATCCACAGTTGACACCATGGTCTCAGCTGTACCTATGAGCTTTGTGGTGTGTCTATCTGTGCCCATGCACAGGAGGAAGTTCTTCCCCTCCAGCTCCTCTTGCATCCTTGAGACCTTTAATCTTTCATGCTGTCTAAACAAGTCCCCGTGGGGAAGGAGATGGTTAATTAGTGTTTTTCCCCCCCCCTCAATGCCTGTGTTTCACAGACCCCACTGGCTGGTGACCCCCTCTGTAATGTGTCTGTGGAGCTTGTTATCTGTCCTGTGCAGATTTCCCTGGTGGGAAGGGGAGGTGATGCTGCGGAGGCTCCAGCTCATGCCGTGAGCATCTGCCAAGCTGTGGGAGCTCTTCCCAATCTGGCCTGGCTCATGGAGGTGATGGGGCTGTTCCTCACTTCTGCCTGGATCCTGGATGAGGTGGGACAATGTCCCCAAGCAACAATTGTCCTGAGATGGTGCAGGACCTGGAGAGGCTGGCTGCTCAAAGCAGAAGGGATGGAAATAGCCTTTACCATAGCAGCACCAGCAAGCAAGGGGGGGGATTCGTAGAAGCCTTTAGGGCCTTCCTTCTGTTTCTCTAGGGGTTATCCTCTCCTACTGTCCCAAGGAGCTCTCAGCTTATTGCAGCTGGGCTCTACCTGAAGATGATCCCACCAAGTGGAAAAACTAACTCGGAGCCCCCAGCCACGTGAAGGGGGATGGAGGGGAAAGTGGGGAGATGGTGCTCCTGCTCCACTCTGGGGTTAACCTCCTCCTGTGGCTGGGGCAGATCTGCCTCCTGCAGCTGGGGTGAGGGGAGGGTAGGAGGAAGCTGTTTGTGCAGTTGTTCATAGAAATTCAATGTGAAAGGAGGGGGATCACAGTGATGCAGAGCAGGGCATCTTCAAGGGGAACCTGTGTGCTACCTGCTCCAGTGCTGCACGGAGCCCGATGCTGCTACGATGCAGGGATGCGTCCCTCAAATCCCCTTTCCCTCTCCCCACGGCTGAGGGGTTTGCAGTGAAACTGAAAAAGCCCTGATCCTACAACTGCACCTTCTGCCAACTTCTCTTATCAGACCCGTGCTTCTGCCTAGAGCCAGTAGCTCCGAGGATGGCGATGGGGGAACAGGCTGCTGTTATGCTGCTCTCTTGCCTGCAGCCTGTTTGCATTCATGATTGCATCCGTGCATTAAAGTGCTTTGAGCTCCTCGTTACCAAAGTGCAGACTCTGAGTTTTAACGAGCCACTCGTGGGAGTTGGGACCAGGAGAGACGGAACGCCATCCTGCTGAACCGAGGCAGAGCCTGACAACAGGCATCGCTGCCTGGAAACGGTGGGCAAAGGCTTTATTGACCACTGGAGGTCACTTTTTCAATAATGCAGTACAATCCAACTTTATTTTGTCAGTACCTTTCATGCAGGCTGCTCCCGAGCTGCTCAGCAGATGCAGCGAAACGGGAGGGGAGAAGCAGTGATTTTCTTCCAGCTGGGGAGATGGAGGCTGCTCGGCAGCACCGGGTGCAAAGCTGAAGGCTCTTGTGCTGTGCTGGAGAGCTATAGAGGAGGAGAGGAGCAGCAAACCAAGCAGCCTGGCTGCTGTTTCTGCAGTTCCCCGTGCTGCAGAGGCAGCTTCAGACTGTTCAAAAGCAAATGAACCTTTTTGGCCCTGGGGTGGCTGGGGGAAGGCAGGAGGGTGCTGGGGAGCACAGCCTGCACCACTCAGCCGCAGAGAGGCTGCTGTTGGGAAGCAGGGGTGGTAGGGATGGATACTCAGCAAATGTGGCTGGGTGCTTTTCCTAGAGGATCAGAAAACACTGTGACTTGAGCTGGTGAAAGAGCTGGGATGTGGGCAGGGTCAGAGCATTTGAGGGGCTGGAAATTGTGCCTGAATTACACTCCTTTGCTCCCTGCGTGGTGCTGGGCTGTTCCTGGGAGGGTCTGCCCCTGAATGGGGGCAAACAGCCATCAGGAGCTGGGGGTGGGGGCTGTGCAGAGAGAATCATCTACAGGACCCTCTAGAATCCCCTGCAGGAGAGAACGGGGCATCTGGGGCTGTGTGGAGATGGGGGCTGCTGCTTTTGCAAAAACACTGGGGGAGTTCTGCAGAAAAAAACCCCAGCAACAACAACATTAAAAAGCTCTTGCTAAGGAGTCAGCAGCAATGGCTGATGCAGAAGCTCTTCTGTTGCATTGTGTGCTCCCCTTGCACGATGACGCACGGTTTGCAGGTCTGGAGCTGCTGAAAGGAACAGACCAGTGTGCTTGGAAGGAGCTGCGAGGGCCTCATTCAGAGTCTTAAGGCCTTTCCTGTTCAGAACTATGCAGGACATGGGCTTATTTGGTGTGCGTGTCCTTCTGTCCCTCTGATGTGAGCTCTTTAAGCCCCACTTCTCACTGCTTGTTCAGATACTGCTGTGTCCACTGTCACTGAAAGGCAGATTCTGTCATTTAGCTATCTTGCCATCTCACTCCCCTTTGAGAAGTGGGAAAGGAATAACCTGTTTCTTCTACTCCTCAGGTTTGAACGGGAACATCAGCATTGCCTTTGGAGCAGGGACACACTGCACACAGGCACCGCCACGTGCGAGGGCTGCGAGAGCTTAACTGCTGCAGCAGATGGGACTTGGAAGCCACGTCGGAGCAAATATTTAAAGATCCTGTTTTATAAAGCCACTTTTTGGCCTATAAACCACCCGCCCCGCGGCTCCTGGTGCTGTTGCTGCAGAGTCCTCTGTTTGCTGTTCCTGCTGCTCCTCCACACTACCGTCCGGTGAGACGTGCTGCGTGTGCTTGGCGTGGGTTCTTCTCCTTTCTGCCAGCCTCGGTGCTTTGTTTTATGCATTTCTTTATTTGTTGATGGGATTTTCCTTCTCTCAGCAGAGTGGGATGGGAAGTGACTGCTACTGACCCAATGGGGTGCCTGGGATCAGGCAGACGCCAAAGCTGGCAGTGAGCCCATCCTGGTGGATGTCTTCCCGCTGCCTCTCACACATCTCCATGAGGACCATGAGGTTGGGATCCCACGTCCCCTTTTTCTCCACGATACATCAGGATCCCAGCTATGATCCCGAGCTGTTTGCACGGTATGGAGCAGTGTCTGGTTTGTGCTTCCCTTCCTGCATCGCCTTTCAGCTTTTGGTCCCACAGAGCCAAGCACTGATGTGCCCAATAACAGGGTGGCTCTGCTCCTGAACAAGCAAAAAAGTAAACAGCCCCTCAGATTGCAGCCTGGATGCAGCGGGTTGGATTCCTGCTCTCCTCCTCAAGCTAGTTACTTCTCGCATCCACTGAGAGTATGATGATGATTGGGCACTGGGAATTTTTGGGATAGACCCAAAGTATTCTCAATGTACTTTCACTTCCCCTTGATATGAATCCCTGCTCCACCTCTCCAAGGAGACCTGCAGTGCAGTGCATCGCTGCCTCTGCAGCGCTTTGAGATCTGCAGATGTAAGTGGTTCCTGAAGCTTTGAATAGCATTGAACTCCCTCTGCAATGGAATTCCAAAGCCAGGGGAAATTATTCACAACTGTTAAGAAAAAGCCATGTTGGTGCATTGGTTAAACCCAGCGTTACGCCTTCTAATTATTTAGTGGTGGCCCAAGCTGCTGGAGCACCTGGTGGCAATGGGATGGTTGTGCTCAGCTGGAGAGAGCGGGGCTGAGATTTGGTGCCTGATGAGATCAAGGGGCCTTTGATTTCAATTGAATCAGGCACTACCATATCAAACAGGCTGATCAGATCACAGCGCAGCTCTTCTGGCACGGATTCCCATTGTTGTGTGAGGGCAGGCAGTGCAAATTGGGCAGCCAGTGGGGTGAGCAGGCACACTGAACTGTCCCTAATGAAATGGGATGTCCTGCAGCAGGACGGTGCAAAGTGGTTGTGTGTCTGAGATGCTGCGTGGGGCACCTCTAGGCGGGGATGTGTCCTCTCCTGCCCTGTTCCTGTGCAGAAGGGTGGCTGGAGGAGCTGCCGAGGGAGAGGAATTGATGGGATGATGTTGAATCCTTAATCTTGTGTTTCAGGGCTTCTCCAGGCGTTCTGCAAGGAAAGATGATTATTTTTTTCTTTGCAGCCTTCGGTGTAGCAATCAGGCACCTGAAATTGTTTCTGCCGTCTTCTAAACGGGGAGATTGGCCACAGCAAGAGGCGTGTTGTGAAGGGAGGGGTGTGCTGGTGCTCCTCAGGGATGCTGCAGCCCCAGGATGCTGTGTGGGGGATTGGTGCCCCAGCTCTGTTGGTGCCCTGCTCTGCACTGTGGGCCATGGTCGCTTTCCCAGCATCCCTGGGGGACGTTGCCCTGCTCCTGCAGGAACATGAGATATTTGCAGCATCCTTGCTCTCCCCTGCTATTTACCTGGGGCTCATTAGCTCTGCAGTTTGTGGTCCTTTTGGTTCACCTGGGAGAGCACCCGGTGGCGAGGCGCAGTGCATGTCTGCAGGGATTGCAGTCACACTGGAGATGCTCTGCTGGCCTTGTCTACCAGCTGATTTTTAGCCATAAGCTCCCATTCTGAAGCTTGTTTTGCTTTGTTTCCATGTGGTTGGGGAAAATGGCAGCATCTGTGCACGATGTCTAAGCAGAGTGCACCCAGCCCGCCCCACCGCCGCGCTCCGTGGCTGCAGGAATGTTATCTCTGATGTCTCCACCTGCCCCCATAAACTTGGCTGGAAGTGGGTCAGTAGGTTTAGAAGTTCTACGGAGATATGTATCAGCCTCATACCTTAAAAGAAGCAGAGTGAAGTCAAATCCAAAGCAACAATGAAAACTTGGAGAGGAACGGAGAGAAGAGGCAGTGGATTGGCAGATAGAGAAATCCCCGTGGGCCCTATCGAGTGTTCTGCCAGTGTTAAGTGCTGAGTAAAATACAGTGCTGGAGAGATCAGATCGCTGAGTATTCCCTCTGGACAGGGAGATCCTGGTTTGAATACTTCTTTGGTGAATCATCTTCTGGAGCTATCGGCACAGGGATCTGGCACGGGGTTCTCACTGCTGGATGTGGCATTGTTTGCAGGCTGAAACCACTTGGAGAAGGCATGCAAATGGTACCATGCAGCTCTCTGCTGCTAAAGTTCTGGATGCTTGGATATGACCTCTGGGATGCCCCAAGCACCCAGAGCTGGGGCTGACAGCACGGAGGGCAACCAGAGGGCTTCTGTTTCTCTCTATAGCAGAGCATGGCGAGAGGAGAACATGGGCAATTTTGCCCATAAAACCTGTTTCACCAAAGCATCGTCTGAGCTTGCAAAGCCCATTGCAGGGCTCTTCCAGGACTTGAGCTGCTAGATCCTCCTCTTTGAGCAGATCCATTGGTAACTGGCAGACTAAAAGATACAGGAGATCAAGACAAGGGAAAGAAAACCAATTGCTCAGTGACCCAAATGGAAGTGACCTGTGTGGCACAGGGAGATGTTGGGCCAACAGGGGAGAAATCCTGCAAGGAAAGATTCCAAAGGAGAAAGTCAAGTGAAGTTTTTGCTTGTTTTTTTTTCCTTTCATCCGTTGAAGAGATACTTACAAAGTGGGGAGCAGATACTGAGGGAGTGCAAGGAGAATGTGGTGGGAGGGTGAGGGCTGTGTGTGTGACCCTCTCTGTGTTGTGCCGATGAGCTGTGCTCCATGAAGTCCGGCCCAGGCAGAGGAATGTGCTCCCTTTTTTGGGAGCTGCCTGTCAGCTGCAGTTGGACCTGGGGACAGCTTGGCTGCGTCCTTCATTTGGGATCGAGGAGCAGCTGACAATCTGTGCGGATAGCACGAGAGCTGCTAACGTTGCGTCTGAAAAACTGCAGAGTTGCTGGAGGGGGAATGGGTTTAAAGTTGTATTTCCTCCAATAAATCAGTGCAGCCTGGGCCTCCCCACCCCCATAGGCGCCTGTGTGCATGTGTTGGAGAGAAAATCCAAAAAAACCTGAGGACTCTGCATTACTGCTCTCCGCTCAGGGCTGCTCAACCAGGGCAAGCGTTGCCTAAACACCGATAACGTTGTCTGCAGCAGGAAGCAGAGCAGGGCTCATCCACACAGGGCTGCTCTGCTACTTCTGTGCTCCGAGTACAAACAGCAAGCTGTTCCTGCGCGTGGGCTCCCGGCGCTGCCAGCAAAGCTATTCTCATGCAGGAGAGAAAAACGAGCTGTGCAAAAAGCAGGCACGTCTCGTATGGCTAAGCATCGCTCACCAGGTCAAGCAGTACACGGTGGCACTGCCGCACGGGGCTGGTGTGGGTTGGATGCAGTGGATGTGTGTGGATGTGGCAACCCCAGCGCTGCCTGTGGGGTTGGCAGGGAATTACCCCAACTGCTGTGGCTAAATTATAGGATCACAGAATCATTTCAGCGGGAAGGGACCCTTAAAGGCCACCTGCTCTAATTCCCTGCAGTGAACAGAGGCACCCACAGCTCCGCCAGGTGCTCACAGCCCCGTCCAGCTCTGAGCTCAGGTGTCTGCAGGGATGGGGCACCTGTCACCTCTCGAGGCAATTCATCAGAGTGGCTCTGGTGGGATGCTGCAGTGATGGCAGCAGGAACAAAATGGGTCTCAATGATGCGATACAACAAAGGACACAGGCCCTTATGGCTACCAGTGCTGATATTGGAAGCGATGTCCTACTGCTGCTCCCAAGGCATTTTCAGCCCTTCTGGACCAGCAGTGACAGTGACTTGGAACACTGAGGTTGCTTCTGGAGCTTCTTTATTTAATTTTTTCCTTGGGTGGTGTTTGAAGCTTGCTGAGGATGCTGCATGAGGAAGGGCATTGTTTCAACCCTTTGCTTGCATTTTTCAGGGGGAAACTCTTGGTACTTTCAAAAGTAGCACTGATGTTGGTCTGCTGGAAAATTTCAGCTGTGGGTGGAGGCAGCTGTGTGTCAAGCAGAGCCTGGGCAGGGGATGATGGAGCAGCTCAGCACCATATCTCAAGGACTCTGATTTTTGTCAGAGCCAAGCCGGTGGGACAGTGAGCTGTGGGAGGGCTGGCCCATCTCTGAGTGTTCCCTGGGTGCCTCTATCTCCTGGCGATCTGTGATCCATTCAAGTGTGTCTGTCTGGATGCCAGCCTGAGCTGGGACCTGTTCCTGGTGGCTCATAGGGTTTGTGCACATCCTGCAATCTCTGGCTCTTTTTTGGAGCTGGGAGTGATTGTGTTCGCTCCTCAGTTCAGCAAGTCAAAGGGAGCCTGCTGGGGGAGAGGGGAGATTTTAAGCCCTGTCTCTGGAGTGAGAGAGAAGGGCTCAATTCCCCAGTGCCTCACTGGAGAGGATCCCAACCAGCTCTGCCTTGCTGGGGCAGCTCCCTCCTCTCTTTTCCCTCCCACTCAGGGGTTGTAGGGTGCTTGGTCCCCCCGTGCCCTGCCGGATGTTGGGGAGCCAGACAGGACAGCCCAGCAGCTCCCAGCCCCACACAATGGGGCCATTGAGGACTGGAGCTGGGGGCTCGGCTGACTGTGGGCTGCGGATGGGGAGGCCAGCTGAGCTGTGCTTGTTCCACTCCAGCAGAGTCAGCCCAAAATAGGAGCAGTGCGGCCATTTGGAGGCTGAGCCTCTTTATCCAGAGGTCGCAGCTTGTTTGCGTGTGGGGTTTGCGTGGAGTATTTATGTCTTGGAGTGGGGTAGGGGGGAGGAAATGAAAGAGGAGGGGCTGGCAGTTGTGCAAGCTTATTTTGTTTGTTTGTTTGTTTGTTTTCTGTGCTAAAATGGTGCCGAAGTATTGGTATTTTTATCCCCCCACCTTCCTGTAGGTCCATACAGACTGGGAGCCCCAGAGCCCCAGCGTGGCCCGCGCTGTGACTCAGTGCTGGAGTGCTGAGCAGGTGAAGGGGACAAGCAATGCACCCAATAACTGGTGGAGCTGCTAAGCTGTCCCCTTCGTACCATTTTCTATTTCCCTGTGCCATCCTGGTTCCTAATTTCAGGCTCCTCTGTGTTTGTGGGCTGTGCCCACAGGTAGTGTTTCCCCTTTCTCCTGTGTTGAGTCCCTTCCGATCCGCTTTCCTGGCACAGCAGTGGGTGCTGTCTGGCTCTTGCAGACACCAAGCATCTGCTGTGCCCAGTGCATCTGAAAATCACACCTCTTTTGTATCTGTGTGCGGATTTAAGGGCTCAGTGTGAGGTGTCTGAAGAGGTGGCCTCGGTTGGAGCCTGTTCTGAATGGTGCTGCCTGAATGGGGCTGTGTCTGCGTCGGGAGATGTGCAGAATTAATGCAAGGTTTGGATCAGCTCATTAACTGCCTGTGCCGGTCCAAATCTTGCCCTTGGAGGTATGTGCGTTGCTGCCAGCGCCATCAACATAAAGACTCTCGCCAGCACAGCCGGGGATGGGATTTGGCCTGTTTATATTCATGGTGCAAAAAGAGCCGAAGGATTAATGACTGATTACTTCTTGGGCCAGCAGGAGCCTCGGGTACCCATCTCGCATGCAGCTAAAGCGCAGGGCAGAGCTAGACAAAGCTTTGCAACAGAATCCTCCCAATTACCTCACCGCTCTCCCCGCGCGCTGTAAAATGCACTGTCAGCTCCGCCAGCCAGCGCTCAGCCTGCAGCCAAACACCTCCTGCATTGCTGCATCTCCCTCCGCCCCGTGCTGTCTCCCAAATTTGGGGGTGGTTTGGTGGAGCCCTGCCTGCTCCCTACCTGCCCCTTGTGTGCGTCTGAGCATCCTTTCGTGCCCCCCCAGCGGAGCCTGCGCGTTGGATGCAGTTTCTATGGTTACTGCAGCTCCTGGGCTCTGGGAAGAGCAGTTGGATGCTGGAGCTGGCAGGACCGGCATCTCCCTCCGGATCAGCCAGAAACTTGACAGGGATCGGTGTGTGGCAGAACAGGACAAAGAGAGGAGGGGAGAGGGAACGCGATGAGAAAAACTCGGCTTGTGCTGGTTACCGGGGTTGCCCCCAGCAGGTTATGCTCTGAACAGGTTTCAAAAAGGAATAAAAAGGGTGGGGAGAAAAAAAAAATAGATGAGAAAACTGCAGTTCTGGCGCTCACATGAAGGTGACATTTGTTGTAGCATCTCCAGCCGTCGAAACGGGGATCTGAACACAAGGAAGTTGTAACTGCTGCCAGGCTGACTATTTCTACCCACATTTTTCTTTTCCCCAGCCCTTTTTTCCTCTTGTTTCATTCTTTTGGTGCTTTTTATTCTGATATTTCCCTCCTACACACACACAGGTTTCCTCTTTGCTCCTGCATATCCCTGTTTTGTTGGTCAGGCTAAAAGTTGGAAGCACGTTCAGTCCTCGCTACATGCAGGTGCCACCTGGGGCACCAAAAGTGCCAGCTGGGAATGGATGTGACTTTTATGGGGATAGTTTTTGCCCAGCAGAGCCTTCTCCTGATGATGGACGCAAGCACAATCTGAGCACAGCGTGCGTAGGTGCAAACCCAGCCTGGTGTATTCATCTGCAGTTGGGACCTTCCATCCTCTCATCTGCTCTGCCTCAAATTCAGGCTGGTTATTAGGGAAAGTTTCTTCTCAGTGCAGTACTGCGCTGGCACAGTTGCCCAGGGAGTGGTGGGGTCACCATCCCTGGAAGCGTCCCAGAGCTGTGGGGATGTGGCACTGAGGGATGTTATCAGTGGGCAAGGTGGGGTGGGTTGGGGTTGGACATGGGAATTTGAGGGGTCTTTTCCATCTTGAGTGATTCTATGAAATATGCATGGAGCCTATGGGATCAGAGATTGGAACTAGATGATCTTCGAGCTCCCTTCCAACCCAAGCCATTCTACGGTTGTAGGTTGGCCTCTCAGAACCCTTTCTTTCTCACTTAGCCACTTCACCTCTAAACTCCTGGCAGACAGGGCAGCGCCTCTTGTGCTGTAATAGGCATCTCAATCCCTGCTGTTACGGGCAGGGTGTGTGGGGACAGGAATGAAAATAACTAGGCCAAAGGCTTGGGAGATGAAGGGCCCTCGTCCTGACCTGCTTGGGAGGTAACTGGGAGCGCAGGTCTCCCTGTGCTTCCCAGCTGAGCGTGGCTCCTCACCTGGTTGGACTGGCTTGCCCATCTCCCTGGGGCTGAGGCTCTGGCAGACGCAGGACTGCAGTGGTTACAGCCATACCCTGCGTGCAGAGGAGGGGGCAGGCAGGCAAGAGAAAGCATTTGCAGTGTTCTGGCTGCACCCAGCAGCCAAAAAGTCCCCCAGAAGCCAAGAAACTGTACCCTGCCATCACTAACCCTGTGCCCCCAGGTGGCAGCTGAGGAGGATGGATGTTGAGTGGGTGTGAGCCCAGCAGCTCTCCCTTCCAATCCAAGCAATTCTACCATTGTATAATTACTTGCACCAGGGTTTGAGCTGCCTGTCCAGCCCTGCCTGCGGGGCCGGCGGCTGCTGGGGCCGTGTGGGTGGCATGGGGCAAGCATGGCGTGTGGGGCCGGCCCGGCTCCTGTCCCTCATCGTGCGTGGGAGAGGCGGCGGTGCCTGGGGAGACGTCGCGTGGCTTCTCTGGATACGTAGCCTAGTTTTGAGGCAGTCCCTGCCTGTCTGGTCCTTTCTTCCTGCCTACCCCGTGCTTGTATCCTGCTCTGTGCTGGAGCACCTCATTGGGGTCACCCAGCCCAGCACCGCTGCCTGCTCCCCTGGCCAACCTCCATGTGGCAGCTTGGTGGTTTAGTGTTGTGTACAGAAAGTCGTGTACTCTCATATCAAAACCTTTCAGTCCCTTTTAGGGGCAAAATGGTCTTCCCCTCCCCCCCCCCGAATTCACCAAGATCCTTTGGGTTGTGGGTAGGCTGATGGAGGTACGGATGGATGTGAGCCTCTGCCTGGCTGAGCCAGGCTCCTCTCTGTGCCCGAGGTCGGTGGCACAGCTGGGCAGAGAGGCTGGTAGGGCTGCAGCAATGCAGCAGAACGGTGCTGGGAGCAGCAGGCAGGGTGTCTGCAGGCCCCCGTGCTCTGAATCACCTGCTCAGCCCTTCAGCTGCTGGGACTTGCAGCTGCCTCAGCCGTGTTTACCCTTCCCCGTTCCCTTTTCTCCCTTCTCCCCAGGCAGATGAAAGCCCGACAAGAAAGGGCAGACAAGGCTTCCCCTCAACAAGTCGCTGCAAGTGAGGCGGAGCTGCTTGGCACGCTTCACAGCCACCTGGCCTGCCTGCTCCATCCGCCATGTTGTGCAGGCAGCAGGAGGAGCACAGGGCGGATCAGAGGGGAGCGTGTGGGAGAGGGCCGGGAGCTGCGGGCGGCGTGCAGGACTTGAGCTGAGCCGGTCCTGCACTGAGTCAGCAGCCTTAGGGACTGAGGCATCATGTCCATAGTTTTGGTATTGCCTTCCTCTTATACGTCGCAGAAGGGAGACCTCAGAAGATTAGCAAGTTGCACAGAGAGGCTGTGGATGCCCCGTCCCTGGAGGTGCTCAAGCCGGGCTGGATAGGGCCTGGCAGCTTGAGCTGGTGTGGGACAACGAGGCACCCACTGGAGTTGGAACTGGGTGATCTGTTGGCTGCATTTTAGTGCTGTGTTCAGTTCTGGGCCCCTCACTGTAAGGAAGGCATCGAGGCTCCGGAGCGTGTCCAGAGATGGGCATGGAGCTGTGCGGGTCTGAGCAAGGCGCTGTGGGAGCGGCTGAAGGTCCTGGGATGGTTCAGCATGGAGAAGAGGTTGTGGGGAGACATCATTGCTCCCTGCGGTCCCTGAAGGGAGGTCGTGGTGAGGTGGGTCAGCCTCTGCTCGCAGGGAATGGCAATAGGAAGAGAGGTGATGGCCTCACTTTGTGCTATCCTCATGTTGGTTATTAAAAAAATATATTCTCAGAAGGAGCAGTGATGCACTTGCACAGCTGCTTAGGAAGTGGAGTCACTGTCCAGGAGGTGTTCCAGTGGAGATGTGGCACTGAGGGATGTGTCAGTGGGAGTGGGGGGTGGATTGGGGTTGGACTTGGGGATCTGAGAAGTCTTTTCCAACCTGAATGATTCTGTGGTTCAATTTTATGATTGTATGGATGCCTCATCCCTGGAAATGCTCAAGACCAGTCTGCATGGGGCCCTGGGCAACCTGGTGACTGGTTGCCACCCACTGGGGTTGGAACAGGATGATCTCTATGTACCTTCCAACCCACCACCTGTAAACCAGCTTTTGCAGCAGAGCAAAAGTTTTGCTCTACTGAGGCTGGGTGAGAAGGGCCAGGACTGCTCCTGGCTTGGGCACCTCATCAGCAGGACCCACACTGGTCCTTGTGAGATATGTGGCAGGAGCATTCTTTCTCAGAGCTGATTGCAGTTCTTCTGTGTGCATGGGAGCAGCTTGGGAAAAAAGCCTGGTTTCCTGAAAAGTGCACAACTTTTATTGAAAAATAACATTATCCCCTCCGATTTATTTTCCTTGTCGTGAAAACGTCACGGTCACTTCTGTTGAACAAAATGAAACCCAGTTTTAGTCTGTGTCCTTAGGAGTGTTTGAAATACCATGGAGAAAGTTTACAGATTGGTTGTAAAGTCATCCAAAGGGCAAAAGTGCTGGATTGGTTTGTATCTCAAACCTCTCTCGCCCCTCTTGTCTGCATGGAGCTCCAAAGCCCACAGCACCTACCTCCAAGGAGGGGAATATTTTACACGTGGGCCTATTTGCATTAACCTTGAGACTGTTTTCACTTGGTGCAGGGAGATGTCACTGGGCTCTTTGGTGTCACTTTGCTGTTCCCAAGCAGTTTCCTGGAAAGACAGCAGGAAGTCAAACATGTACGTACATTTCTGAAGTGCTCGGGTATTTCCAAGTGAGGCAACTTCAGATTCCTTCCCTACCCACCCCCCCTTCCCTTTTGCTTCAAAACCCTTTCTGGCCTCAAAGTTCAGCTTGTCTTCTTGTTGTTTTGTTTTCGAGTTCTGGAGGCAGAGCCCTGCAGTGGGAGGAGGTGGGCAGCATGCAGCCAGGTGCAGGGGGCTGGGGAGGCTGCCCATATTGGGGAACCCTTGCTCTGGCTTTTAGGGCCATCTGGGACTGTAGAACCGACTGTGTGATCCTCCCACAGACTGGACCCATCAGCAGGTGAGGAACCATGTCAGATTTTTGCACGCTAGCTAAAATCAGTGGATCAGGATGGGGAACGTGCTGTTTCATGCGTGAGACACGTTACCTTTTCTCTAAGGAGGTCTCCTGAACTGTGTTAAAAAAATAGGTTAAGCCATCCCCTGCTTGGATGCTCCATGAAACTTGGTCAGTGCTTAATGGCAACTGCTTCAAATGCTGTGTGTCAGCACGGCACTGCAATGCAGCTTCTCTCTGCCCAGTGCGTGGCTGCTCAGGTGTGAGGCTTTGCTTGCTGCGGCTTTGCTGCAGGCTGTTCTCCCCAAAACCTGCACTGTCAATGAGTTGTGCTGGTAAACAGCACAGGGAGAAATCTTCAGGTTGTTCTCATCCTCCAGCCCTGAAACCAGCTGGCAGGGATGTCAAACATGACTTGCCCCTGCAGACAAAGTCATGCTCAACATCTCTGTAATTAATCTGGTTCCTGGAGGTCGCGGTTTGAACACAGCCAAATTGTCCTGGGGAAGCAACACCCTTTGGATCTGGTGTTTCTCACAGGTACTGCATGGAGCTGGGAAGCAGCTGTGAGATGGTGGCAGCAGAGCTGAGATCTCACGTGGGGATCTGCCTTCGTACTGCCCACCTGCCCATACAGCTCAGCCTTCTCAGGAAGGCAAAATGAAGTAGAAACTCATCTCAGAAAAGGCTCTGCACAGTGGTTTACTCTGGTGGGACATGGACATGGGATGGCAAGCTCATTGATGGAAAGGAGATATTTTTTCCTGTACACAGACTTAGAAAGAAAAATCCTGCCCTCCTGTATTGGACAAAGCTTTCTGAGATAACCTGCCAGAAATTTCCAGTAATGCTTAGGCTTTCTGAGCCCTGTTCTGGAATGATGACGGTGCCTCCAGCCTTTGTGTGGGCTGAGGCACAAGGTCCAGCCCCTCAACTCGATGTGGGACTGGATGCATTGCTCACCCTGCCTGTCTGCCCTGAGAAACTGCCCCTGTGGGGCAGACTTGTATGTCCTGAGGTCCTGCAGTTCCCGACAACAGCTCTCGTTTTCATATTGCCAACACAGCCAGGACCATGAGTGTCCTGTCCTGTTTTCCCCACTGGCTCTGCTCCATACACAAGCTGTAGGAGAGGAGAGGACCGGCAGCCCAGTGCCAACTGGGATGTGCAACAAGCCAAGTGTTTGTTTTGCAGCTCTGTACGCAGCAGCGTGGCTAAATGTGGAGGCAGGTTTGAAGGCACGCTCATTTAACTCCCCAGCCAATGTCTGATTCCAGGCATGCCTGTTTCACAGAGTTTAGTTGCACATTTGCAGAGCAGCAGTTTTGCAAGTGGAATTCTACAGGCAGCCTGGTGGGGCCAATGCTGGCTGCTGCCATTGGGTGCTCATGAGTAAGAGAACATGAGATGGAGTCAGGGAATGTCTGAGACCAATACTGGGATGAAGTAGGAGGAGAGGGAAGTTTTCAAGTCTTGGTCAAGTTGCTGGAAGTTGTTCCTGTGCTGGTTATGAATTTCTCTTGTAGCTTGGCTGTGTCTTGTTGCAAGGAGCACAGCTCCCATTGACTCCAGCAGGACCAGAGCTGGACCAGAGGTGTCTTTGTTGCAAGAGAAACTGCAAGAAAAGATTCAGCTTTATCTCTTAATGAGCCTATTCATTCTCTCACCTGTTAATGGGTCAGATTTTGAAGCTCTGACTCAGTCTGAACTTTCAGTGGCTTTTGCACCTGGTGATTTAAATATCTGTCTGCACAGGAGGTGAACACCAAGCGGCATCCCTAGCTGCAGCTCCGGACCAAGTTACCTTCCCCTTTCCCCCCTCCAGCTGTTTACCGTTTCCCTCCCACCTCCACCCTGACTCAGAAGAATGGGAGACAAACGCTCCCATCTCACCCGCTCCAGTACAATGCTTGGCAGCTGCTGGGGAAAAAGAGTTTGGGTGAAGCTGCCAGGCTTTGCCCGGGAGCCATGAAGGAGAGCACGAGAGCTGTTCCACCAACGCGGTCGCCGGCAGCAGGAGCCTCCGGCACGAGGGAGCAGACAAGCCAGCTGCTGGGGGTGCTGATAACATCTGGACCCACCCGACGAGAGCGCATCTCCCCATGCTGTAAGTGCAGGCTTGGGACCTTTGGGTGCTGAGCCGCCTCTGCTCCCACCGAGTTCAGCAGGAGGTCAGGGCACTCAGCAGAGGGGTCGTGCAAGCCGTGTGTGCTGGGGCTGAGCCTGAGGCAGCGCTGGGATCGCTGTCTGCTGGGCTGGGTGAGTCCTTCTTGGGTAGATCCTACCAAGTTTGCAGATAGAACCGGTGTGAAGACTGTTCCAGGGTGAGAGGGAGACCTCTGGAATCAGTTGCAATGCTCTTCCTAGGGTAAGGGCACAAAGTGGCCTTTAAAGAGGCATAGCTGTAAAAGCTCAGGAGTCCCAGGGGAGCTGGAGCTTGTCCCCACGTCCCTATGCTGGGTGCTAGGGGCTGCAATCAAAGCCCCTAGCAAATCAAAGCTCCCATTGCCCCTGCTGCGGCCACAGCACAGCGCCAGCTTGCTCTTCCCTCCTTCCCATCTCTCCTTCTTCCACCCGTGGCCCCTCACATCCTCCCTGCTTCAATCCAGCTTTAAAATCTCAAGGCAAATCCCACTAAATCAGGAGATTTCGCCCGGCTGCTTCCCTGCCCTCTCCGCTCTCCCGCTCCCTCCGCCGTATCTGGCCTGCTGGGTTTTGTGTTTCAGTTGTTATAAATAAAGCTCCAGGCACTGATTTGGGTATACAATGACACCTTGTGTTATTAGACAGCACAGGACAGACTTTGCAAGGGGAGCTGCTCTCCCGCCCTCGCTCTGCTCCGGCTGCCGGCGCTCCACGGGAGCTCAGCAGGTGCTTCTGTTCCCCGTCTCGCCCCAAATCACAGCCCCCAGGAAAAAAATAAAAGAGGAGATCTGGGCCCCTGCTCTGGCTTTGGCTGGGTTTAAAAATAGGTGGGTGGGAGGAAGCTGGATGCTTAAAGAAGGGAGCGTGACACAGGATGGTGTGGGGAAGGGGGTAAGAATGTAGGAATGTGCCCCCTAAAAAGGAGCTGGGGAATGTTTGCAGGGGGGAAAGCAGGGATGGAATGATCACTTGTCCCCTCAGCCCTGCTTTGGGGTGACCACCCTACCCCTCCGTCCTGTGCATAGAAGAGCTGGGGTCTGAGCATCCTTTCTCCTCACGCTCATCCCTGCACTGCACTGTGGCCCCGTGGGAAGGGCTTTGCCCTGCATGGCCCACCTCGTGTCACCTCTGCATCCCCTCAGGACCAGTTCTGCTTGGAGAGGGGTAAGCTGAGCTCCATGTGCCCGTTTTTTGCAGTCTTCCTCTGCGTTTTCTCTCCTCATGCCAGAAAAGCAAATGCTGTGAATTTTTGCTTGAGCACTCAGTGCAGATGTCCCACAGCTTCAAAATGCACTCCCTCCACCCCCCTTGAGGAAGCTGTAATGCTGAGCTGTGGGGATGGGACCCTTCAGGAGCTCCTTCAGCATTTTGCTGCTTGTCTTCACTTTGTGGGGAACCAGAATGGGTGCTGGGTGCCCAGGTTGGGGAGCCTTTGAGGCAGTGATTCAAAGGAAGGCAAATAAAAATCCAGTCCATGGAGCTGGGAAGCCAGCCTCTTTCATCAAGGACAACTTGATTTATCTAGATTAGTTTAATTCTTTTTAAAGTCCTTTTGGAATTCCTTTCTGAAGGACTTCCAGAGGTGTTTGTTGGTCAGTGAGTGGGTCTGACTGTTACCATTTTGCAGACCAGTGCACTGTTTGAACCATGGGTGAGATGTCTCTGAAGATATGAAAGACAGAGAATTCCTTCTTTTGCGTTGGCTTTTGGTTTGTTGTAGTTTTTGCTTCCCCCTCTGCTGGCTATGGGCTGGGTGAAGCTCAGCAGGCATGGTGGGGATGGGTTGGGGTTGGATTTGGCCATCTTCAACCATAATTAATGCTCCACGATTCCATGAAGCCGGCACCAGGAGGCTGTTCCTGGCAGTGAGTGATGCTTCTGCTGTTATTCCCTCTCCTCCCCAGCTATTGGAAAGGGAAGCAAACTCATCTATAGCACCTGGGGTTGGGGTTTGGTGGTCTCGTGTTGACTCGGTTTGTAGAGATGCAGACATCAGGAGGACGAACTAAACACCGTCTTTTTGTGCTTTGCGATGCATGTGTTACTTTACAAGGTAAATAACCAAACTATCCAATAAAATACCAATGTTCTGCACATTAATAAAGTAATGGAGATATGGAATGTATGCAGTAAAGCTGCTATTGCAGAGCCCTAGGCCTGCTTTAGTAGCTATGACAGGAGTGAATAAGATCTTTTCCTGCTTTTATTTATACACATATAATATCAAATATTACTGAGTTTTTGCTTGTTAATGTTAGCCAAAGGGGTTAAGAGAAATAAAAAGGGATTTGGCAAACATATCAGGGGAGAAAGAGCCAGAGTAGGCCCATTAATAAATGAGGAAGCTGAATTCAGCAATGATATTGAAGTGACGAAGTTACTGAGCTGCTTTTAAAATCAGTCTCTGGTAAAATCAGTGGAGACAATTAGGAGACCTTGTCAGATACAATCAGGGGCTCCGAAATAGACGAGCAGCCCATGAGGGAACAGCAAGGCCATGGGGAACAGCAGAGCAGAACAGAGGGGGAAATTTGCGAGGACTCCATGGGTCTGACTGGGATTGGCACAGGGGGACCTCAGTGGGACCTGGCAGCAAGGGGGGGGGCAAAGGAGGATAACAATAGGTTGGTCTGAGTCATTTCCATCTGTCCTCATGGTGAGAGTGTCTTGTGAAGGGCTGGGGATGGCAATGGGGGGGGTGTGATCCTTATTGCAGGGAGTGCTGGAAAGGAGAGCTGCAGGTGGGCAGGGGGAAGCTGAGGGTTGGGGAGCACTCGCTGTGTGCCACCCTCCAGGGTGTGATTTTGCTCCCTTTAGTCCCTGTGGCTGTTCCAGCCCTTCCTGTGTGCTGCTGGATGTGTTCATTAGTTTCAGAAAGGCAGAGACCGAAAATAACCGAGGAGGAAAGACAGGCAGAGAAAGCCTGGGAAGGTTGGCTGTGAGAAGGCAGAAACAGCCACGTGATGTGGAAAATGGAGCTCCAAGGGGGATCCTGCAGCTGAAGAGCTGGGAGCCTTGAGAGAAATGGCCTCTTGTGCCTGGGATAAGCCCTGGCCAGAATGGTGTTGGTGGGGACCCAGCTCTGGAGCCAGCTCTGGTTGCAGAGAAGCTAAAACCTTCTGTTGTGCATGCCTTGTGTAAAAGCCTTTTGATATTTTGGGGGCAACAGATGCTGAGGCCACGTGTCAGGCAGCCCTGGAGACACTCCCCTTGTTCTTTCTCTCCTGCTTGTGCTCGCAGCACTGTTTCCCAGTGCCCAAGCTTGGGCACTGCAATGACATTCAAGTGTAAACCCACTGGGAAGGGATTTGGAGAAAAGCACCACAATGACACAGAGCCTGAGGGATGAGCGTGGGAGGAGAGGTTAAAAGAGTGACGGCGATGGGTTCTGCTGCTGCTTGCAGAGCTGCCTGGGATGGGAGATGGGTGCTGGGTGCTGCCTCCGTTATATGGCCACTGTTCCCTTGGGCGAGGAAAAAGGCCTGGGGGGTATCTGAAAGGCATGGGGGGTACCCAGCCTTTAGAAATCAAGCTGAGGTGGGAACAGCGTGATTGAATCGCACAAAGGAAGATGGAGGCTGTATGGTGGTCGAAAAAAAAAACACAACAACAACCACAAATGAGCCAGCAGCAAGAAAGCAACGTGCAAAAGGAACGCTGGCAGTGCCAGGTTTGAATCGTTTAAAATGTGATTATGCAAAGCTCTGAGATTTAAAGATGTTTTGCAGGAACGTGGCGAAGGGGTAGGCTCACACCAGCCTCTGCTCATCGCTTGCCCTGAATCCCTTTGGCGAAACTCACTGGCATCGGAAGAACTGGCTCTGATGGAGCTCTGCCCTGCTGGTGTCGGTGCGGGGCTCGGAGGTACGGTGGGTGGCAGAGCTCCCCTGGAGCTCCCCAACCCCTCCTCAGCAGGAAGCAGGTCTGTTTGTTCATTTATCTATTTGTTTTTGTGGAGAAGGATGGGGACTGGGGAGCTGAGCTCGATTCCGAGCGTGTGGGCTGTTAAATAAATAGCTTCTTTGCATTCATCAGCTCTTCCTACTCTGCGATGGCCATGGGTGCGTTCTCTGTATTCCCATGGCCCCATCCAGAGCCCATGGAAGCCGTGGGGATGGTTTGTGCTCCCTGATGGTGTGTGGGAAGGGCTTTGAGGTTATGGGCTGTGGGAGGGGAAAACTGAAATGGTGAAGCCCAGAGCGAAAGCCACCTGTTGGAAATGTTTGAAGGCTTCTGTAGGCATCTTCCAGCGTTGTGTGCTGTCTTTGTGCACGATATCAGAAGAGATTGTAACCTGGAAGTCCCTACGAGTCTAACCAGAGAAGCAATCCCGTAGTTGCAGCCAAGAGACATAATGAGGGCTTCCCATGTGGCGGAGCTGCGGCCGGCACAGGGCTGAGCGCATTGTGGTGTCGGTGATGTCGGGTGCATCAGAACCAGTTTTGCTGTCTTTCACTTTTTGCAGCTGCCTCTCAAACCTTCCCTCTGCTTTACCCAACCCTGCTCCTCCTTTTTTTTTTTTTCCTTTTTTTCTTTTTTTTTCCCCCCTTTCTCTTCAGCTGTTTATCTCATGCATTTTATTATGTGGCTTCCTTGCATCCAGGCTTCCTTTCTCTGCTGTGTCCGCTGTTCAACCCCAGAGCTGTTCCTGTGGGTCAGCATTGCCCATGATGGGTTTGGTCTCCGTGCCGTGGTCCAACAGCCAGCCTACTCTGAGTGTGCTGCTGCTGAGGCTCAGTGTCTTTTTTTCTCCATCGTGTGAGTGAAGTTTCTGCGAGTCTGTTCTGGTTTAAATGTGAAATATGCATTCGAGAGAGAGAGAGGCATGCAGACCTCACCCCTCAAAGCCCAACCCATCTCCACTCCACAGTGACTCTTTCCAAAAAGAAAGGGAAATAAGAAGAACCCGATCCCTGTTTCTCCCAATCTCTTATTTACAGCCACCCTCTTGGGCTTCTCTTTGGTGGAGGACAGGCAGAGGGGGCAAAACTTCTGCAGAACACCCCAAAGCCACCAGAGCAGTTCATGGAGGAGGGCAGCATGATGTCACCCATGGCACCACACGTGCTAATTCTCACATGTGCCCATTTTAGGGGTTGCAATATCAGCAGAGCCTTGTGTGCACGTGGCTGACCTCTGCTGTGCCTACCGTCCACTCTCTGGGTGGCAAACAGATCCTGGACTTGCAGCCAGGAACATGTGGCTGGATTTGGCCAGATTTGTCCCCTCTCTCTCCACGGGATGTGTGTGTGCTGGGGAAGTCCCAGAAAGAAAGTGCCCAGCTCCCGTGCATCGAGCAAGCGTGTGTGTGCATGCAGCTCCACGTCTCCCT